AATTATCTATGAGCCTGTTTCCTGAGGCTTTTGCAGTGCAATGATCCTCAGGATCTAAGCAGATCTGGGCCTTATTTCCAACAGACTTCTGGGCCCTATGCTCCTCCCCCTCTCTCCAGGCCTCGAACCTCAATCTAAGCCTGAAGCCACCTTCACTCCCTCAGCAGCGGGCCTTCGGCCTTCTGCCCATACCTTTGAGCATAGACCAGGGGATATCCAAGATGTTGTCTCTTTGGCCATTTGGCAGGGATTGGCTGAAGGCTTCAAGCAAATCCTTCAACCTCCGGAAAGGGTTCAGGCTCTTCTCCCTTCTCAATCTATAAGTTGCCTCATCACCCTGATTTACACAGGCCCCAGGACCTCAGGGTCCATTCTTCTCTACCAGAATGGGAGGAGTTTGATGAGGAGGGAAGGGCTTCACCATCTGAACACAGTTACTCCTCTCGTTCAGAACGTGAAGAAGGCGAGACCTTTGACCAAAATCTTTCAGAGGAAGAGGACTCTCGCCCAGAGCAGACATCCTCTGCATTGGTCTTCAATCCTTCTCTCTTCAGACCATTACTCAGCATGACCTTGGTCACTGCCAAGCTGACGCCAGAGGAAGTGGCTCCCGAGCCACAAGGAATTCCCTCTAGCCAGGGAGACTCATTCTTCTCCAAGCCTGTAGTGCATGCAGGGGTTTTGCCTTCTCCCACTTTGTTCCTGGACATGGTCAAGGAACAGTGCGCTTCCCCTTTGGCAGGTCCTCACCCATCTTCTCTGGATAAGCATTTCTACAACATCAGCACAGCCCTGGACAATTCCCTGGCAGTGCCTTCTGTTGACATTCCGGTTCTGGCCTCGTTCCCTTTTTCTGGCACTCTCACATGGGCATCCATACGGTGGGTGCACCAACTCCAGATTAGATTGCCTACATCTGACCTTCGGTCTCACCAAGGCCTTAATAAGATTATCGCAGCGGTGGAATTCACTGCAGATGCCACTCTCAATTCTGCCAAATTTGCATCTAGGGCCATGGCATCTTCAGTAGCAGCAAGAAGACTGTTATGGCTCAGAAATTGGCAGGCGGAGTCACGCCATAAATGGAAGCTGGTTTCAGTTCCATTCGCAGGCGATAAGCTTTTTGGCGATGTTCTGGAACTTTATCCCATTGAAACCAGAGATAAACGTAAAATTCTCTCTTCCTCTGGGAAGAGAGCTGACTATCGCTCAGCTCCTTATACTGGTAAACAGCCCTTTCGGGAGGGTGGGGGTCGGTCCTGCCATCGCTCTAAGTAATCCCTCGTTCTCCCCACCCATAGAGGTCGCATAGCCTTCTTTGCCTCCAAATGGGAGGAGTCAACGGCGGATGCCTGCGTGCTCAGCACTATTAGGTCAGGATTACAATTGGACTTCCTAATGCACCCCCCCTATTTTTTTTTTTTTTTTGATCTGTCCTGTCTTGGGACATTTCAAGGCAAGACCTCATGAATCAGGCCATTCAACTCCTTCTTGAAATCCGAGCTATTCAAACCTGTTCCCCACTCTCAATGGAGACGTGGGCTTTATTCTCGCCTTTCATCATTCCCAAAGCCTCGGGGGGTAGCGAACCATCCTGGATCTAAAATTTCTCAACCAATTTGTAAAATACAGGCTATTTAAAATGCAGACTCTGCATTCTATTTTAGAGAGCATTCGGGAGGGCGATCTCCTCTCTTCCACTGATCTCATGGAGGCTTACCTCCACATCCCCATTTGGCCTCATCATCGCCAGTTTTTCTGTTTCTGTTATCAGAATACCCATTACCAGTATTGAGCACTTCCCTTTGGCCTCTCATTGGCTTCAAGGGTCTTCACGAAGGTTCTGGCAGCTTTGATGGCATCTCTGCTTTCTGTTCCAGTGAGGATCCAATGCTACTTGGACAACATTTTGATTCTGTCCTCCTTCATCCATGCAGCCCATCGGGATTTGCAAATTACCCTGTCATATCTCCAGAGCCACGGATTTTTCCACTCCTCTCCACTCTAATGGTTCCTGTTTCCCTACCAACAAGCAGGAACCAGCCACGCATCCATCAAGGTCCCTCTCCCGCCACAAATCTGGAGATCTCTCAATTGGTGGTGTTCCCTGTTAATCTGTAAGGGACTCCTTTTCAGGATCCCAGACAGGCTAGTGATAACCACTGATGCCAGCCTCCTGGGTTGGGGTTCCCATATGTAGGGCCAGATAACTCAGGGCGTTTGGTCCAGATCAGAACAGATCCTTCCCATAAATTGGCTCGAGCTCAGAGCCATTTTTCTAACTCTCAAGCATTTCAGGCACTCAGTGACCAGCTCTCATGTTCTAGTCCTTATGGACAACATGGCCGCCATGGCTCATGTCAACCGGCGGGGGGGACGAGGTCCAGAGCCCTCATGGGAGAGGCTCTATGGTTGGGGTTATGGGCAGAGCAACACCTGTTATCAATCTTGGCAGACCACTTCTCCGGGATCAACAACTCCCAGGCCGACTGGCTCAGCAGGAGCTTAGGCAGAATGGTCTATTCCTCCTTCTCTATTCAGGGACCTTTCCCTCAGATTCGGAACGCCGGAGGTGGATCTTCTCCACTCCTCAAATTGCCCAGGTCACCAGATTCTTCACCAGGTTTCCTTGCTAGGGAGAGGAGGGGACCAATGCCCTTCGATGCAGATGGCCCAAAAGTCTCCTCATACCTTTCCCCCACTCCCATCATTCCGGCAGTAACTCGGAAGATGTTGGAGGAACGAGTGGAGCTCCTCCTCCTGGCACCCTATTGGCCAAGGACGCCCTGGTTTGCAGACCTGGTCAACCTGTTGGTGGCTTCTCCTTGGAGGATCCAGCCCATCTAATCTCCCTTCATCAGGGGATTCTGCTCCACCCAGAGCCCCAGTGGCTCAGGCTGACCATGTGGCACTTGAGCGGCAGCAGCTAGAGGTGGCTGATCTTCCTGAAAGGGTCATCATCACTATCCTGGCATCTCGCAAACCTCTCACAAGGTGCATCTATGATGCCACCTGGAAGGCCCTTCCCAATGGTGCCTTAGGGAGGGTCTCTCTCTCCTGCTTTAGCCCAGTTGGCAGAGGTTCTTAGATTCCTTCAGCATGAGCTGGAGAAAGGTTTGGCCCCCAACACCTTACACAGGCAGGTTGAGGCCCTCTCCTCGGTTCTTTCATGGGGTTCGCTTCCTTCCTTATCCCATCACCCTTCAGTCAGGAGGTTTTCGAAAGGGGCTTCCAACCTGCACCCTCCAGTGGTTCACAGGTATCCTTCCTGGGATCTTCATGTGGTCCTTTATGCCCTTACAAAGCCCCCTTTTGAACCCCTTAGAACATTGTCTCTCCGTTTCCTGACTATGAAGGTAGTGTTCCCCGTTTCCATCACTTCAGCCAGGCGGGTATCTGAGCTTGCTGCTCTTTCCATCAGACAGGACTTTTGTTCCTTTCACGATGATAGGGGTGTCCTCAGTCTGGACCCCTCATTTATTCCAAGGGTTAACACCTGTTTCACAGGTCCCAAGACATTATGTTGTCTGGCTTCTGCCCCCTCCCACACCATGACTTAGAGCAGCAGTGGCACTCGCTAGACGTAGGTAGGGCTCTTAGAATATACATTAAGTGCACTTCCTCCTTCAGGAAGTCTGAAGCCATTTTTTTTCCTTTTCCCTTCTCACTTGGGGCACAAGGCCTCTTCTCCTACTATTAGTAGGTGAGTCAGATCTTGCATTGAGCAGGCTTACAAAGCTGCGGCCCTTCCGGTTCCTCGAGGTCTGACAGCGCACTCTACCAGAAACGCAGCCACTTCGGCTGCCTGGACGACCCAAGTACCCTTGGAGAAGATCTGTCGTGCGGCCACATGGACATCTCTGTCTCCTTTCATCAGATACTACCATCTGGATGTCTTTGCCTCGGCAACTGCAGCCTTCGGCAGACGGGTGCTTCAACGAGTGGTTCAAGAGTCGGTGTGATGAGCCGGACGAGGACCCACCCATGGACATGCAAGCTTTGGTATGTCCCATCCTGGGCTCTCAATGCAGCATGGAGGAGAATGGGCATTGGTAGAAGTTACCCTGAACGCCCTTTCTATCTATGCTGCGAGAGAGCCCAGCCCCTCCCTTGATTTGTCCGGAGAGGGTAAGTCATATTTCTGTATTCATTTGTGCTTTCAGAGACACCTTTCAGTCTGTCAAGTATCTTTGCCAAAGCTGGGGTCTCTTCCAGGGGCTGGCTTTTATATCTTAGTACAGACTCAGCTAAATGACATCATAGGAAGGAGTCAACCTATCCTGGGCTCTCTCGCAGCATAGATAGAAAGGGCGTTCAGGGTAACTTCTACCAACGCCCATTTTCTTTTTCTTTTTTGTAAATTCAAACAATTTTTTTGTGCTGAATGTTGTGTTCTATTAATTAATTTAGATATAGATGTATTTCTTTACATGGGTAAATGTACAAGCTGTCTGTATGGTTTTGTTTTCTGGTATCCTTGTTAAAATAATTGTCAGAAATCACATTGAGCTTGTATATAATACATTCTTTCCTGCTCATACTAAAAGTGCTCTCTCTTCTTTTGTTCTTGGGGGTTACCTTATATCAGCAAAGAGGGTATTTCTGGCTTATCTATATCAGGGATCCTCAACCCTCGGAGTGAGGACCAGTATCTGTCTGTGGCCCATTGAGAACCGGGCCACACAAGTGGTGGGCAACTGTATAAAGCTTAGTGCATATGCGGGATTAAGTTGCACACACAAAACCACAGCCGCTGCCTCTAGTCCATGGAACCAGAAAGATTGGGGACTGCTGATTATAATTATGATTGCATATTTATCTGTAAAAGTTTAATATCTTCTTCATTGAGAAATATAAATGCAAAAACAACTAGTATCTTATTCAAAACATTGGCCAATGGTTATGTCAGTTCATCAAGATATCTAATACATATAACTTTATTTTAAATAACTTTATTTGAACAAGAATAATGTTCAGATTCTGATATTTTTATGTCTTAGGTGCTGGTGATCAGAGTCTTTTCAGTTCTCTGTATCCAACACTTTCTCAGCAGCTCCCAAAAGAGCCTATGGAATGGAGACGGTAATACATTTTTTTTTCATTGTTCATATATTTGCCATTATGTACCACCAATGTAGACAGACTAATTTCCTGTACAATTAAAGTCTATTCAAACATGCAATCAAAACAACATGCAATAATTTTCCTTATGAAATAACAGTTAAATGTTCTTTAATGTCTTGACACTAGTTGAGTATAAGACCAACAGCTAAGGAGGAATGCATGTGACCATATAACTTACTTGTATGCTTCTTTGTTGTGTTTAAATAGATAAGTAGAACTGAAATGAATTCTAGCTTCAATTCAGTAAATCTTTGGATATCTAAGCATATCATGTATAAAAATAGTATATGTTAAAATGATTAAATGAAAAAAAGTTTAATTGAAATAAAGCATGGAGATTTCAATACATGTTTTTATGTTTTGGAAAAAACATTTGAGAATAATAAACAACTAGTAGAGCACTTTCTCTTTCACTACATTTTTTTTAAATTTAGTTTTTTATATAAGTTCTATAAATTTTAGTTTTTTATAACAGAAAATTGTATGAAATTTTGTAAATTAGCATGACACTTTATATAAATTATTAAATCTGCATATCCAAACTAAGTACCATTTCTTTCTTACCTTTTCTATAAATATTTATCTGTTGTTCTTTTACCTTTGTTCAGTATACATGTAGGAGATGAGTAGGCTGAGCTGGAGGGTTGGATTAAATGCATAGTCAGTTTGAAGTCATTGGGTAGCCACGCGAGACCCAAGTCCAGCGCCCCATGAATTTCATTGACTCTTATTTAGCACCAATTTAGCTTGGATCATTAGTTGTTAACATTCTTGTGATAAGTAGCAAAAATAAACCCTTAGTGCTTTGAATGCAACTCCTCTTCCTGTTTATTTGGACCTGACAATACAGTCAACTAATGTAAGTTTTCTAAATATTATTCAGATCATATGGACGGGCCCCTAAGATGATCCATCTGGAATCTAATTTTGTACAATTTAAAGAAGAGCTACTACCTAAAGAAGGGAACAAAGCTCTTCTGACATTTCCTTTTCTCCATATTTATTGGACAGAATGTTGTGTAAGTAGTCTTGTGTGTTCAAAACGTAAGTCTTACATATTTTGATGATTGAAGATATTGTATATTTGATTTTGAACCTTGCCATATTTATATTATAAAATATAACAAATTGAGAAACAATGGAAACATGCAGCTATAAAGAAGCACATAGTACAGGTAGTCCTCAGCTCATGACCACATTTATGTTGCGAAGTGAGTTTTGCCCCATTTTATGACTTTTGCCACATTTGTTAAGTGAATCACTGCCATTATCAATTAGTAACACTGTTAAGTGAATCTGGTTTCTCCATTGACATTGCTTGTCAGAAGGCCTGGGACACTGCAACTATCATAAATGCGAGTCAAGCATCCAAATGTAAATCACGGGACCAGGAGATGCTGCTATGATTGTTAGTGTGAAAAATGGTCATAAGTCACTTTTTCCAGTACCATTGTAACTATGAACAGATATTAAGTGAACTGTTGTAAGTCGAGGACTACCTGTATACAGGTGGGATAGACAATTAAAAACAAATGGTTCTTATTCTAATATATTTATGATCTGAAAAAAAGATATTGGCCTTTCTCATTCAGCTTGATAATTGTGAACATTTTTGCTCCCAGTTTTATCAGAAAAGCAGTTCACGTTTATTTATCCAGCAAATGTAATCTTGTGATTCATCACTTATACCATTAGGATACAGAAGTATATAAAGCTACTGTAAAAGATGACATCACCAAGTGGCAGAATGTTCTGAAAGTTCATAGTTCGATGGATTGGTTAATTGTTGTGGTTGAGTGTGATGCCAAGAAAAAAAACAAAACAAATATCCTTCCTCGAACGTCTATAGTAGATAAAATACGAAATGATTTCTGCAATAAGCAGAGTGACAGGTAAGATTTTTGTGATGTTGTAACATAGATCTGTGCTAATCATTGCTAAATATGCACTGAAGTCTTCAGAATCAGTATGTTCTTAGTGTTTCTATCTAAAATAACTAAAATAACATAGGTTATACATAGGGGATAAAGTTTAACCCCTTTATCATGTTAGTTTGGAGATTGCAAATTAATTTCTGCTATGGGAATGTTTTATTTTTGAAAAGCAGTTATTATATAAACAAGCAAAATGTAACTATATAAGAAATTATAATTATGAAATGCAAGCAAATATAACTTGCTTATAGCAATAGCATTTAGACTTACTTATATAGTGCTTCACAGTGCTTTACTGCCCTCTCTAAGCGGTTTACAGAGTCAGCATATTGCCCCCAACAATTTGGGTCCTCATTTTACCAACCTTGGAAGGATGGAAGGCTGAGTCAACCTTGAGCCTGGTGAGATTTGAACTGCCAAATTGCAGTCAGCCAGCAGTCAGCAGAAGTAACCTGCATTACTGCATTCTAACCACTGTGCACCATGGCTCTTATATTCTTATATTCATAAGAGACACCATTGTAATTGTCCGATTTTTCTGATTTTACTTTGTTCCATTATGTTATTGTGATATTATTGGATAAATTTATCTATGGTTTTATAATAATCACAGGTATCTGTGTAACACACATTAAGAGTTTTGAATGTAGATTTATAATCTGTGGTGATGTGAATGTATATAACAATTTATTAAACTTGTATGTTGCATAACTTAAATGTTTGTTTTTTATTATGATTTAAAGATAAGCATCCTAAATGTTTACATTTACAAAATTTGGATCTAATGAGAAAACTGCAAAAGATTTAATCATGGGGCAGTTATCTGAGAAAGTCACAGCAACATATGACTGATGTGGTGCATTTCTTGAATGAGAGGGTGTTTCATCCTCTGGAAAAAGGGCCAAATCGGCTCGGGGACATTTGTCTATAAGAAAAAAAAACTATGTTCCATTTGATTGTGTAACCTTGACTGAAATATTCATTTATTCACTTACTACAGATGTGTAGTTCTCTCTGATCCTTTGAAAGACACTTCCCGCTCTCAGGAATCCTGGAATGCCTTCTTGACAAAACTTAGGACACTTCTTCTCATGTCCTTTACCAAAAATCTAGGCAAATTTGAGGATGACATGAGGACTTTGAGAGAGAAGAGGACAGAACCAGGGTGGAGTTTTTGTGACTATTTTATGGTCCAGGTAAATTAAAATACTATATAAAAATAATTTCTTAAAACAATATTTTTACATTGCTTTGCTTTGCTACTCATGTAATAATAGAACCTTTTTGTGATTAAAATATATGTTCTTAAAATGACTATAAGCTAAAATCATGAGCAAAAGCTCTAATTTTGCTTGCATAAGTAGCCAATCCAAAGTCAAACTGGGTTATTTATCAGAGAGCTTATAGACTTCATATTTTTAAACAGTTATGATGTTGCAGCAGAGTGATAATATTTACAAGGTTTTCCTGGAAAATATGATTTGCTGTTTGATTGTTTTTTCTGTTATAATCCTGATGTCAACATTCCGACTAACACACCCAACCAAAGCAGGCACCAAAGTGGACAATCCAATCTCTTAATGCAAAATTTTATTGAGTACATCATTTTGGCACTAAAGAGGGCAAAACCAGATCTAGCTAATTCCCGCACAAACCCACATAATCAAAGTATAGGATTCTCCCCCTCCACATTATTGTAGGTCACATTGTCCAATTGAGTCCCATTGTATTGTTATGAGAAAAAGTCTTTGGCTTTGGCAAAGACCTGCTGAAGTGTCCTTGGCTCTCATACTCGTCTTCTTGATATCTGGAGCCTACATTTCATCTCCCCCATCCCTCCCCCCTGGTTCGTTAGCAAGCTGAGAAGCAACAATGGTTGCAACAGCAAAAGCGCACTTTGAGTCTTGGCACCTGATCAGTTATGTGCATGTATCTTTTAAGTGTGCGTGTTTGTGTGTGAATATATAATGTTTTTTATTTGTATTAAAAGGAAGAATTGGCTTTCGTATTTGAAATGCTTCAGCAATTTGAAGATGCCCTGGTGCAATATGATGAACTGGATGCTCTATTTTCTCAATATGTTGTCAATTTTGGTGCTGGTGGTAAGTATTTCTGTATATGCTTGATTATTTTTCCTTTGCAACATTTCAGTAAAAGCCATGGGGATTGTTTAAACTTGTTATTGCTAAAAAAAACCTGCGTATTTTGGAAATATTAAAATATTTTCATCTGTTCTGTATCTTATTGTATATATTTTCTTGTCATAGATGGGGCAAATTGGCTGACCTTTTTTTGTCAGCCAGTGCGAAGCTGGAATGGGTTGGTTCTTCGTAAACCAATAGATATGGAAAAAAGAGAACTGATTCAAAACCAGGAAGCTACTCTGTTAGATCTGCGCAGTTACCTTTTTTCTCGTCAATGCACATTACTGATCTTCCTTCAGAGGCCATGGGAAGTATCTCAGCGAGCACTAGAACTTCTTCATAATTGTGTGCAAGAGCTAAAGCTTCTTGAAGTAAGTCTGGTTAATTCAATCCAAGTAATTAAAGCTTAAGTCTCTGTCATGTTTCATTTGCCATAGGTTATAGAGATGATGCATAATTTCAAATAGGATTGCTAGCAGTTAGTGGTTTATGTTAACTGTGCAAAAGTTCCAGGAAGCAGATTATAGTTTGGTATAGAAATTATAATTGAATCTTTTAAGTCAAAGAAGGTGAAATTGTTTTATACCTCTTTTTTATCTGCAATAATTGTCTCTTCACATTTGAACCAACATATGTCTGATGTCTTGAAACTGGATAGGAAATTAATAGCTTGATAAACTTACATTTTACCTGAGAAAAACAATGTTCCCCGTTAAGTAATCTACAATAATTGTTTTATAAACAGCCAAGTGACGTTTTAAATAATTTATTCAGTCCTTGTTTTACAAAAATAGGTTGTAGCAGTATTTTAGGTGAATTAAGGCAGATAATGTTTGTCACTTCTTAGATATGAATACAGTTTGAAGTCATTCCACCTCTGGGAAAAATGTGGAATGAATGTATAAAAATGAAATTCATCTTTTTCTTCTGTTACTTTCTGCAATGCTTCTGATAATGTAGTTGGGAATGTGGTGGAGTTCATATTTTGGATGCCAGAAAATATAAAATCTTTTTAAAAAAATGTCTTTTGATGCATTAGAAGTGAAAAACAATGCCTAGGTTTAGGATATGCAATTTGTGCCACTTTAGAAGTTTCTGAATTCCTCCTCCTGCATCATTCAGTGTACTGGCTATAGCCGCTAGAAACTGTAATTCAGCAACATCTACAATGCCAACGTTTACTTATTTCTTATGGCTTATATCAAGTATGGATCCAATTCAGAATAGATTCAGAAGTATTGCATTATTACATTATTTCCATTTTCTATACAATTAACTTTATAAAGTTGGAAGTTATTTCTGTTCATATAGATTTTTTAGCCTTACAGTTCTGACTTTGACTGCAATTATCTCCATTTGGAAGAAATGATAAATTTTAAATCATGGTTCCAGAAACAAATGTTCACCGCCTTATTAATAATGCCTGCACTGGGAATCGGATAAAAAAGAATAACATATAAGCTGTCTGATTTATCTGAGTAGTAACTTAAAAGAAACGTTATTAGTAGAGAATAATTTTAAAAAGAACAGTACTATAAAGCATGCACTACGTCCCAAATGACAGGAGTATAGCCTTTTAACAATGGGGCACTTGTAAATCTACCTCGCATAATTGCAGAAGGTAGAATATTTAGTATGTCAGTAAAAAAGCCTGGAGATACCTTGGAAAGAAGTTTATAGGTAAATCTTTGAGTAAGAGCCTGGGCCAGGATTTTAAAGTTCTCAGTGGCATAGGATTACATTTTACATTTTAAATAACAGAATGGAAGCATTGACATGTAGAAGACTCATATTACCATTTTTAATTTAACAGATGTTTTAAATTAAACAGTAATTTCTGTTCTAGTCATATCTACTTCTTTGTCTGTCCCTATTCTCTTTCCACCATTGCTTCTCTCCCTATTTTACCACCCAATTTGCCATGTATGTGGGGCTGTAGAAGCACAGCATGAGATTAAAAACAATAATCTTATTGATATCAGGGTCTTGGTCTAAGTATTATATTTAAGAGCAAACATTTTAAAATAATTTTTATAAGTTATTCTTGTTTGTTTACTTGTGTTATTCTTTGTTTACTTGTGTTATGTTTGTCAGATATTTTGACAGTTTTTGTCTGTGTAGGATTTTAGCATACTCTTAGAAAATAAGACTTGCTTATTTTTTAGCTGTCAATATCTGACGGTTGACTGATTTGGATGAATCCCTTACTCTCTCTTTTAGTTGTTCTGATTGTCTTCCCCCTACATCTTTCCCTTTTCTTCCTTCCTTCTTAGTGGCATTATGGGTACATGGATTACATTCTTTCTTGCTTCTGTTTATTTTTAAAAAATATGTTCTGTAATTATATTTATATTTAATTTATATTTCTGTCCTCTTCAGTTAGCGCATAGTACTTTTGTTCTGTACAGTTTTGTGTTGTGTGAGAGCATATTAAAATCTTTCAAAAATAATTTTTTGTCTTAAGTTATATTCTGTAATAATATTCATACTGATTGATCTCTTAACTGAATTTATTTTAAGGTCTCTGTTCCTCCTGGGGCTTTGGATTGTTGGGTCTTCTTAAGCTGTCTTGAGGTTTTGCAAAGAATAGAAGGTTGTTGTGATCGGTCTCAAATTGATTCTAATGTTTCCCACACAGTTGGATTATGGAGTTATGCCACTGAAAAGGTGAGCAGAAGTAGAACTGTGACCAAAAAACAATCACATTTAAAATACATTTAGAATAGAAAATATTCTATATTTTTTGTTAAAATCAGGACATGTTTAATTAAAAATATTCCTCTATATAGCATTTTATTTTTGAAGTATTAAAGTTTTACTGATGCAGTAATATGCTAATATATGGAATAGCAGACTATCTTATTTTCTTCAGACAACATTGTATCATCAGAATGTATTTGGATGGCCATGGTTCAAGCTAGTGTATATAACTTCATTTATCCAGTTGGCAACTTGTTTTCTCTATGAAAACTCTCTCTCTCACACACACACTATCTATATGATTATATACTAGATTATAAATGCTGAGAGAATTAGTATCATCTCACTCATGCTACCTTATTAGTATGGCATTCTATTCTATACATTATGTGCTGGACCTAATTATATATCTATGTACAATCCAGTATGTGTAGAAATCAATTATGCCAAGTATGTACACACACACACACACACACACACACACACTTTGGTTATGCAAATATATATGTAATTTCCTAATTATTTCTTATAAATATCACTCTTGCAAGTTGTTTATATTTATTCTTTTGAAAAAATAAATTTGTTTTTCAAATTTGCAAAATAAAGTTTTGCACATCTTAGCTTAATAAATTTCAGACAGTTAACTATGTTACAATATTAAGAGATAGATTTAAAATTTGTTAGCTTTTATCGAAACTTGTCAGTATCCAATTTCTAAATTTTAACAAAAACTTATAAGTCTTTTTTAATATACATTATTACCATAAAATGAAGATACTTCTTGTTTATACTTCTCTTACAGTTGAAATCTTTGGGGTACTTATGTGGACTTGTGTCAGAAAAAGGTCCCAATTCAGAAGATCTTAACAGAACAGTTGATCTTTTGGCAGGACTTGGAGCTGAGCGTCCTGAAACAGGTATCAACATATCTGCTTATAAAACAGATTGATGCTTTTCAAGTAATAATTGATATTTAGAATCAGTGGTTATGCATTTGTTTGAATATGTGCTAGTGATTATTTTTAATATGCTTTTATTCTTTTTAAAATAAACTTGAAAAACTGAAGAGTATATCCAATAAGATAATTCAAACTAACATTTTGTATTGTCCCAAGAGGGAGGGCTTACAAGGGAAGTGAAGTTGAGGAACACAGATGTTCCCAGTCCATTCAGGAGTCCTTCTTTGGCCCAAAAAGGAATTGAAAGCCAAATCTGATCTGAATGTAAAAACTATCTTTTGCTTTCTACCTGTAATAGCTGGTGGCAGGTTTCTATTTTTGCAAATATAGCATGGATTTTTGTTGCAGAGGTGCTAGTGAACATTCCCCTTTAATGGAGGCAGTAGCATTATAGCTACATCTGAATTTCCTCCATCCATCAATAGTTAGAATTAAAATTGAAATCCTTAGCAGAACACTTAGTGCAAAGCTGTGGATGATGCTTTTGCTTATGTTTTCTATTATGTTCTGTTTTTTTTCTGAAGCCAATACAGCACAGTCTCCTTATAAAAAACTCAAAGAAGCTTTATCATCTGTAGAAGCTTTTGAAAAGCATTATTTGGTAAGGATGGTTTATGTATTTATATATTTATAAAATATGTTGAGGATGGCTAACTACATAACTAGTATTCTAATTAATAGTTAGAATAGTATAGTGTTTTTAGATGTGAATTAGAATGTAGTTTGAAAAATAGCATACATTAGCAGCTCAATCACTTAGTAAAATGAATTTAAAGTGTAAAAATTTGGATATCCAAAATGAAACATCTCAGCTAAGAACATTAATCAAAGTACCTCTCCCTGAAATATTATATGTATATACGAATTCTGGAGTGGAAACTAATTGAATTTTGTAGTCAACTCTTTCATTTTAATATGCTCTTGGTAACACTTAGATGAATAAATAAAAGTGCTATGTCATTAAAAAGCTTACGACTTTTAAATGGTGACTTGAGTCCCTTAAGTTACAGAATCTTGTTTGCTTAGACCAACTTTAGGACATCTATATTCCTGAATTTAGATAAATTAAACCTAAATTAAAAAAGGATGAGTTGTAACAGTATAGTGTATCCTCAGTCCTTTTGTTTCTTTTTCACAGGATCTTTCACATGCTACTATTGAAATGTACAAAAATATTGGAAGAAAACGCTCAGCAAATCTTGTTGGAAAGGATCTGGCAGAGTTTTACATGTATATAAACTTATTGGAATTGTTGCATATAATATTCTGAAAAGGGTATCTCTAACTACTACGTGCATTTCACCTTTAACCATAAAAGCACACTGCAGTGCTTTTGAATAGTTGGAGAACTGTAACTTCCAGGTTCCCTACCCATATCTTGGCAGAGGCTAAATATTCCACCGATTACAGGATGGTGCAGCCTTATTAAATCTTAAAAGATAATATTTTCCAAACTATGTTTTATTCTGCTATTTGTGGCAGCCAGAAATAGCACACATTCTCTATTTGGGAAAAATACTTAATTACTGCCAAACTATGCTGCTCTGACTACTGAACCAGGATACTAGAACAGTGTTGGTCACTTAAATATTTTATTGATTATTGTAATGGGCAAAAGGAATCCTATGTATATTAAGGTGTACTCTTTTTATAAAGTTCTTTCTGATAAAATACACTGATCAGTAGTTAAGTTACTAGCTTCTCTGTACAATACAAAGAAAATTACCTTAGATCTAGAATAGGGAAAGAGAGTACTTTGTGATTTTGAAACTTCAAATGTATTTGCATGTGAATAAATGTTTAGGGAAGAATTTAATAGACTTACTTTTTTTGTAGCACATGACCTGGAAATATGGTTTAGTTATATTCTAGCTGGATTTTATATGTTTATTAGTGAATTGACTCTACTAAATGAAGAATTTGCCACCTATTCATTAGTTGATAGTTGTAATAGACAATAGCTAAAGAAAAGGGTTTATAAATAAAAGCTATATATGAATGCATTTAATGTGTTTTCTTTTCTTCCCTTTCTTTTGATGATTTTGTTCCTAAGGAAAAAGAAGAGTCCTCAAAAAGCCGAGATTTACCTTCAAGGTGCATTAAAAACTTATCTTGCTGAAGGATGGGCATTGCTTATTACACATACACGAAAGCAATTAGCAGAATGTCAGAAGCACCTTGGACAAATTGAAAAGTATCCCTTTTTTAAAAAAGTGGAAAATTGCTGATTATGTGTGCTTGGATTTATCTTATTAAGTAAGGGCGGGTAGTAGAACCAAAAACACATCTGAGAGGAGCAGAAATATTAACTTCCAAAAGGCTGCATGTGTTCATATTGCTATGTAATAAAGATAGATACCCTTTAATCAAACTTGACTCTTGAGTACCTCAGTGCAGTTCCTTTGGTAGCAGCATAAAACAGTTTGCCATATATTTGACTTCCCATCTAAGTATTTTGTCCTGGGATGCATTGATGGTTCCTTATGCAAATATTAAACAGGCCTAACTTTGCTTAGCTTCAGAGTGCAGACAAGGTCGAAAATGTAAATATATAGCACACTCATGAATTTGAATAGACTCATCCCTGAGGATATTTAAATTTATTGAATTCTATTTATTTAATTTTCCACTTTTTAAGCTTTTATTAACTTTGCTAATTCCCTACTATTAGGTTATTTCCTTTTTAACATAGTCAATTCCAGCATTTTAAACAATGCTAATTAGTGCCAAATACTGTATAATCTCCAGATTCAATTTCCTATTCTGTTATAATCAAAAGTTTCTCTCTGAATTGTATCACTTCTGTTTAAGACATTTTCAAAAATTTCTTATGTTTTCCAATTTCTCTCTTTCTTTCAAATCGTCGCTAAAACAATCCTTCACGAGAATTCTTTCCTGTTATTTCCAGGGTTAACTTTTAAAGTGCAAAGTATTTCACCTGGTCCACACACTGTTCATGACTCACTGGTCCAGCATAACCTTAGTTTCCCAGATAGCTTCCCATCTTCATGGTAGCCATTGTAGGCTACCGCTACAGCTCGTCTTCAGAGGGAGTGTTCCTAGCCAGGAAGGGGAGATGCAGCTCCCCTCGACCCAACAAGCGGTCCCCCTTTCTTCATCACCTCTCCACAGTGGTTCTGGTCCTCTTTGGGACACTTCAATGAGTAGAGCTCGGACCAGAGCCATGCACGATCACGGACTCCAATCCAACTTCCATGGAAGTGCCACTGGAAGTTGTCTGGGTCATATGATCATGGGGATGTTACAAAGGCCATAAGTGAACAGCTATTAAGTGAACTGTTGTAAGTCGAGGACTACCTGTATGCTTTTATTTTTTTGTTGTAGTTAAGGGTAACATGCAAAACTACCAGTAGGATCATGGAAGCCTGTTATATCATGTATTATCATATATTATCATCATTCCCTAAAAATTATAGTAATTACATCCATTCTAAATGAAGCTAAGAAAAAAAATCAGTTTCTAGCAAGGTATTGTGTATCATGTTCCTTTAGTTATATATTTAATGGTTCAGATACTCCAATAGAATTTTTTTGCAGTTCTTAAAAGAGATTCTCAAATCAAAGGAAATATGCTAGATGAGGAAGAATGGATGGGTTGATATGCATGTGTGTGCACGCGTGCACCCACATGCACACACATACACATACAGGTAGTCCTTGATTTACAACCACAACTGAGCCCATAATTTCTGTGGGTGAGACATTTGTTAAGTGAATTTTGTGCCATTTTACAATCTTTCTTGCCACAGTTGTTGGTGAATTACTGTAATTGTTAGATTACATGGGTTGTTAGGTGAATTTGGCTTTGCTTACCAGAAGGTTGCAAAGGGTGAACACATGACCCAGGGACACTGCAACCATCATAAATATGAGTCAATTTCCAATGTCTGAATATTGAACATGTGACCACGGGAATGCAGCAAAGGTTGTGTGAAAAATGGTCATGAGGCAATTTTTTTCAGTGCCATTGTAACTGAATGTTACTAAATGAACTTGTAAATTGAGGACTACTTTGTGTGTATTTGTGTGTGTGTGTATCCCTTTCTCTTGCTTCTATTTAATTGCCTTAAATACATATTTTCACATGTTCATATTTGAATCACAGTTTTAAATAAAGCATCAAGAATACTGGGTGATATAGAAAAAATGGTTTTTGCACTATTTCAGCATAAAATTGCTACTGAACTACTAAAATTATTGGATTATTATCTGTTTAGTGTTTCTGATGAAGGGAAGATAAAAGAATTGACTGATTTTTTATCAAGAGTTGTGTACATTCTTTTCCCATCCTTCCTTATCTTTGTGCTAGCTATCTTCAGACAAGCAGTCTTTTAGCTGGTGATAATAACTTAACTGAAGAAGAGCGGAAACATTTTTGCCAAGAAATATTAGATTTTGCCAAACAACCCTCAGAAAAAGAAGGTAAGTTTGAGGGAATCAATCAAACTTCAAATAAACTACTTTCAACTTCATTTGGTGAATGTCAAAATAATGTCTTAATTTTCTCAAGATTTTTACTTGTGCCTGCCTTATTTTATTTTGTTTGATTACAAGTAATTTCAGGTCAGTTTAGTTTTAAATTCTATGTAAATCCAGCAATTATATCACATTTACAAAATATGATAATTCGGTTTTAGGTTTTTAGAGCAACAAGTTTCTAGTCTTTACAGCAGAAAAAATACAGTTTAAATATATAAGTAATATTTTTGAAACCACAGAAGCCAGAAAAGTGAATGAATACATTTTCAAATAGGTTTAACTCGAAGCTTTATATCTCCCTTATTCTAGAACATACTAGAAGAAAATGATAAATGGCAAAATAGTTTGCATACAGCAAGAGAAAAAAAACAATATAATTTGCATAATATATTTACTTTTCTTAATATTAATTCCCTTATTTTAATTTAGTTAACTTAAAGCTACACTCTATCTTAAGTGTTTAATTCAGCGAAATGTAGGGTTAAAAAATATTTTAGGTGTACTCAATGTTTTGTTTCAAACTGCAGGGCTTTAAATAAAATTGTTTTGGGTTTGAGGATCAATGAGGTCATGTATATTTATTGAGTTACATATATTTAAAGGACTAAACTAAGAAATTATTTTTCCCTTAAGGTTATTATAATTAGATAAATGGAAATGTTGTTTTAGTAGAACTGATCCTGCCAACATAATGTACCATAAATCCCATTTATATTTTATTCCCAGGACAGAAAGTTATGCTTTCCATACATTCCTTTGCACAGTTGAAGAATCTACATTTTGATCCTCCTAATGCTGTGGTTCATGTGGGTGGAACCCTATCTATAGAACTGACGTTGGTAAATCTGATGCCCATCTCAGTGAATGTGGATCACATTGCTATTAATGTCCATTTCAGCATTGAAAAAAATAGCTACCGGAAGACAGCTGAATGGCTTACAAAGCACAAGACTTCCAATGGTATTATCAACTTTCCAAATGAAATTGTAGGTGTTTCTCTTTCAAGAAGTGGCTTACAAGGGCTGGAGTTGTATGAAATGTATGAGAGAAGTCCCTCGGATAATTCTTTGAACACAACAGGAATCATCTGCAAAAATGTGCATATGCTCTTACGAAGGCAGGAGAGCAGCTCTTCACTGGAAATACCTATAGGGCTGACTCTGGAGGATGGGGCCCACATATTAAAATGTAGCAATTTAATACTGGAACCAGGGATCAATAAAATAACTTTCAGAACCCAGGTATGTTTTGTACTTTTGCCACACAGAAATGTGTAGTTTGGGATTATTTTCCTTAGAAAATTAATGAACTAATACAGGTGAAACTCGAAAAATTAGAATATCATGCAAAAGTTCATTTATTTCAGTAATGCAACTTAAAATGTGAAACTAATACATGAGATAGAATCATTACATGCAAAGCAAGATAGTTCAAGCCGTGATGTGTCATAATTGGGATGATTATGGCTTATAGCTCATGAAAACCCCAAATACACAATCTCAGAAAATTAGAATATTGTGAAAAGGTTCAATATTCTAGGCTCAAAGTGTCCCACTCTAATCAGCTAATTAAGCCATAACAGCTGCAAAGTGTTCTTGGGCCTGACCCTTCAGTCTGGTTCAGTAGGAATCACAATCATGGGAAAGACTGCTGACCTGACAGTTGTGCAGAAAACCATCATTGACACCCTCCATAAGGAGGGAAAGCCTCGAAAGGTAATTGCAAAAGAAGTTGGATGTTCCCAAACTGCTGTATCAAAGCACAATAGAAAGTTATGTGGAAGGGAAAAGTGTGGAAGAAAAAAGTGCACAAGCAGCAGGGATGACCGCAGCGTGGAGAGGATTGTCAGGAAAAGGCCATTCAAAAGTGTTGGGGACTTTCACAAGGAGTGGACTGAGGCTGGAGTCAGTGCATCAAGAGCCACCATACACAGACGGATCCTGGACATGGTCCTCAAATGTCGTATTCCTATTGTCACGCTGCTCCTGAACAACAAACAACGTCAGAAGCGTTTTACCTGGGCTAAAGAAAAACAGACCTAGTCTGTTGCTCAGTGGTCCAAAGGCCTCTTTTCTGATGAGAGCAACTTTTGCATCTCATTTGGAAACCAGGGGCCCAGAGTCTGGAGGAAGAATGGAGAGGCACACGCTGCAAGATGCTTGAAGTCCAGTGTGGAGTTTCCACAGTCTGTGTTGATTTGGGGAGCCAAGCCGTCTGCTGGTGTTGGTCCACTGTGCTTCATTAAGTCCAGGGCCAACACAGCCGTCTACCAGATTTTGGAGCACTTCATGCTTCCTTCCGCAGACGAGCTTTATGGGGATGCTGACTTCATTTTCCAGCAGGACTTGGCACCTGCCCACACTGCCAAAAGCACCAAAACCTGGTTCAATGGGATTACTGTGCTTGATTGGCCAGCAAACTCGCCGGACCTGAACCCGATAGAGAATCTATGGGGCATTGCCAAGAGAAAGATGAGAGACATGAGACCGAACAATGCAGAAGAGCTGAAGGCCGCTATTGGAGCATCCTGGTCTTCCATAACACTTCAGCATGCCACAAGCTGATAGCTTCCATGCCACGCCGCATTGAGGCAGTAATTGCTGCAAAAGGGGCCCAAACCAAGTACTGAGTAGATATGCATGCTTATACTTTTCAGAGGTCTGATATTGTTCTATGTACAATCCTTGTTTTATTGATTGCATGTAATATTCTAATTTTCTGAGATTGTGGATTTGGGGTTTTCATGAGCTGTAAGCCATAATCATCTCAATTATGACAAATCTTGGCTTGAACTATCTTGCTTTGCATGTAATGAGTCTATCTCATATATTAGTTTCACCTTTTAAGTTTCATTACTGAAATAAATGAACTTTTGCACGATATTCTAATTTTTCGAGTTTCACCTGTATAATATTTTTGACTCACATGTTTAATTGGGTTCTTTTTATCTCATTTTAGGATTTGCATAGAGAATAGATAATAGTTTAGCTCATATTTATGAAGAAATATTGAGAGTTCCAAAGGATACACAAGCTTTTAAATACCACTGTACTGTGTACACAGAAACATTGACCAATACAAAAAATAAAGATAAACAGAAAAGATCAAAAGCAAAGCAAACCCAAAACTCAGTTTGTAATCAATTAACACGACACAAAAAAAACACTCCATTCTTAAAACTGAAAATTCTCATGATATTGAGGGGCCTGGTATGAAGACCATCAAATAATAACTGGTCATAGGTGAAAATTTAACTAACAATGGCCAATTCAAACATGTATGTACATGAAATAGCACAATTCCTAATGCGAAGGATTTATTTGTGTAAAGAAGAGCTTCACTATGGCTGGTTGACCTGCATATGCTTTTCCTGCTACATATAGCAGAACACAGTTCAATATTCACAGGGTGGAATGGTTGGAAGTAGAAACTAGATGATAGTCCTCTTCAAATTAATGTAAGTTCAAATTATTTAATATAAAAGTGAACTGAAGCTGTGTTAGGTCTTTTTGCTCTGTTCATAAAAATACAGAATATACCAGTGGTTATATGGGTATCCCTTTGAGGATGAAAAATGCATTCTATTTCGTGTAATTATATGCTGATCAGATGTTAAATCTCTTGCTTTGCATAAATAGCCTTCTTGAGAAGAAGTTTAATATATAAATACTTCAAATGTTCTCATAGGGCAAAGAACCTGGAACATATACACTTAGGCAGTTATGCCTTTCAGTGGGCAAAATGCAATTTGTTCTACTTCATATTTATCCAATTGTGCAGTATGATATCTATTCTCAGGAGCCGCAGCTAAAAGTGGAACCATGTACTGGTAAGTAAATAATTAGAAGTTGTACTTCGTTATTATTTCTTATAGTTTTAAAATTATTTCTCAATCAGAAAAACTGCAACCTAACTTGTGAGGACTAAGTTCCTTGCAGCTATCTTCCATTAATCATTTAAAATAATAATAATAATGTATTTGGACCAAATGTAATTTGATTGTTCCTAAGTGATAGCTTACACATATTTAAAGATGTTATTGGTTATTTGTTTTGGGAATTTACACATTTAAACCTTGAAAATGATTACTAATGATTACAATATGGAAGTGTCTCAGTGTTGAGAAAAAGTGTGTTAATTCTTTATATTTGTGAATGCTCCATTAATAGCAGTTTAAATCTCAGATCTTATTAGAAGTCACAGTACTGCATTATTGCAGATAATTCTAAAGAGTTTACAAACTTTTTCTTACTGCAGTATATAATAATTTCTTTAAAATCAAGAATAAATATAGCTTGATGAATTCAGGGGAACTGTTAAATGAACTTCACTGTTCATGTAATGGCACTAAATATTTTTAAAATGTGTATCTGTTGTAATATATGAGAATATCATAAAAATATGGAACGTAATAGAGTGAGTTCCTGGCACTGTCTTCATTTCCTGTGTTCATTGTGAAGGTTTAAGCTGTTTCTAATGGATGAAAATACTCAGCTCCTTGTTCATCTAAAACAAGATGTTCTACAAATAATCTCTACTTATAAAGCTGTTTGCTTGAGATCTTTCATAATTAAATGAAAGTGAAATACTCATATGATAGAATTATGTGATAGCAAACAGGATATTTGAACAGCATTTTATTGTTTTGTGAATGCTGAAATAATACCCATATGTGTAATAGACTTGATATGTGTAATAGAGTTGATATGGGGCTATTCATAACATGGTAAATGATTTGGTATTGCTGGAAAATTGTTCAAAAATGTGAACATTGCAGTTTATTGTTTCTAAATCATACGATCATGCACCTGGAAGAAAAGGAATCCTCTGGCTGGGTATAGTATTGCGGGTACAGTGGTAGAACAACAGAAGAAACAAATTTAGGTGCGCTCATAGCAAACAGCGTGGCAAACAGCTGTGAAGACAAACAAAATTTTGGGATGCATCACTAGAGGGATCACAAGCAGCAAAAAGGAGGTCATAATCCCACTGCATAGAGTATTTATTAGTCAGAGCCCATTTGGAATAATGTGTCCAGTTCTAGATACCTAGAAACCTTAAAGGGTAGACTCAATTGACCACTAGGTCTTTTTTTGCCATCAGTTTTCTATGTTTCTACAGAGAATTTGTGATTTGATTCACTGAAACTTTTTGGTAAATAATATTTATTACCTTTCTGGTGGTCCCAATATAACAGAATTAACAGTGTTTTCTTAATGTGTATTTTGTTTGTTCCTTTTGTATGTCTCTGTTTTAGCTAAGCTGTTAATTTAGCAGTTATTGGACAAACTTTTTGGAGTTTTTAATGTAGACTGTCAAACTTTTTTAATGTACACTGTCAAGACGGGGAAGGAAGATGGATGGATGGATGGATGGATGGACAGACAGATGATAGAACTTTCTGAGCTCTTACAGGCACAGTATTGTATTTTTAAATGTTTATATGTGATAAAAATTAGGGTTAGGGTTAGGCAATTAGGCACAGTAAAACAGATCTTGTGCAGTTGATTCAGTAATATCCAAATTATGTTATGCAAGCAATGATTCCTTTGCCACACCCCTTATTATCAACTCATTATTCTCCAGATAGCCTTTTGGCTGGCATTCCTCAGAAGGTAAAATTTACAGTGACTACTGGCCACTATACTATAAAGAGTGGAGATGCATTACAACTAAGTAATGCTGATGCTATGCCTGTCTTGTACCATCCTGAAAGCAAAGCTGTGATTTATTCAAACACTCAAGGTATTTATATTTTTTGTTACACTCAAGATATTCAGTTTTGTTACATTTTAATCCTATGATAAAAGAAATTCCAGATTATAAACAATGAAATTGTAGTTGTTAACACATAGTGCACCATTTTCACTGAGATCTTATTTTTTGTTGCATTTAACAATATTTTGTGACAATTGCAGTTTGCATTTTATTATGATTTGGTATAATATGTGTATAGTTGCTCTGTGAGTGTGTAATGGATAGTTTCCAAATTTGATACATACATTTATAAAATTAAATAGAATCAAATCTATTTCTGAAGTTTTACTTCTCCTTTCTTCCATGCTGTTTAAAACACAGGGAAATAGCATTAGAAGTAACATTAAGTCTTAGAACATCCACACATCTGTTGCTGTTGCCAATTAATGAGAATGTGTTTTCACAATGAATTCTCTATCTTAGTGCTAACAAGTTTCTGAAGTAGGTTTGGTTGTAGGGTGATCTAGCAGGCAACTAGAGTTTTTCATAAGAAAACAAAATAAACCCTCCTCAGTAAAACTTGAAAGTCAACTTCTGCAAAGCATAAGAATATGCATAGAATGCACAACCATAAAAAGCTTAAGAAATAATTTTGTATTAATATAGTAATTTTATATACGTAGATATGCATATACACATTGTGCATGTATGTATCTAAAATATTAATACAAAACTGATTTATGCCAAATCATAAGCAACCAAGCAACCATTATTAAAATATTAAGATTATGTGCCTTCAAAAGAATACAACACACTTGTGGCCTTTCCTACATGCATAACCTTAATTTTCTCATAACAATAATTTAGAAAAACTTTGCTCTGCTATTTTTCTGACTAACAAGGAATTTAAGTCCTATTTTATTTTGAATACTTAACTCCTACTCCAGCCCATCCAATCTACAGCAATAGAAGTTTGGGCATGGCTGATCACGAATGTGCTGGTGCTGGTTATCTCCTTCTGCTTCCTTTCTCCCTTAAAACAATTACAATACTCAGAACAAATAAAATAAAACTGTGAAACACATACTTTACTTCATGCTTGGAACATTCAAAATAGTTACTTGGAGGTCAAAACAGGGTTTGCTTATATGTTACCAACTGAATAATTTATTAATTCAAATATAAATTATAGTCTCTAATTTATATTTCATACAATTTTAGAAAAGGTATCAGAAGCATCATTAACTGTTCAGTCATCTGAAAAAATCACAAGCATCAGTTTACCGATGGTTCCTGCTTATCATGTGATTACCTTTGAACTTGAAGTTTTATACTCACCATCAGTCCCAATATGTATGATGGAAAATGAGAATCTATCAAGTAAAGAGTGTAGGAAAAAGGGCAAAGAGAAAGAAACATCTTACAATAGCATGACTACGATTGACCAAAAGGTAAGAAATTATGAATAAAGATTAATATTTAAATTAACTAAAAATGAAATTCAGATGTCAATATCACATTTCAAACTGGCAAATAGTTCTATATTAATAGTTTGCTGTGCTGCTGTTTTGATCCCTGGAGATGTTTTGCTAATCTTCCAATGTTTCTGTATTGTTTTGCATTATTTTTGCTAAACATACACACATCAATTCCTGAGAGAGTTTGAATATATTTTCAAGCTTGCTATTCCAACTAGTTTGCTTTAAAATGGTTGTTTTGTGCATTTGATGCAGAGATGAAAGAATTGCAAGACAATAAATCTGTAATAAATTAATTCAGGATTCTGGATTGGATTGGAATGGATTGGATTGGATGTGCTATGCTACATATTCTTCACTTACTCTTCCATGCCCAAAATTGAAAAATGTAGCAACTATTTGTCTGTAAATAGAAATTTTAAGCCATATATCAGATGATTTTATTATATGTTTCATATAGGTAACCATCGATTGTCCATGGTCAATTTACTCCACTATTATTTCACTTACCTTCAGTGTACCTTTTAAAGCCAAGCATTCCTTATTATCAGCAGGCATAAGGTAACTTATTCAAAATTCTCATTTTCTATTCCATCATAAAAGCTTTTCTTATCAAAACTATGAATTAGGTAGTTTGAATGAGCAGGAAGGGTTGAAAATACTTTTTAATCCCAAGGGTCCTTTTATATTTTAAATTGCAACTCCAAACCTACAACTTCCTTGGGAGAAAGCTCTGTTGAATTTAGTTTGACTCTTCTAAGTAGGTATGTATACAATTGTACTGTCAATTGTGTGGTGGGATATTTTACCATTCAAATGAGATCTTTGCTTAAAACATCATTTTAGGGTATAATCTAATGTAAATTAGCATGTTTTTCTTATTTTTTAAACTATTGTTTTCATTTGGTTAATTCTGCTGCAAGGGTATACATGCGTGCGTGCACACAACTCAATTAAATTGTATATAGCAATACCTCTTTATAATAGTTTCTTATTTTTAATTTTATTTTTTCTTATTTTAGGAAATATATACAAGTTTGTGTGCAGAACATGTCCGAAATCTGTTTTCAATTCTCTGAAAATAATCTCAAAAGTTCTGACATTTACCTAGATTTAAGTCTTCAACCTCTAAATCCTAAAGCTGAACAGGTAATTATTTTACATGTATTTCTTGTAATAACATAAAACATAGATTTGAACTACAACTCAATTTCACTCATTTTGTTATGCATCTTAAAAGTTATAAATATATATATGTGGCTTCAAAAAATCAAGTGTTTATTTTAAAAATGATTATAAAAGCTATCATTTTATTGTAATGCCTGAAAAGATTTGGGAAGAACAAATGGAACCTCACGAGTCCCTTGTCTCATCTAATGCACTTTTATGGAGAGAAGGGGCGTTGGTTCTTACCTGATACGCTTCTTTTCATGGGGCTGCGGAGAGCGTCCAGATTGGGAGGTGCTTCAGTCTCGGCTCCTACAGGCTGAGCTTGAAATTGAGGAACGCCTCTTGCCATCACGTGGTCCTCCGGCGTCCCAGTTTTGCGAAGACGAGAAGGCAGGCCCTGTACTCGTGCTAACTAAAGAACGTTAATGTGCTTGGCTGAACGATGAGGTTCCCCACCAGACGGCTTAATGGGTGGGGCTGGACGCTCTCCGCAGCCCCATGAAAAGAAGCGTATCAGGTAAGAACCAATGCCCCTTTTCCATGGAGCTGCTACGAGCGTCCAGATTGGGACATACCAAAGCTTGGCTAGTCCTCCGGGTGGGTTCCCGTCTGGGGTGGAACCTCCTCTGGAACTTCGATAACACGCTGAAGGACACGCCTGCCAAAGGAAGCCTCAGCGGATGCAAATATATCAATCTTATAGTGCTTGATGAAGGGAGAGGGGGATGTCCAGGTGGCAGCCCTACAGATGTCAAGTATCGAGGCTTGCGTGGCCCATGCGGCAGAAGTAGCCGCACTTCTGGTGGAGTGGGCGGTGATGCCCACTGGAGCGGAAAGTGACTGAGCCTGGTAGGATTTGGCGATAGCGGCCCTAATCCAGCGGCCCACAGTTGAGGGCGTCACCTTGCGACCGAGAGAAGCAGGATGGAAAGACACAAATAAGGCCTCTGACTTGCGAAAGGGCTGGGTGCGTGTGATATACATCCTCAAGGCGCGTCTTACATCAAGGAAGTGCCACTGCCTCTCTTTCTCGTGAGAAGGATTGGGGCAGAAATCAGGAAGTATGAGCTCCTGATTTCTGTGAAATGCCGAGTTCACTTTAGGGAGGAAGGTGGGGTCGGGACGGAGGATGACTCTGTCAGAGTGAAAAGTACAAAGATCCTGTCTAATAGAGAGGGCCGCCAACTCCGAGATCCGACGGGCGGATGTGATGGCCACGAGAAAGACGGTCTTGAAGGTGAGGAGCTGTAAGGGAATCTCCCTTATGGGTTCAAAGGGGGACTTGGTGAGGGCGACCAGAACCTTGTTGAGGTCCCAGGTCGGAAAACGGTGTATGGTTGGGGGGCGGAGGTTGGCAGCTCCCCTAAGAAAGGTCTTGACAAGGGGGTGGTGGGAGATGGAACCCCCAGTGTCTGAGGGGACAACGGTTGCAAGGGCAGCAACCTGGCGTCTTAGGGTATTGGTAGAAAGACCCTTGTCGAGACCCACCTGGAGGAAGTCAAGGATTTGGGGTATGGAAGGAGAAAGAGGATTAATTCGACGTCTGAGGGCCCAAGAACGAAAAGCAGCCCATGTGGCATTGTATATGCGGTTGGTCGAGGATCGTCTGGCTGCCAGGATGGTGTGTATAGCCTGGTTAGAAATTCCCTGAGCCCTTAGACGGCTCCGCTCAACCTCCAAACGGCTAACTGGAGCCATTGGGGTTTGGGATGAAGTAGGGGGCCCTGAGACAGGGAGATCCTGTCTGGGGGGATCCTCCAGGGAGGGGCCACCGAGAGGTTGCGGAGGTCCGCAAACCAAGGGCGTCTGGGCCAAAAGGGAGCTACTAGGAGGATCTCTGCCTGCTCCAGGATCAACTTGTGGATCACCCTGGGGATGATGGATAGGGGGGGAAAGGCATAAAGGAGCCCTGGGGGCCAAGGGCAGCGGAGGGCATTGTGGTTCTCTGCCCCGGGAGAGGGGTACCTTGAAATGAACCTCGGAAGTTGAGCGTTCAGAGGGGAAGCGAAGAGATCCACCAAGGGGGGCCCGAAGATGGAGGCTGCTTCCCTGAACAGAGAAGGGTGGAGGCGCCATTCCGCTTGGTCTAGGGTGGCTCTGCTGAGCCAGTCCGCTTGAATGTTTAGGACCCCGGATATGTGATCTGCCCTGATGGAGGCCAGGTTTGATTCCGCCCACCTGCAAAGGCGCTCGGCTTCTCTCATGAGGCTTGCTGACTGAGTGCCCCCCTGCCTGTTGATGTGGGCCTTTGTGGTGATGTTGTCCGTGAGGACCAGGATATGACGACCGCGTACCTGGGGTAGGAAGCTGCGAAGCGCCAGGAGGACAGCGTGAAGCTCCAGCCAGTTTATGGAGCAGAATTGCTCTGTTGGTGACCATTTGCCCTGTGACGATATGGAGAGGACGTGAGCTCCCCAACCGAGTAGGCTCGCGTCCGTGGTGACGGATAGCCTGTCGGGCTCTTTGAAGTAATGACCTTTGTTTATGGCCGGCCTGGTCCACCAAAGGAGGGACGTAAGAACTCTCGGAGGAACTCTGACCCGAAGTCGGGAGTTGCTCCTTCCGGAACGTTGATACGGCAGCAGGAACCATTGTAGAGACCTGGAATGGAAACGGGCCCAGGGAATGATAGATATGCATGAAATAAGCTTCCCCAGCAACTTAGACAGTTCTAAGAGAGAAACTGTTCTTGCCCTCCTGACCTCCTTAATTGACTGTTGGATGCTAAGCCACCTGTCTGGGGACAGGAAAACTAGTTCCCAGTTGGAGTCAATCACTGCCCCCAGGTGAGTAAGTTGGGTAGAGGGGGAAAGGTGACTTTTCCTCCAGTTGATAATGAACCCATGGTTTTGCAGGGTATTAAGGGTGAGTTTGGTATCTCTTAGGGCGAGAGCTCTAGAGGATGAGAGGATGAGGATATCGTCCAGATAACAGTGAAGTCGGACGGGGAAGGAACGCAGGTGGGCGGCAAGGGCCGCCAAAACCTTCGTGAACACCCTGGGAGCGGAGGACAGACCAAAGGGAAGCGCGACGTACTGGAAATGTTGTCTATTATAGGCAAAACGTAGAAACCTGTGGTGGGAGGGACGAATAGCAATGTGCAAGTATGCCTCAGAAAGGTCAATTGAGGATAGCCAGTCCCCTCGACGGGTTCCCATAAGTATCGACTGCAAAGTGTGCATCTTAAATTTGCGGGGGGCAATGTAGCGATTTAGTCTTTTAAGGTCTAGGATCGCCCTCCAACCCCCCGAGCTCTTGGGCACTACAAACAGGTGGGAGTAGAAGCCTCGCCCCCGTTCAGAGGAGGGAACGGGCTGGATGGCCCTTATATCTAGGAGGTGGTGAATGGCGGCCTCCATGAGGGCCCGTTTTGCAGGGTTCCTGGAAGGGGGGGAAGACATAAAGAATTCGGGGGGGGAGGAGTGGAACTCGAGTGCCAGTCCGAGACGAACCGTATCTCTGACCCATGCGTCAGTAGTGATGGCCTCCCATTGGTGAGCAAAATGCTTGAGGCGGCCGCCTATGGGAAGGTTTGCCCTAGCGAGATCGACGGAAAGGTCGGTTTCCGGATCCCCGGAAAGGCCTCTTGAAGGAACCTCGTCTGGACCTGTCAGACGAGTCTGACCGGACCTGCGAGGAGGGGGTTCTGTAGGGAGGTTGGGAGAATCTGGAGGGACGAAAGGAGCCTCGACGAGGGGAGGGGGAGGGGCCTCTGGGGTCGGGCCTCCGAAAAAGAGAGGGGAGGTACGTGCGTTTGTTCCGAGTCTCGGCCAGAAAGGGATCGAGGGCCGGTCCAAAAAGTTTCCCCCCAGAGATGGGGGCTGAGGCCAGCTTGGCCTTGTTTTTGACATCCGCTTGCCAGTGGCGGAGCCAGAGCAAGCGGCGGGCAGTGACTTGGGAGGAAATGGCCTTGGTGGAGAACTTGGCGGCTTGAAAGGTGGCATCCGCCGAGAATTCAGCCGCGGCCATAAGTTTGGCGATGTCCTGTTGGGCTCTGAGGTTGGCCGCAGGGACATGTTGTTTGAGTTGTTGGAGCCATTTAATCGAGGACCTAATGAAGAAAGAAGCAGCAGTGGATGCCCTGACTGCCCAGGCATCGGAATGATGAGCGCGGCGTAGGGCCAGCTCGGCTCGTTTGTCCTCGGGCTTGAGGGCCTCGAGAGCATCGCTAGGGGTAGACCGGGAAGCTAGTCCTACAATGGGCTCGTCCACAGGGGGGGGATCTAGCAAAAGAGTGAACTGCGGGTCAAGATTAAAGAAGCGTTTATCCTGGGCAGAGGGAGGGGGGGGAGGTCCTGAGGAGGCTAGCTGCCTGGAGACCATGTCCGAGAAGATAGGTGGGACGGGGACCACATCGGTCTCCACCATGGGCTGGGAAAAGATGGAGTCGAGGGGTTCCCCCGAAGCCGCTGGTTGGGAAGGAGTGGGGGAGGTCAGGCCGGAGGTATTCTTGGCCTTAAATAGAATGGACCTAAACAGGTGCGGCTTGAACAAGCCCACGAAGGCGGGTTGGTCCGGAGTGAGGCCCTCGTCCTCCGACATGTCCCCCTCCAGTGGGTCTGCTCCCGAGAAGGGCTCACTGCCAGAAATGGACCCCAAGTCTAGGTCCTCGCCTTCCCCAAATTGGGTAGGATCCCCGAGCTCCTGAGTTTCTATCTCCTCCTCCAAAGACAGGGGGAAATTCCCGTGGGATGCTACCTGCCCGTGCGAGGCCTCGGATCCGGAGAATGAGCGAACGGAAGGTGCCTGCGCTTCAGAGGTCGCGGGCCGTGGAGCCGGGCCGGCTATATGCTGGAGCTCTTGCGTTATGCTTTGTCGGATGGCCAACTCCATCCACTGCCTGAGATTCTCCGGGATTTCCAGCACGGGAGGTGGGTGAGGCTCCTCTGGGCGTAGACCTGCAGCGGTGGGAGTAAATGTGGCCTCAGGGGCCTGTCTAGGCTGAGAGTGAGAGGAGGGTGCCGGGGAGGAGGGGAGGGGGGGTGGGGTGGAAGTTGAGGGAGTAGGGGCGGAAGGAGCCAGAGGCACGGAGCCTAACTCTCTGGACCGCCTGTCGATCTCCTTCTCAAGTGCCCTGTGTCGCCTGAGGGCATCTCTCTGGGAGGCTTTAGAGGCTTCCTGGGTCTGTTTACGCAGGTGATGAGTCTTTGATTTGGCCTTCAAGGAAGGGCCACGAGGTGTTTTGTCATCTGCCATCTGAAGGAGCAAAAAGAGGAATTTTGGGTTAGTATTAGACGGTTGGCACGTCTGGATGTGGCCTACGGAAGGCCAGGAATCCTAGCAACTGTTTCACGCCCCCCTTTGATCAAAAAAAATTTTTTTTTTTTTTTTTTTTTTGGTGAACTGCTATCGAGTTGAGGGCCTGGCCCCTGAAACCAATCAGCCAAAAGGTGAACGCCCAAGCAGCTACCCTCTCCGGACGGACCGGGTGGGGGGATTACTATGCTGCTACCTCGCCTGCTGGGTAGGCTGCGAAGCCAGCGGACCCTTGAAGCTCTGTAAGCCTTGTGAGAGGCCTGGGAAAAACGAGCGGTAGTCTAGGTAGTCCCGGGGGCTGCCTAGAGTCTCAATTACCTGCAGCCTGTAACAGAGTGCCTCAGACAAGAAAGGTAGGCCAGAAAGCCACATTCAAAATGGTGTCGCTGTCTGAAGCCACATTCAAAATGGCCGACGCCATGCGGTGAGGCCACATTCAAAATGGCGTCGCTGTCTAAAGCCACATTCAAAATGGCGGACGTCATGTGGTGAGGCCACATTCAAGATGGCGTCGCTGGCTGAAGCCACATTCAAAATGGCGGACGCCATGTGGTGAGGCCACATTCAAAATGGCGGACGCCATGCTGAGGCCACATTCAAAATGGCGGACGCCATGCGGAGCCCCAAAATGGCGGCCGCAAACAATTTGAGCTAAACCCAGCGGCGGAACTCTCCTAATGAAGGAAGAGGCAGGGGAGCGGTTTCCCCTGAGCTAAAGGCGTTCGTGGGGGGGAAACAGTGAGAAGAGAAAGTCAAGGCAGGCAAGAAACGATGCGTTTTCACCGGAGCGAAGGAACGACCAGCGAAGGAGGGGTGGGGGGGTGGGGGGGGTGGGGGGGGCGTTCAGAAGGCTAGCCTCTGCCCCTGAAATACGCGATAAAATTCTCCCCCTTGTATCAGGGTACTCCCTTGAGAGTCCAAACCTCAATTTTCCTGCGCTGGTTGAAGAGAGGGTCCAATAAAATGAGTAGAATGAGTAGAAAAAACGATCAGCCAAGGAGCTAAGGAGCGAACAGCCTGACTGCCACGAGGCTGAGCTAAAAACTGGGACGCCGGAGGACCACGTGATGGCAAGAGGCGTTCCTCAATTTCAAGCTCAGCCTGTAGGAGCCGAGACTGAAGCACCTCCCAATCTGGACGCTCGTAGCAGCTCCATGGAAAATATTAGCTTCAGTTTGGGCTGATATTTTTTCAATAATTTTACTGTAAACGCTATTGAGATTATTTGAGAGGCAGCAATAGAGATGGGGTTTTGAGAAAGTATTATGACAGGTTCTTTTATTTGATTGGTAATCTGTCTTGACTAAAAATCTGTTTCTGATCATTTGAATTGCAGTTTTCTATTAGAATACATTTATTTTCAATCCACTGAACTACTTAAACATGTAGGACAAGAAGAAATTAAAAGGCTAATGTTAATTGCACTTTTTTCAACAAATAAAGAACAAAATTGTCTGCCCTAGAGACTGAAAGATTGGCATACATAATTTATACTAAAAAGAGAATATGTAAATTTCTAAACATTTAATTCCTAAACACTAGCAAAGTTTTTGTTTAAGATCTTGCAAAAAATAATAGATCCATACATAGAAATAGAAAAAAATGGCCAGCCAACTTCAGAAAATGTAGAGAAACATGAGTTCAAATAGCTAATAATAGAAAGAGAATGAAAGTTTAAGAAGGTAGTTTGCTTTTGCTTCATTGTCTACAGAAAAGCTATTGTATAGATTGTGTTAGAATATAGAATAGCTTAAGTTAAGGAGCATGTAAAACATTTGATTATATTTCTGCAGAATATTTCTAATAAAAAAGTTACTGTAGTACTAGGAAAGAGTTTGAGCCTGTTGGTTCTGAGGAAGTGGATAGAGTACTTAAGCTGTAAGTATGGCCACCTGTGTACTAGATCTATGTCCCACTTGATTGGGTTAAGGCCTTTCATGAAATTTTTAATTTAATTGAGATGATGGTGTATGCATACTTGAGGGAAGGGGTAGTCTCTCTAGCTCTTAGATAAGTAGTGCCCATCTTCTTAAGAAACCATTGCTTGATCCAGTAGTGTTAGGCAGTAGGGAAGGTTGTTGAGAAAGTACTCTGGAGCAGGGGTTGCCAACTTTTGGACTTCAGGGACCACCAAACTCATAATTTTAAATCCCACGGACCACTAATATGAATTTTGACTGATGGTGGTTTGCTGACATTAGTGGGAAAGTCGTTCCCATATTCCAGAGCTGTAGTATTCACAGGACTGGCCCTTTGGTCATCCCAGAGCAACGACTTTCCCACCAATGTCAGCAAGCCACCCCGGGGTGGATTTCCTTCCCCCACCGTTGGTCTTACCTTCCAGTTCCAGCTCGTATGGCTCTACTCAAGGTAAGGTTTGTGCTTGGCCGAAGGGTGGGGGCAAGCGGGTGGGCAGGCCATGTAGGCGACGCAGCCTTGTATTCCCATGCAGCCTGGATTAATTGCTTGTGGGGGAATGCTTTGGGGGAAATTTTATCTGCGGACCACTAAAATGTTCTTGCGGACCACCAGTGGTCCCCGGCCCACTGGTTAGCAACCACTGCTCTGGAGGAAGCTGATAATCTGCTTACAGTTGGCTTTCAGACCTGGATATAGTACTGAGATGGTGTTGATTTTGTTGATGATGGTTGGCTGGCTGGACTAGATAGAGGTAATGCAATCAGTCAAACCATTCTTGACTTTTCAGTAGCCTTCAGTACCACCAGTCATGACATCCTTTTGGACTGGTTTGGCAGGGGGACTGGGAGGTGGCACAGTATTATAATGGTTCTCTTTCTGCTTCTGCGGTCAGTTTCAATTAGTGTTGTTTAGAGGGAGACAAGACAAGAGGTTTCTCAGTGTTCTAATCTTTTCCCGCTTTTATTTAACATCTACATGAAATTACCAGATGAGGTAATCTACTGTAAGTATACATCTCTTCCCTAACTGACCAACATTAACTGTTTCTAAGTTAAGCCATTGGTTCTGAAAATATATAAATGAACTCGTAATTGCTTTATTTATTTAGAAAATATTTCAGTTCTACCCATTGCTATCCAATATTACAGTTCTAATGTAATATTAATTAAAAAATTCTTTCTTAGCACATCTACAGTAAGCAAGCAATATTTTTTGTCTGGGAACTGAAGTGGACAAAAGAGCTTCCCCCAACATTGCAGTGCATATTTTCAATGAACTTTTGTTCTGCACTCTCTGAGGATCACTCATTTTCTCTGAAGCCGTACACTTATGAATTCCAGCTGGAAAACTTTTTTGTAAGTTGTTAATACCTTGTTGTAAGAACACTAGGATGCAATAAGAAATAACAATTTACATTAAATTTGATATAGAGATGCTATTTTAACACTGTAGTACTTGACATCATGTATGGGTTTATATTTTATACTTGCCCTATTTCTGTCTTTGTATGTGGCAAGCAGCTTTTTAAAACTACAGGATCAAGAAGGATATATATTTAATTATGATAGTCCTGTGGGGTTTTCTAGTAGAGTATCTTTATTGAACTTTCTGCTGATGTTGCAAAGTTATACAAGATTGCAATAAAGCATTTTATATAATTATTGTTCAAAGTATTTATCATCTATCTATTGCAATCACCATTAAGGTTTTACATTTGGGATACCAAAGCAGTGACTAGCAAAATGTTTGATGTCATTGCAACAGTAGCAATTTTTATAAATGTCAGTTTTAAACATAAGAAATTGGCTTATATGGGATTCTCCCCCCCCCCCCCCATGCTGTGTTTATAGAAACTCAGAGATTAGGCTGTTCTATCCACTCAGAAAAATGGATTATCTCATATCAATTTGAATAGTATGAAAAAGTTATCTTTTGTATGTTGACCATAAATATTATTGTACTCCTGTCAGACATTGTACAATGTGAATGCTGAGATTTCCCCCCCATTGGGGGCAGAATATTGTAAAACAGGCTCGCTCTGTTCATTGGAAGTGTCAATTACCCGTCTTTTAGACCTCCTGGATGTGGATAAAGATGAAGCATTAACAGAAACTGATGGATACTGTACAACCAAACTGATGTATGAAGGTTAGTGAATATTTATTACTCAAGATTTAGTTTGGTTACTTATTGATAACTTACTGAGCCATGTTAACATCAATTGTCAAAACAAGCACTTTTCTTTTAGTATCTCAGGATATCATGTATTTGTTAGATTTATATCGTACCTTTTGTACAAGAACTAGGGACAATGTACACAGTGCTCAGTCCTTCTGTTTGTCTCATCAATAGCAGCAACCCTGTGGGGTGGCACTGAACTGAGCAAAGTTGCCCCATGAAATACTAGAAACCTGGGTCTTACAACTTCTAACTCAGCACCTTAATTGTTACATCAGATTGTTGTCATTGTAAACAGAACAGTGAAGATGTTTAGAGAAGAATCTTATAAATTCCTTTAAAAGTACTAGTAGAATCATAACCTAAACTTTTTAACAGAATTATGTTTTTTCATAGAGATAATTATATGATGGAAATATGTTTTATATTTCCTTAACAGGCAGGGATGCTTGAATATTCAATCTTATAAATATGTTATACTTCCAAGATTGTTTCTTTTATAAGCATGTCAAATCTGTAAATTTAAGCACCAGGTGGTATCAATCTACAAAGGTTGCTTCACAGGATGTTATCCAGTATTACATTATGATACCATATTAGTTGAAGTAATAGTTGATTTTGAATAACATTTTCTCTTTATTTTAGTTGTGGATGACAGTAGTAACTGGGCAGTCTGTGGAAAGAGTTCGGGGGTAATATCTATGCCAGTAGCAGTTCAAGCAACCCATAAAGTGCATATGGAAGTAATGCCCCTCTTTGCTGGATACCTTCCTTTTCCTGATGTTAAACTATTTAAATATCTCCCCCATCACTCTGCTCACTTTATGCAGCTCGACGCTGGTAAGAATGTGTATTTTTAAAAGTTATGTGAGAAAGGGCTAACATAAAATTACAGAACATCCTTTCTCTATAGAGTTATAATTTATAGCATTACACTATGAAAATTCTTCATGATTAAAGACATTATTTTGGGTTAATAGATATTTATGTGGATGTTCCCATTCTCTGAAAAATGCTAAATTTAATTTGAACAAACATATTAACTGGGCAAACCAATGCATTATAGGACAACAATTTTTGAATCAAGGTACTTCAAATAGACTAATTTCAGAATGTGTTCAAAATCTGAGACATATGACTCCCATGGAATTGAAATTTGGCAAATTTTATAAATCATTTTATGACACAAAAATTACCATAAAATGGTTTGTGATAATACAAATGGCATCGAACTGTTACATCTCTAAATACCTCCCTGAATCTTTAAGAACTTTTCCGTGAAGGCAGAACATTAAAAACTCATCATTGCCGAAGTCATTGGGGAAACTGGTAAAGCAGGGGTGTCAAACACAAGGCCCGTGGGTCGGATCAGGCCGGATCCGGCACACGTGGTTATCCTGAAAACTATAAGGGTCCAGCCTGCATCACTTTGGCCTGGCCCCCACCATCCCGGCATGCGTGCATGTGCACAGGCCCCGTTCTCTGTCGCCACATGTAGAGCAACTAAAGTAGTCTGTCGGACTAGGGTAAAAAAAATAGTTCAGACCTTCCAACCTCGCGAGATCTTTTTTTGTGTGAGAGAAGCTGAACTATTGTTTTACCGTAGTCCCACAGACTATTTTAGTTGCTCTGCATGAGGTGGCAGCAAAAGGAGCTGGAAAGGTTAGTGAAGGGATATGGCTGCCCTGGGTGGTGGTGGGGGGTGAGGGTTGGCCTGTCTGAAGGGCCCTCAGGTAAGCTGGATTGGGGCAGGGTAGGTGGGGCAGCTCTGCACCCCCTGCCTTGCTTCGTCCTCCACCCCCATCACCATAACCTAGTAGGAGGCTGAGCAACGCACTGGTGCGATGGCCACAAAGCGAGGCATTGGTGGACTACGAGGTGGGGGGGTGCGGAGCTGCCCCCTCTATGCCCTGCAGCGGCTTACCTGAGTGCCCCACCAGCCAGGCACTGAAGTGCCACAACTGCTGCACCAAGACAGAGGGTATGGGGCTCTGCAAACTCTGTGTGTGTGTATGAGAGAGAGAGCGTGCAATGCCTGCTTTAGTTGGGGCATTAAAGCTGCTGCTGGTGGCGGCGGCAGGAGAAGTGGGCAGGAGCCACCTGAGCAGCTGTTTTTCTCCTCATCCTCCCCACTGAAGCAGCAGCGGGCTCTGTGGGACAACAGGGCTTCTCATTTTTTCCCCAGCATGGTGAACTCCAGCTCCAAGTGGGGCATTTAACTGGCTGGTAGTGGCAGCCACCTAATGATTGCCCCCTAACCAGGCAGCCTGCATCACCTGACCTGCTCCCTGCCAGCTGGCGCAAAGTTTCGTCATTCTTCTCCTCGTCGTGCTCCCTGCCCAAGCGGCAGCAGGTTCCACAGGACAGGGTCTCATTCCTGCCCCGGTGCAGCGAACTCTGGTGGGTTGGACGCGGGTGTGAAGGGCCTGGCCCCGCAGTGCTTCCTTGCTCAGTTGAAGGCTTTGTTTGTGGCCGTGGAATCAGAATCAGCTGGGTACAGGAACCAATCCCATCTATGGCCCTGGTGCGTGGAGGAGAAGGGTGCGGAGAAGAACAGTGAGGCTTTACACCAGCCGGCAGGGAGCAGGTCAGCTGGCTGGCTGGCTGGTTGGGGAGGTGGCAAATGGGGATTAGCTGATTGCCACTGTCAGCAGCTTAAATTCCCTGACTGAAGCTGGAGTTTGCTGCGCTGGGGGAGAACTGAGAGGCCCTGCTGTCCTGCAGAGAATGCTGCTGCTTCAGTGAGGAGGACAAGGAGAAAAACAGCTGCTAAGGTGGCTCCTGCCCTCTTCCCCCACTGCCAGCAGCTTAAATGACCCAACTAAAACAGGGATTACATGCTCACTTCCCCCACCTCTCTCACACACACACACTTTGGAGAGCCTCCCTCTCTCTGTCTCTCACTGCAGTGGCAAGGCACAGTGCTGGGCTGCTGGGTGCTCAGCATCCTCCGCCTTGTTTCATAGTCCACCCCCCCCCTGCCTCGCTGCTCAGATGGCTCCTGTCCCCTACGCCATACAGATCTATTTCTCTCTCTCTCTCTCTCTCTCTCTCTCCCTCCCTCCCTCCCTCCCTCCCTCTCCCTCTCCCTCTCCCTCTCCCTCTCCCTCTCCCTCCCTCCCCCCCTTCTCTCTCTCTCTCACACACACACAAAATTAGATTTCTCTTTCTCTCTGTCTCGTCCCATTTGCTCTGTGGGACACAAGGTCTCATTAAGTAGTTAAGTGGAAAGTAGTGGGGGAGGGAGAAGCAGGAGACCGGCAAACACTTTTCACACTGAGAATGAAAGTTTTTGGGTCCCTGACTCTGCAAAAGGGGATAGGTGCCTGAATCTGCACGATACAGCAGCCAGGAATATCCATTTTTGCCACAAAGCATTTCCCAGCCTACTGTCCTCTCCCTTCCTCCCTTAAAGCAAAGACAAAGAAACAGAGAAAGAAAGAGAGGAGATAGATGTTTGCAAGGTGAGTCCTTGTTGCAGGAAGGGAGTAAGAAGCATGAGGTATCTTAGTGGGAGGGCCTGTTCTATCACTAGCCCCCCCCCCCCCCCATGGCTTTCCCCACTCTGAGATACCTCATGTGCACATTGGTATTATTGAATTGTGAGCTCTTAGGAAAGTATCCCCTCCTTGTGTGTTGCAAATAGCTATTTTCAGTGGGGAAAACAGGACAAAGAGGGAAAGAAAGAAAGAATGAAGAGAGAAGGAAAAAGGGAAGGAAGATAATAATGAGAGTGAGGGTCAGAGGTAAATCTTGCCTGAACACTTGGACACCAGCAGCCCTGCTGCCTTTTGCCATCCTCTTGTCCCCTCTTGACCTCTCCTGGTGGTCTCCCATCCTATCACTGAGGATGCTTTGGTTACAAAGCCAGGTCTCCTCGTAAGGAGATGGAATGGGCCTCCCTCTGACCCACCTGTACGTACCATGAGCAACCTGACCAAGGAGAGCAGCAGTGGGAGCTGGTCACGCCTACCACACCCACGCCCACCATAGCTCCCCAAAGTCAACCACAATCCTGATGTGGCCCTCAATGAAATTGAGTTTGACAACCCTGTGGTAAAGGAATATCTACAAAACAATGACTCAACAAAAAAGTAACTAAAAGTAGGTGTTTGAGACTTCAATAATCACATCTAAGGTATTATATCTTTCTCCTTATAAAACTATTGTTCTGATGACATGTAGATGAAGTATAATTACTTTTTTTAAAAAAAAACAATTTTATTGTTTTTTTAACAAACAAACAAACAAACAAAACATAAAAACATCAGCTCTCATCCTTATTTATATACAAACAGTGAGTCGGTTGGTTCATCAGTTTTGTGCATTCATTTCGTAGTCACAATTACAATTACCTTACATAATAATTCTTATTATCAATCCAAACTTATATATCCTCGTATCATTATTAAAGAAAAAAAAGATTTGACTACTTTTATTCAATCATGCCTTATGAGATAACTATAATTTAAGTAATTTACTCGAAATCAATATTATTCCTTATTGTCTAACATTCTAAATATTCTATTTTTGTATTTCATCATTCAACCATTGATAGAAAAGATCCCAAATTATATAAAATTGTTTATCTTCTTGCTCTCTAATTTCAAAAGTCAATCTACTCATCTCAGCACATTCCAATATTTTCTTTATAACTTCTTCCTGCAATGGAATTTTCTCATTTTTCCAATTTTTTGCAAATACAATCCTAGCCGCAGTTAACACATTTACAATCAAATATTTCAAATCTTTACTATAAACATCTGGTAAGATTCCCAATAGAAAAAGCTCCGGTTTCAAATCTATATGCTTCTTTGTCATTTTTTCCAACCACATGCGGATTTTAGTCCAATATTTTCTAGCATCCTCACAAGTCCACCACATATGGTAGTATGAACCAGGTTTCTGATGACATTTCCAACATTTTTCGGATTTGTTCTTGAACATTCTTGCAATCCTTGTCGGGGGAAAATGCCACCTGTAAAACATCTTATACAAATTTTCTTTATAGGCTGTGGACATTGTCATTTTATAGTTTTGCACCCATAATTTCTGCCATTTCTCTAAGTCAATCCCGTATCCAAAATTCCTCCCCCAAGCAATCATAGTTGATGAAGTATAATTACTTCTTTGAATGCTGCCAATATATATCTTTTGTTGGTAAAAAGACTGATTTAATCCAGTGTTTTCCAATCTTGACATCTTCCAGGACTAGGGATTCAGATCCCAGTTTTTCATCTATTGCTGTGCTGGCAGTGGAATTCTGGGATTTGAAGACCACACCTGGAAATTGCCAAAGTTGGGAATGATCTGATTATTCCTTCTGCATTGGAAGTTCCAGTAAGTGGTCTGAAATGTATGTTGCCTTATGTTAAGGCACCAGGTTAAAAGACAAAATTGTATTATAATAGATAGCTCTTCTCTTTTCAGGAACTCCTTAACTTAGACTTTTCATACGCTTCAGTGGGGATGCATTCAGAGTTTTATCTGTGAAAACATTGAGAAGAGTTGTGTCCTGGCTGGCCTTCTTTTCTTTTTAATGAAATTGATGTCATAAATTTGTCAGATATTCTTCTTATGTTAATTTAAATGCATTCATAAATAATCTCTGATAATTTTAGTTAATTATGAGTGCAAGCAAACTAGTTATAATCAACAATATCGATAGATGAATGTGAAATAGACCTTCACATTTTTTATGTTTTTTTACAGATAGCTGGATTGAAAATGATAATCTCTCTGTGGATAAAAATATGGATGATCAAGCTGACAACAGTAGCATAAAGAGCAGAGGAAGCATACATTCAGCAGCCAGTGCAGAACACAAAGGTTTGCCCATGCCCCGACTTCAATCATTTTCCCCTGGACAGGTCTTCAATTCCAGCTCTGGCATGCAAATCCTTGTCATTCCCAGCAAAGATGATCACATTTTGGAAGTCAATGTCACATGACGTTTCTCTGTAAATGTGTAAAAATATGCACATGAGACTTGAATATAAATGCACTTTAAAAGATCATAACCTGATAGTTCACCATTGAGATATTTTAACACTATGGCAACTTATTCCTTACTGGCCCTGGAAGCATCAGACAATTGTATCAATTTAAATGTACAGTGATACTTGTAACTGATAGATAATATTGTTACATTTTATGTAAAATGAATTCTGGGATTTTTTTTCCTCTGTCATTCTATTGATGAAATAAAAGATGCTTACCGCAAATCGTTAATTTGAGCAGCTTCAATAATTAGGTTCCTGCTCAAATGATATTTCAGGTTGACAGTGTAAGTCTTGCAGTGTGGCAATTAAATACTGAAGTGGGTGCCTTTCTAGTCACATGATTGTCTGATTTCCTGGACCAGGGTATTTTTCCAAATTTCTGTGTAATAGAGCGATTCTTAAACCCATAACTATCGACAAGATTTTAAATAATGCATGTGTGTGTGTGTGTGTGTGTGTGTGTGTGTGTGTGGAGGGGGAGGGAGGGAGAGAGAGAGAGAGAGGTTTCTTGAAGACTTAACTTCTTCTGTGCCTTGGAACATAACAGATTTATCAATCTGCTGATGCTTTTGAATTTGTACCATATAGAGAATCACATTGTCAACACATGGGATAATATGCAGAGACACATACACATATATGCATGCACACCTTGATACAAGTAGCAAAGAGGCACAAAAGTGGTTAAATTAAAATTAAACACACAATTCATTTAGTTTGGAGTGAAGACACAAAAATTGGTCTAAGGTTGTTCCCAAATCTAATACTTAAGTGATTATGTGTAAGATATTAGGTCTTAAGTTAATTGATTTTGTTGAATATTTCACCTGATATTTTTAACACCAAAGTTTCTGTTTCTGTTACAGTTGTTAATTTATTATGGACTGCAGAGCCATATATATAGTAAAAGAGTAAGTGTGTATGTACAGTATATACACACAAACTTCCATACCATACTGTAAACTGAAGAGGCAAGAACTGCAGGGAGCCTTAATTGTTTTTGCAATCTGGTTATAGGTGAATTTAAGGTCCTAGTTTGAATTTATGGTGCAACAAACTGCATTTACACCAACTGATTACATTTTAGTTGTAAATCTATTGTATAAATGATTATTTTAAAATGTTTGAAATAATCTGATGTATTTGTCTGTGTATAATTTGTTCCAGAAATCAATGACAAAATAAATGTGTTTTTAATTGGTGTGAAAATCAAAGCTTGTAAATACATTTAATATGTAGAACTTTTTCCAGTTCTTAGAAACAATGTATTTTTGTACATAAACATTTCTTTAAATTTCATTGTAATTACCTTAGCTGTTGCTCTTATCAATTATTAGCTTACAGTTACTTTATTAGTGAATATATGTAGCCTCTTAGTAATCAGCCTCCATCACATTTGAAAACAATTATAATTCCAGATATAGGAGGCATAATGAAATTAAAATCCAAATCATTTATTAAGCTATATAGTATGTAAATGTGTTCCAAAATTGTGTATCTATTCTTGATTACTTTGCCTACCTTCAGAGCAATTCAACCTTTTTTTAATAAGAAATGAGACATCACATTTCTGCTAATTTGTCAATAGCTGTTTGTATGTTTAATTTTCTTCCTTTTGTAGAAACTTCCCTCATGAAATTTCCATTGAAATCAGGTTGATTGTCTCTTTGCCATTTGCTTTATTTAGAAAAAAAATGCAAGCTCTCAAACATCTTTTTGACAATAATTTCTCTTAAGTTTGATTATTTTCTTATAAGAATTAACAAGATTACACACAATGAACATATGTATACACATGAGTTTCTTTATATATATTTTTTAAAATAGAGACTGTCTTTCAAACAAATTTGAGTATAAATGTATATTTTGGACATAATGAATAATCTGATGTATTGTGAAAAAATCCAAAGGCAAAGTTTTATCAACAATTAATGTGGAAGACTTTGTTTTGTTATAGTTTCAGAGCAGCATAAAGTATTCATGTTCATATTGAAATGACGAACTTCACTAAAATACACCAGAAGTGTATTTTAATCACTGCTGAGGTGATAATATACCGTATGTATAGAAGGAAACGATTGCTTTCTAACTTGTAAATAATTGATTCAATTTGCAATATATGCATCTGGCGGAAAAAGACAAATTATCTTATTTGTAGATAACTTTCAAGCCTGTAAATATGTGTTAATGGGTTAAAGGAGTAAAATTTTGATGATTTTCACAGATTTGTGATTGGAAAAATTAACTCCTATGGAAATTGTTGAATTTAAATGACATTTATGACATACCCTACTTGCAACTCTGTACAATATTACACTATAGGTGTAATGTCAATGTTGAAAAGCAAATAGGAAAAATATCCAGAAAATTATTATCCAGTTTTATTCTTTCCTAAAGCAGTGCCATTAAAAGTAGGGAATAAACTGTTAAAAAATGGAAAACAAGCTACTGGATAAAATGAATAAAAATCTTGAATATTTTAAGTAAGTTGTTCTGATTCTCAACATTTGTGTATACAATCCTTTGTTTCACCTGAAAAACAAAAACCAACCATGAGTTGAGCTTGACTCTTGGTTGACTTCATGGACAGAACTATGCAGTTTTCTTGATAAACTGAACTATTGGTTTGACTTCCCAATCTAGCCTTCAGGCCTGGTAGGAATAGGTAGTCTCCCATACAATTATATGTCAGGGCTGAGTCATATCATGCCATTTCATTGCACATTCTTATCATACACAATTAGCAAAACAATCTTTAATCTTAAAACCATTAATAGAAACAAAACAAAACAAAAAAAGGAAAGGGAAAAAAATTAGGAAAATTCCCAACACCAAATAAACTAAAAAAGGGGGAAAGTAGGAGGGTGAAATCCACTTTATATATTATATTAAACAATAGTGGTTTATTGATCAATACAATAATCTGACAGAACAAAATATTATACCACAAAGTTTCAGCCATTGTGACATATGTTGCTGCATTTTACTAGAGAATGCCTTTTTCAAAACAGATATACATATCCAACAGTCAGTCTTCTACATCTGGAACATCGTATTTCCAATTTCTCAGTATTAGAACCCTCTTACAACCATAGTTCCTGATAAACAGTCAAATTTCAAACTTTGCTTTATAGTTCAACATTACTTTGTTCTGATTATCCTTAGCTCTCCAAAACAGACAAGGGTGACCACATTTACCATTGGCTGTATCTTGTTATGGTAATATCCAGATGGCTGGATATTAAAAGACTTAGACTTACCATTCTAAATTGATCTGGTAGAGATTTATTTTAATAGTTTTTCTATTAGTTTAATGTGTTATCTCCCAATTAATTACTTTTCCAGATGGAGTTTGACAGAAAACACCATGTTGCTATAAGGTTAATTAGCATAAATAGTACATGAATCCTGTCTTATTTCTGATTCTTATTTCTTATTTTTGTTAGTTATAAAGCAGTCTATAGAGATTCTCAATCATCCAGGTTGTTGTTGTCCCAAAGGTGTTTTTCCAAAAGGCAACTGGAAAGCAATTATATAAAAAGTCATTTGCCTTCCATCTATTAGCATGTAGGTACTTTTAATGAATCTAAATTTTTATATAGAATTATACTTGTGCTTCAGAGATTTGGTAAGCAAATATTAAAATTGGAATGCCCAGTGCAGCAACTGCAGGTGGCAATACACTTAGTGGAGACATGCTATGCTGCTTCGTTTTTTCCTTTTGGATCATGAGGATTATGAAATTCAAGAAAATTGAATAATTTATTTAAATTCTGAATATATTTCTTAGAGACATGGACAAAAATTCATGCTAGCTACAACACAGGAAAATAAGTCATTTTAGCTAATTTGTAGTTTCATTGCAGCCAAAGGGATGATACACAATTTATATCCACTCTTAAGATTTTTTTGTGTGCTCTTTTTCTATACTTCCTCTCATATAGAAACATTTTGGCCTTGAAGGTAGTTGTGTTTTTACATTCTCTGCATCTGAGAGTGAGTGACTGACCCAGTCACCCAGCTAGCTTTCATGGCTAAGGTAGGACTAGAACTCACAATAGCAGTTTTTCTAGTCTAGTGTCTTCACCACTCGGCAAGTGATGGCTAACTTTTTCTGCACTGAGTGCCCAAAGAGCAAGCACACATGTGTGTGACCTTCCAAAATGCAATGCATGTGTGTCCTGCTGCCCTTTGCCCCCAGCTCATGCGCAGCAGAGACCCAAAGACCAGCTGACTGGCAGGAGGCATGCGCTTGTGTGACCGCAGAGAGGACTCTGTGTGCCACCTCTGGCAGGCATGCCATAGGTTTGCCATCACGGCACTAGGCCAATCTGGCTCTGTGTTATTGTTTTATTCCTTTGAAGTTTTGTTTATTGTTTTATGTGTCTTTTCTAGCAGTTCCTTTTTTGTTATGACAAAGGTGTTGTCTATATACTGAATCCGTACTTTTGGTTATACGTGTGGCATATGTAGTATCAGTGTCAATGACTCCTAGTTTCATGTCATGATTTGTAATCTAAAACTATACAGTGGATGTCCATCATTCCATTAATTTAAAGAAGCTGAAGCATTTTAGGAATATTTTTTTTATCTATACATACAGGTAGTCCTTGACTTACAACCACTTATTTAACAATATTTCAAAGTTATGAAGGCCTTGGAAAAAGCGTTTTACAACCTGCCCTTAAAGTTACTACTGTTGCACCATTCCAAAAGTCATGTGATTGCAATTTGGGCACTTAGCAGTTGTCTTAGGTTTCTGTCCATTTGCAGCATTCTGTGGTGATGTAATCACAATTTGCAACCTTCCCAGCTGGTTTCTGACAAGCAACATCAAATGGGAAGCTGGATGCTTAATTACTACGTGATTCACTTAATGACTGCAATAAAAATGGTTATAACATTGGGACTGTTCACATATTTCTACACACTGGATCTATGACAGCTATAGCAGTACACAACACACCCAACCTAGCCAAATACATTAAGATTGAAGTATCCAGAGTGTTGGATCTCATCAATCTCAGCCTCACTACCTACGTCCAGTTTGACAAGTAAATTAACAATCAGAATGACACCTGTGGGATCACCACTCTCGGGACTTGTGGTAGAGACTGTAATGCAGTGTCTAGAAATATAACTGGGGACCTGCACAATTTTTATAAGCTTTCTTTTTGTGGCAATGATTGACATATTTATTTAAGGCATCACACATTTTCCTTTTTATTTCCCCAGAGTAATAGTGACATACCATCTGAGTGTTCAAATAATTTGAGGGTTTACCTACTAAAAGGCTGTCCCAGATGTCAGAATACAAACACTATATTGATGCATCTGGCTCCCACCTTAACAAGAGGCCAGCAAAGTGTTTCCCTTAGGTTTCCTTTTCTATGTAGTGAAATTATGCCAAAATGCGTGCGGAGGGGGTGAACTGTGGAACTCTGGGCAACTGTTCAATTTGCCCATACCTAAAACCACCATCCAATTTGTAATTTCATGGCCACGTACGACCCTATGCATCGAGGGGCTTGCTCCTAAGAAACAATGCACGGCGACTGGCAGTTTAAACGTCTGTTAAATCTTTTGCTGGCCAATATATGCAGAGCAATGACTGCATATTATCAAACGCACACAAAACCTCGTCCGGTCAACGGGAATCCGGACCCTCCTGCTTCTGAGCTCGAGTCTCCGAAGATTTACAGCTCAAGTCGACTCGTCTGCACAAGGTTAACCAAAGACGCCTCCGGTTGCTATGGAAACATTTTTGACCCGGAAATGAAAAGAGGAAAATCTTCCGGTTGCCTCGCCGATTTCACGTGCTGGACGCTTTGCTGCAGGGAGTGGGGCCAGGAGACCTGCGGGGATATGAAGTTCGCTTACCGGGTGAGAGAACGGGGCCCGGTGCAGACTTGGGGATTTGCAAGTCTTCTTGTGTGGGTGGCTCCCTTGTTTTAGGTTTTCCTCTCCCCATCGGTTTGCCATCTTCTTTTTATCCCATGGTTGCTTACCCCCAGGTTTCACAAGTGGAGCTGGTTGGATATCCCTAACTTTCCAAAACGTAACTTGAGATGAGCCACGGTTCCTTCCCGCTTCCTCTCTATTCTTATCCATGAGTAGGAAACGTACTTGGTAACCCACGGGTTCACTTTGTCCCTGATAAATGTCGGCTTTTTACATTTTGACAAGTGTGCACCTGGATTGCTTGCAAAATATCTGTCCAGAAGTCCAACACATCTGAGAGATTCTCTACAATTTATTTAAAGCCATTTACTAATTACGTTTGAAATCAGTCCTGCATCTAAATTGGGTGATGGTTTCTTTTTGTAATCAGAGTAATTTATAAATGTACTTATGTTTGCTGCAAATGAAATCAGAAAGTTCTATTTTTTCCTTTCTTTTGCACTTTTTTCTTTTTTAACCTTTTATTGATTTGTGTTAATTTTTATGTTTTGGTAAAACTTTAAATTAAAATTCATTAAAGATAACTGATGTTATATTTTAAGATCAAGTGAAATATTTTGGGCACATAGAAATGGCACTTGATTGGAAAAAAATTATGGAACTTTGTTTCTATTTTAGTTTTTCCCCATCAAGATTTTTATTTTATATTGTTTATATATATCAATGAGTGAATGGTGTGATACCTGGTAATTATACATTTTGATACAAATAGACATAATATTGCTGCTAATTATTACATTTCATTTTCATTGTTTCATATTGTTTACACATACCTTGTACAATCGCCCTTATGTTTCTAAACCTCCTCTTGTTTTTTCATATATCTTGATACATACATACATACATACATACATACATACATACATACATAATATGTTTTCGTAGATTTTCACGGGTACAGGTATGTAGGTCTTGGTGTGTTCGGGTCTTTTCCTATGTAAGATTGAGAGTATCTTGGCAACAATTCGACAAGGTCCCACTCGTCATCTTCAGGCTGGTGCTTTCGGCTTTGTGCTTGTGCGAACAAGAAGAAATACTTCCTCCCTTTTCCAGCACCTTAAAGCCACAGGACATGAAATTAATTTTGAGGGAACCAAATTAATCTCCAATACTGAACACTTCAACAAGAGAATAATCAGGGAAGCCATCGAAATAGAGAAACATCCCCATAACATGAATAAATGGGACGATGCCTCCCGCCTACCAGACATTTGGAAACTAGCCCTCACCAGCAAATGAGTTACAGCCATGAAAACCAACACTGGACCCAAAACAACACATGACACCACCATTCTCCCTCGCCAGACTCAAACCCAAACCCATCCCATAGACAAAAGACAACCACCGTCCAGAAACCAGACCACGGCTGCATCATCAGCTGCCACACACCCTAACCCCCAAACCAAGCAAACTGATAAATGCCATGAACACATATCCAGGCCTCAAACTCGGAGCCAAACCAAAACCCAGAACGTCACATCACAGCCACCTCGCTCAGGATATCACATCACCGAACTCAGGAGGTTACACCACAAAACCTCTGGATGTTGCAGCACAGTCAATGACCCAGGAGATTACAGCACAAGACACGGGATGTCACAACAGTAGAACTCAGAAGATCATCACACAGCCCATTACCCAGGTCGTTACAACACAGGAGGCTGATAGACACACAGCCAATACCTCAGCCACACATGTTCTTACGAAAAAGCCAGCCAATCTGCAAACATCAACTCCATCAACCAATCAAGAAATGACAATACAGCCAACCTCCCCACCAGGGAGTCGGCAGCTCCGATCATGCTTTGCTTACACAAGCACGAAGCCGAAAGCACCAGCCTGAAGAAGGCGAGTGGGACCTCGTCCAAACGTTGCCAAGATGCTCTCAATCTTACATGGAAAAAGATCCAAACATGCCAAGACCTACATATATATTATATATTATATATTTATATATATATTAAAAAAGCTATTATTCCCCTCTTATTTCTATTTCTATTTTAATCTTTCCCCCATATCACTGTAATATTCAAAGACATTTCTATTTTCCATGTTTCACCTGTTTTATTGTTCATAATTCCTTTATTTAACTCTTCACATCTATGTTAAAATTTCATCCTTTATTTTTTCATTATCCAGTGTTTTAATATATGCTCCTAGTATCAATCACAATCATTTAAACATTTAAAGTACATCTGTTCATGTTCTTTCCAATCATCCAATCTGTGTGATTCTACTGGTAAACACATGTTTACATTAAAATATATTCCTTCATTATCTAATCACCCATTGTTTAATTTTGTCATTTCACTGCTAATCTTATTTTTATACTTATTTAATAATGCTTTCATTCAATCTCTAATTTTCCAGAATACAGTTCTTATTCATAATTCCTATATTTCCTATACTCTTCATATCTATTTTATTTTAAAATATTATCGTAATATCTATCACATTACTTACAAAATAATTATCCAGCCTATATAATTTTATTATTAATATACATGTTTCTATTAAAATGTATTCATGGAAGATCTTTTACTCTCTATTTTTAAGTCCATCATCTCTTGTCCACATCAGAACTTTTAATCTTTTTTTTTGGCTTGCCTCCCATATTCTTCTCTTAAATCTTTTTACTCCATCTACTTCTAGATCTATATTCTGACTATACAATCTAACCTTTTCTCTCCTCTCTATCCTTTCCCACTGTCTAATTTTAAAGCTATTTGTTCTAGCCCCTACCTCTTTTCCCCAGATATCCTCCTGTTTCTCCCATTCCCTTTTTAAATCTTTTAAAATATTACCCTCCTGTTTTAATTTCTTAATCATTATTAATTTTGATAATGTCTCCTCCTTGTCTTCTTTTTGTTCGTTTCACAGTTCTGCTTTCTCCATTTCTTCTGATGGCTCCTTTCCTCATAGTCTTGGTCCTTGCTCATTGTTCCTTATATAATATTTTCCAGTTTTTGGTCTATATAATCAAATATTTTCACCATCGTCTTATGTTGTTCCCGTATAAGGTCCTTAATACTTTGAAACATCAGCTCCATTCCATTTAAAACTCCAGAGATTTCCGCCTTGCATTGCGTCTTATTTGGTTTAACAGGTCTCCTTTTTATCCAGTTGTCCAGGATTTGTTGATTCAAAACAAAGCTTGCCAAATCACAAATTTTAGTATCTCATCAATAATCAGTCAAATCAATTTTAGATACACCAGGGAGTTTTCCACGCCTCTTCAAGTCACTGTTATACATTCAATAACATTCAGGGGTCCTTTAACTAAAAATTCTTATTTAATATTCAAATCTCCAGTGCTGTTAGAGTAGATACATGTAATCCAGTAAGTATTTTCAGTCCTTCAGATGGTTATTCCCAGGCTTGCATATTTGCCCTCTCTTTAGTAGATGGCGCTGTCTGCTTCAGCCTGCTTCAACCTCTGCAATGTTGCTGGCAAGTCTGATTTTAATTATTTTAAATTATAATTCCAATAAGTAAGCAGTATTAATAAAAAAGATTTTAGGTCTGTAATTCCAGCATTTTAAAAATGCCTTCGTGATATCACAACTTTTCACTTTGAGAATTCAATTTTCTAATATTTTCAAATATTTTTTAAGAAAAATGTTCTCTTCTTAAATTCTCCAATATTTTTCCAAAGTGCTTGTTTGCCACTTTGACAGATAGTTCTAAATATATATTCCCCTTGGATTCTTAGGTGTCAGATTTCAACAAAAAGTATTCTCTCACCCAGTTCACACACCATTCACGGTCTCTTGCTGCACTGTCTTAGGTATTCCTGCACTGTCTTAGGTATTCAGACTGTTTCCGGCTTCATGGCAGCCATTTTGCTGCCACTGCGTCTCGTCTTCGGATGAGGGGATTTTCAGAGTTAGGGAGGAAAGAAGTGGCTCTCTGCAACCTGCAAGGCGACCCCTTTATTTCACCACCCCTACAGGATGGCTATGGCTCCTTTTGCAGCCCTCTGACAGAGTTCGGAGTGGGGCTGCGGAGCTTGCTTTCGATAACGTGGGAATTACAGCTGGAAGGGAACTTTGTTTTTATATATGAAAACTGCAGCCAAAACTATTATACACTATTATGCAAGATGGAAAGATTCGACTTTCCACCTGCAATGGAGGAATGGATAGTAAAAGTTATGGAACTTGCTGAGATGGCTAAATTGACAGCTTCAATTAGGACATTGTCTAAATTTAACGATTAATACAAACCCTCAATTGCAGGAAACATAAAAAAATGAAGTCATATGGTTCTTAGGATTAAAAATAATGGACTGTACAAAAATGTAAACAATGCTGTAACCATAAAATTACAGGCTATTTTATATTTATGCTTATAATTGCTGTAAAACAAAATTGGATAATTTATAATTTTATAATTCTTTTTTCCTTTTGTTGATTTCTTTTGTTGATTTTGTTGACTTGTTGTGTTTTTTCTTTTTCTTTCATTTTCCTTTATTCTAAATATTCTTGTTAGTTTTTAACATTTTAATAAAATTTGGTAAAAGAAAAAGAAATGGCACTTGAGAGCATCTCCTAATATAATTTATTTGTGCATTATGTGTACTTCTCTACATTTTGGCAGTGAGTTTGTTACAAATCATGTACATTTTTTAATTCCTATTCAAGTTTGCATTGTCCGAAATTGCCTTCAAGAATTATGGTACTGTACCACTTTTCATGCTTTATTTCATTTTCTGCTTACGCTGCATTAATGCAAGTACAATTTTATTTTTCTAGTTTTCCAATTTGTTGGGGACAGTCTACCGATGTGGAAACTTGACGTTCACTCCAGATGGAAACTCTCTGATTAGTCCAGTGGGAAACAGAATTACAGTCTTTGACTTGAAAAAGTATTCATTTATTTATTTGATTTATTAGATATTGTTTGTTCAGCTCAAAGCATGTGAGAGTGTGGGATACTAGCTCAACAGCTTCCACAGTGGAAGGTGGATTTGAACCTGGGTTTTCCAAGTGTCAGTCTAACATTTAAATATCTAGCTCTTGTACGGTGACCTCTAAGTGTATTGTTAGTAAATAGCCTGTTAAAAATGCTTTTGCAGTCTGCCTCTGAAGCTACTGTTTGTGGAAGGGATTTATGAAATACATTTGATAAGTTAGTGCTATAGAGGATTTAGTTTTCTACTCTGCTTCAAATATATTGGATAATGTTGCCTGGAAACCAAGTGCTACATTTGCTTCCTTACCTAATTCATGAATTTGGCAGACATACAGTTGTGCTCATAAGTTTACATATCCAGGCAGAATTTATGATTTCTTGGCCATTTTTCAGAGAATATGAATGATAACACAAAAAAATTTCTGTCACTTATGGTTAGTGGTTGGCTGAAGCCATTTATTATCAATCAACTGTGTTTATTATTTTTAAATCATAATGACAACAGAAACTACCCAAATGACTCTGATCAAAGGTTTACATACCCTGGTGATTTTGGCCTGATAACATGCACACAGGTTGACACAAAGGGGTTTGAATGGCTATTAAAGGTAACCATCCTCACCTGTGATCTGTTTGCTTGTAATTAGTGTGTGTGTATAAAAGGTCAATGAGTTCCTGGACTTCTGACAGATCCTTGCATCTTTCATCCAGTGCTGCACTGACGTTTCTGGCTTCTGAGTCATGGGGAAAGCAAAAGAATTGTCAAAGGATCTGTGGGAAAATGTAGTTGAACTGTACAAAACAGGAAAGGGATATAAAAAGATATCCAAGGAATTGAGAATGCCAGTCAGCTGCATTGACACTAATCAAGAAGTGGAAAATGAGGGGTTCTGTTGAAACCAAACCACGGTCAGGTAGACCAACTAAAATTTCAGCCACAACTGCCAGGAAAATTGTTTGGGATGCAAAGAAAAACCCACAAATAACTTCAGGTGAAATACAGGACTCTCTGAAAACATGTGATATGGCTGTTTCAAGATGCACAATAAGAAGGCACTGGAAGAAAGATGGGCTGCATGGTCAAGTCACCAGAAGAAAGCCATTGCTACGCAAATGCCACAAAGTATCCCGCTTATAATACGCCAAACAGCACAGAGACAAGCCTCAAACCTTCTGGCACAAAGTCATTTGGAGTGATGAGACCAAAATTGAGCTTTTTGGCCACAACCATAAATGCTACATTTGGAGAGGAGTCAACAAGCCCTATGATAAAAAGTATACCATTCCTATAGTGAAACATGGAGGTAGATTGCTGATGTTTTGGGGATGTGTGAGCTACAAAGGCACAGGAAATTTGATTAGAATTGATGGCAAGATGAATGCAGTATGTTATCAAAAGATACTGTAGGAAAATTTGCATTCATCAGCCTGGAAGCTGCGCATGGGATGTACTTAAACATTCCAACATGACAATGATCCTAAACACAAGGCCAAGTGGACCTGTCATTGGCTACAGCAGAATAAAGTGAAGGTTCTGGAGTGACCATCTCAGTCTCCTGACCTCAGTATCGTTGAGCCACTCTGGGGAGATCTCAAACGTGCTGTTCATGCAAGACAGCCCAAGAATTTACAGGAATTGGAGGCTTTTTGGCAGGAAGAATGGGCCTTATCCACACATACCACAAAAGACTTCAAGCTGTCATTAATGTTAAAGGGGGCAATACACCGTGTTAAAGAATTGGGGTATGTAAACTTTTGATTAGAGTCATTTGGGTAGTTTCTGTTGTCATTATGATTTAAAAAGAGTAAACATAGTTGATTGATAATAAATGGCTTCAGCCAACCATTAATCATGAGTGAAAGAAAAGTTTTCATCATTCATATTCTCTGAAAAATGGCCAAGAAATCATAAATTCTGCCAAGGTATGTAAACTTATGAGCTCAGCTGTATATATATATAATTAAAATTACTGTATTAATCGCTACTGTGTTGTTACCTTTGATACGTTGTTCATCTTTTCTTTCAGTAACAAATCTGAAACTTTACCACTAGCTGCTCAATACAATGTTGCATGTATGGGACTGTCTCCAGATGGAAATCTTGCTATACTTGTGGATGAAGGTAATTGTTTAAGATGTTAAGAAAGGATTTGATCAGTAAGTTACATTAACAAATATTAGCATTATAATATTTACACTAAAAATAATGTTTTAATCTTTTGTTTAAATATTCAGTTGAACTGCAGGTAAAATTATTTGTGTGAGTTAAAATATGAGTAGATCTAACATGTAAACAAACTGTTTTTCATATATATAAAAATATCTGAAATATTTCTTCTGTTCCTTACAGAGGGATCTGCTTTACTTGTCAGTTTGATCAGTAAATCTGTTATCCATCGATTCCATTTTCAGAAACCTGTCCATAGTGTCTGTTTTTCTCCAAATGGAAAGTATGAAGAACTGTATTTGATTTTATTATTTTGCATTTTATAGAAATATGAATAGTAATTAACAATAAAGTAAAATAAGCTTCATGAAATTACTAAGGAAATTAAGTTTGTTTAAAGAAAAATAGATATAATGGTAGATGAAATGATTTAATGGATCGTTCTTAAGTCAATCTATATGTTATTTATGAGTGTGTACTAATAGTTCTTGTAAATTATCAGAAAGTAAGTCTATCTGCATCAGAAGCATAAATAATTTTAATTACACAAATTCTTATTTACTAAATTGGCTGTAATGTGACCTTTATTTCTATAATTTATTTTCAATTTTCATTTTTGTAAAACAGAAAATTTGTGATTACTAAAGACAAAGTTGCCCTGATGTATCATGCTCCAGGGAAAAAGAGAGAATTTAATGCATTTGTTCTTGACAAAACATATTATGGTGCTTATGATGAAACAACATGCATTGACTGGACTGATGATTCCAGGTAGGTTTTTGTATAGTTTATTGAGAAAGCCAAATGCCTAGTGTCAATGTCAGTGACTCCTGGTTTCAGTTCATGATTTGTAATCTAAAAATATACAGTTAATGTATGTCATTCCATTAATTTAAAGAAAGAAGCTGAAGCATATTTTATAGGAATATTTTCTTATCTATACTTATAGGTAGTCCTTGACTTACAACCATTTATTTAACAATACTTGGCCTTGGAGAAGTGTTTATGACTTGTCCTTAAAGTGACAACTGTCGCGCCATTTCAGAAGTCCTGAGATTGCAATTTGGGCACTTAGCAATTGGCTCACGTTTATGCCCATTTGTAGCATTCTGTGGTCATGTGATCACGATTTGGGTTCAATCTATGTCAAGTGGTCTGATTACAGAAAAGTGCCCTGGTTGACCAACATGGATTTTGATGAAATTTTGTGTGAACGTGCACACATGTCCCCAATGAACGTTGGTAAAGTGTTATGTTTGCTGATGCAATACTTGTGGAGATATAGTCATTTGTTTGACTCCATACCCGCAGCCTTCTACAGTAGAACTCTGAGGTTTCAGCAACTTTGAGACATATCTCCAGGAATATTTTGTTGAGAGAAACAAAACTTGTACAACTTTTTGTCCTCTATTAAACAAAATAATAAAAACATTCTCATGAGCAATCTCCATCTAGATAATTTGGAGCAAAGTTGGCCAAAAATATTGCAGATTGAAAAAAGGTTAAAATTTAGCTTTTTATGTCTCTGGAAGGAAAGATATGATAAATGTGAACCTTTGTGCATAATAACTTAGCAACACAAGGTTTTCAAATATAAAATTTCATTATCCTATTGCTTTCTAATAGCTTACAAATTGAGTGTAAAGTTAACATTTTTTTTTGTAAAAAGGTCAAAAATAGGATATTTCCAGCCCACTTTTACACAAAAAGACCTTCTGGAAACTCTGTGATATCATTCTCATTAGAAAGAGCATGTTTCAAACCGCTTAAAACGTAGGGTTGGTTTTTCATCGCTAATGTAATAAAGCCCTAAAAATAGGGACAGCACCAAGATGGGTCGGAAGAAGAGACAAGTGGAGGGGTGCTTCACTCCTGCTCTGGAATACGGAGTGAGTCTCCATCTGCTGCTCTCGCCCTTTTCTTCTCCGGGCAGATGAGTGAGTGGGAGGGGGGGTGCAGGGCGGCAGTGGTGGGTTCAGCCGACAGGGAGCCACAGCAGGGGGATGAAAGAGCTTCATTTATCTGGGAACCTGAAATGACTCTTGATTTAAATCATGGTAAAAAGCACCCAAAGAACAAGAAAGAACAACATCAGCAAAAACAAAAAACAAAACCCCAAATCTCGCCTGTCTTTGGAAATGGTTCAAGAGGGAACACACACAGGAGGGAGGAGAGAGATGAGAGAGAGAGAGATGAGAGAGAGGAGAGAAGAGACAAAGAGATGAGAGAGAAAGAGGGAAAAAGAAAGAGATGAGAGAGAGAAACACAGAGAGGTATACCTGTTTCCCAGAGAAAAGAAAATAGCCACAAAAACTGGGTAGGCATGGCTTGGGGGGGGGGGGGGTCACGTGACTGGGTGGGAGTGAGTGATGTGTTGGCCATGTCCACCCAGGTTTTGTGGCTCCCTGTTTTCTGTGGGAAATGGATCCATATGTGTGATGACTTGGAGCGTGGCACAAAGGCCACACAGTTAGATAATCAGTAGGAGTCCCTTTATTAGCTCCAACTTTGCCCACAATGTCCTGGTTACCTTCTGGGCTGGAGAAAAACTCTCCCAGGAACAGCCTTTGGCTGCAGAGAATCAAGTCCAAAACATGGTCAACAAAAACTATAAGTCCAATCAAGGCAAGATGAGGTAATTAGTCTGGCAGGGCAAGAGAAGGAATTCCAGACGTGAAGGAACAGCAGTAATTCAACCCAGCTGGGAGGATGCCAGGAACGCAGATAATCAAGTCAACCAAGTTCCCAGCAGAGGCCGCACTCAGCTTGCATCTCTTTTAAACTCTGATTCCCAGGTGTGGCTAATGAAGGGAATCAGGGGCCTTTCCTCCCCTGTAAGCCCCGCAACCCACATTGTTCTCTTCTCCGCTCCTCCCTGCATGCCCTAGGATGAAGAGGGGGTGGGCCTGGGTCTTCTTCTGAACTCCCTCTCGTTCTACCTCTCCCCTGCTCTGCCCAGCCAGACTTTGCCTTTCCTCAGTCAGCTATTCGTCTTCCACCTCGGATTCAGACTCTGACAGGGGCATGACAGTATGACTCTGAGTGTTTAAGGTTGCAGACCTCTGCGCTAGACCCTCCTAAGTCCAGATGGAAAATCCCACAGAAGATCATGGAGACAAGAAAGTTAAGATACTGTGAGATTTCCAGACTTCCACTTCCCACACAGAAAAGCAGGTACTAATCAATCAACCCAGACATGATAGTAGACAAGGACCAAAAGACAGCAGTGGTGATAGATGTAGTAGTGCCAAATGATAGTAACATCAGGAAGGAGTATAAGAAGCTGGGGAAATACCACCGTCTGAAGGAAGAACTTTGCCTTAAACAAAACAGTTGCTAAGTGCATTTATTTATACTCTCCTCTTCTTTACAAAGGTCATAAATGTGAGAATGGCCACATTTTTCATCATCCTTGAGCTTAACTTATGTGAACTCATCAGTATTTTTCCCAGTGCATAAAGCTATTAGGAGATAGCTGGAATGAGTCTTACCCACAGCTATGTAAATATCATAGACTTTAATAATGATGAAGTAACTTTTTTTTTAGATGTTTTGCAGTGGGTAGCAAAGATATGTCAACATGGGTGTTTGGAGCTGAACGCTGGGTCAATCTGGTTTATTATGCACTAGGAGGTCATAAAGATGCAATTGTTGCCTGTTTTTTTGAAGAAAACAGTTTGGATGTATGTATCTTTCACATTTTTTACATTAAGTTAATGTAGTTAGTATTTATTTGATTTAATCCCTGTGAGGTCTATATTTTTCAATATTTCAATATATTTTTGTGCCTGTGTGTGTAGTTACAATGTTAATGCATTAGTGCAGGGCTGTCAAACTCCTGGCCTATGGGCTGAATGTGTCATGCACTGGCCACAACCATGCTTGGTTTAGCAAAGGGGGGAAAAGTCCTGATTTGTCACATGACACTGCCGTAACAATGTGAGTTTGACACCACTGTATTAGTGGGTAGGGCAATACTTTAAATATGGTGGCAGTTGATATAGTGTTCTGAAAAGCCATAAACAATTAGCACTATAGATTTTGGACTTAAACAACTAATGAATGCACATGTCCAGTTATCTATTAGGGCTGTGCAGATTCAAAAGGAAAAGGATGCTTCGAAGTATACAGATGAGCACATCCTACATTTCTAAACTATCCGTTAAATGTTTTCCTCCTGGATCACATTGATTTTGCAGAGCGCAGCCTGGGAAGGAGTTGCAATTGCTGAAGGAGTTGCAGGCATGTGATAGATGAGCTTACCCCAAGTACTCCAACCCCCTGTTGCCTTTGAATTTGAAGTACTGTACAGCCCAATTCTCTGTCATTAAGTGCTATGCACAGATCCAATGTAAATATAATTATATAATATAATAACAAATGCAATCCAAATGTCATGCAGCCAAATATTTCAAGAAGCTTCTCTCTCATATACCAGAGATGACATGCTCACACTAAAATAAGAGTATAGATTATTGTGATTTTGGAATTCCTGCACAGTTCCTTTATTTTCCTTTTTGCCAATTGATAATTATACTTTGTTATTGTAGTTATACACTGTTAGCCGTGATGGGGCTTTGTGTGTGTGGCAGTGTGATACAGAACTAAATGGTCTGATAACTAGAAGTTCCAAAAGCCATCCCACTGACCAGGCAGAGTCAGCAAAAGACCTAGATGAAGAGTTGATAGAAACACAAAGAGACAAAGAGATTCATGGAAAAACCAGTGGAAATGAAAAACAAAACAAGAAAAAAGTGAAATATTCATGTGCTGCCAAGTAAGTGAGTTTCTAATGAAAGAAACTTATAAGATGAATTTATTGAATTTCTAACTGGTTTGTTATGTAGTTAACCTTTACATTGGGATGCTTTTAACATGAACGCAATCGTGGTGGAAGTGATTGGAAACAGGTTGTTATAATTAGCCTTCTGAACTGAAGACCTAATGTATTAATTTCTATATTACTGATGAGGAGGACCCAGGAATTCTAGTTTTGTTAAGAAATATCAAAATTGTCTTTGTTGATCTCACTGTTATTGACAAAAAGTAAAAAGAATCTAATGTTGCTGTACCTGTAATCAGATTATTGTTCTGTATGGCACATAAGATGTGAGGTACAGCTCACTGAATTTCAAGAAGCCTGAACTAGGAAGAATTGTTAACAAAGCACTGCAATCAGTTCTTTTAAGTAGAAGTCTTAAAAGTATGGGCTATAGTAGTTTCAGACAAACAATTGCTCTTGCATTATTTAACATCCCCCACACACTGTGTTTTGGATTTCAACTGCAAACATTACCAGCAAGGATGACAAAGAGTGAAAAGTCTATTAATTGAAGTCCAGAAAATCAGGAGGACAATAGGAATGCAGGAGATGGTCTCTATCCTCTGGCAATGTAAATCCTTGCTATTATATTATGCATTCTCTCCAGTTATTTAGGTAAATATATACTGGGAGCAGTAATAAAAGTATGCTGCAGGTGCTTGTGCAACTAATAGTTGAATAAAATAATCTAAATCTTAATCAAATATGCCACCCACTAAAGTGATGGCTATGAGGAAAAAAAGACAACACACACTTCCATTTAAACTTAATAGATTCTTAAAGCTGTAATAGACAGACTGCTAAAATTTAAGACAGCAAACACTTGAAACTTTTCTGCTCATCATTTTAACTTAAGACTCATGATTATTGTTTAATCTTTAGTGATGTGACAAATATTAACATATTGTTAATGTTTTCTTCCTTTTCTTGATACGCTAACATAAAACAGCATTTTATTACCAACCTACCGCTTCCTTTCCTATCTGTTAAACTACTCTTTGAAAGGTAATTGGATGATTTGTTCTTATATAAAAATGCATCTGATAATTTCTGTATTCTTTATGTGTTCAGATACTTTTTTAATAAAGAAGGAGATTTTAACACCCTGACAGCTGCAGCTTATCACAAGAAAAGCCATCTGTTGGTCACTGGATTTGCTTCTGGAATTTTTCATCTTCATGAGCTTCCAGAATTCAATCTCATCCATTCTTTAAGGTTAATGTTAATATTAATATTAAACATTGAGGATACATATAGTATTAAAGAAACAATAGTTCATCAGTGTTAAAAAGATCTTTTGTTTAGGGCAGGGGTGTCAAACTCGCGGCCTGCAGGCCAGATTCATCACATGCTGGCCATGCCCACCCCTATTTTAGCAAAGGGGAAAACAGTTGTGATACATCACGTGATGAAAATGTGATGCCGCGAGTACTTGAAATAATATATTTAATTTTATATACACACAGAGACAGACATGTTTTTGATCTACAGGTAGTCCTCAACTTATGACCACAATTGACCCCAAAATTTAAATTTCTCTAAATGAGAAATGTATTAAGTGAGTTTTGCCCCATTTTATGACTTTTCTTGCCACATTTGTTAAATGAATCATTCCAGTTGTTACTATTAAATTACTGTAGTAACACGGGTGTTATATGAATTTGTTTCCCCACTGACTTTGCTTGTCAGAAACTTGCAAAGGGGGATCACATGACTCCAGGACACTGCAACTTTCATAAATGTGAGTCAGTTGTCAAGCATCCAAATGTAAATTACATGACCATGGGATGCTGCAGTGGTCATAAATGTGAAAAACGGTCATAAGTCACTTTTTTCAGTGCCGTTGTAACTTTGATCGATCACTAAGTGAACTGTTATAAGTCGAGGACTACCTGTATTTAATTTTTTTCTTCATTCTGTTCAGCATTTCAGACCAGAGAATTGCATCTATTTCCATCAACAGTACCAGTGACTGGATTGCCTTTGGATGTGCAGGTTCATAACTAAGATATTCTAAGGATTTGGGAGGGCTTATTTATGTAATAGTGTTAAAATAATAGTTGGATTTGTACATAAATACTGTATTTTTTGCTCCATAAGACACACTTTTTTGTCCTCCAAAGGTGGGTGAAAATGTCTGTGCGTCTTATGGACTGACTATTACGTCACAGACCGGGCCACGGCAATGGGGGAGAGAGGGTTTGGGAGGCGGCAGCAACAGGCAGCCGTGAACTGCTTGTTGCTGCCACCACCATTTGCGTTGCGAATGGCAGTGGCGGCGATAACCTCCTGGAACAGCTGATTGGCAGTATTCCAGGAGGCCAATCCAACTGCAGATAGGTGGCAGTGGCTAGTGGTGACTGCAGCATTAGGTGGTGGCAGCAATAGAACAGACTCGGGTCCCAGGAGAAAAAAATCCATTGTGGGGACAGCCGCACCTATGGGAAATTTATTCCATAGCTTCAAAAGCTTTTGGCTGAAAAGAGCAGAGGAGCAGAGCCCTGACGAGGCATGTGCTGGCGCTGGGAGGCAGATTTTTTGTTTTCTTGTTTTCCTCCCCAAAAGCTAGCTGCATCTTGTGGTTCGTAGTGTCTTATGGAGCAAAAAATACGGTGCCTATATTCATACCCAGGATGCCATGTTCTTTTAGTATAAAGCCATGTAAACAAAGCTGAAAAAGAGTGTAAAAAATAGTGAGAGAAAGAAATTAAGGCATAATATAAGAAAAAATAGGAAAGTAAATGTATCTAATTTAAGTTTATACCAAAATTGTAATTCTCTATGCCTTTCTATCCTTGCAGATAAATTTTGTGTATATGATGTCTCCAACTCGAACATTCCCTTTTGTTTTATTAAACCTTTCACTTCTTTCATTACCTCTTCATCAAATACATCTTGTCCAATCTTTCTAACCCTCTTAATGAATTCCTCAATGAGGAATGATTTACAAATAAATGAAGGAGGAGTGAAAATATTTGTGATTCATTCCTCATTTGTCCTCTCTGTTTGACCAAGGTTAGACGCTTTCTGGTACATTCAGAGATCTCCACTGATCACATTTCCTTTCTGTTTATTGACAGGTCTGGGACAGCTCTTGGTTTGGGAATGGCAAAGTGAGTGCTATGTGCTGAAACAGCAAGGCCATTTTAACAGCATGGTATCACTTGCATATTCACCAGATGGGCAGTACTTAGTTACTGGCGGGGATGATGGAAAAGTAAGCACGTTGATTAAAATGTTGATTTTTAAAAAGTCTTAGTATATAGTTTCAGAAGACCAAGAAAGGATTTGTTAATAATATTAAATGGGTGACCTATTACATTAACATTCTACAATTAATATACCTAACATCACAATATTGTTTTGGATGCAGAAATCACATTAGACTGGTTTTTTTTAAAAAAAATAATGCATGAAATACTTGATAAGTATGAGAGGGCAGTTTAAGAACCAGCAATCACTGGTGTAATTTGAATTTGCATTGAGGAAAATGACTTTTTTTTTAAATATTTATGTTACAGAGATAAACATCAAGGTTATTTTTCTCTATTATTTGTTGCATTCTTTTGCTAAATCTGTTAGAAATAGAATATGGAAATGATTCTCCATTGCCTTCTTCAAATATATTTTCTGATTTTCCAGTCAAGCCTGTATCTTGTTATCCCATCCAAGTGCTAGTCAGATTAACCTTAACAAATCACAGTTGTCAAGTCCTATGAGATTATCTTTGACAAATCAAAACAATCTTATTAAGGAACTCAAACAGTAGTTATTGTACTAAATATTATTAAGTGTATTTAAGGATAAGTAATATATAAAACAATGTAGAAATAAATGTGACTATGACAAAAATATATCTTCATGTTAATTGTCAGAAATTAAGTATGCAGTTTCATAATTCATCATGCATGTTAAAAATTACAATTTAGCATGTGCAAATATTAAATTTGGGGGGAATACTAAATCTTAAAAATATTTGTGATATTTAAAATAAATTGTGGGATTTAAAAAAATACTAAGAATACAGAACCATTGAAAAACAATAAAACATTTAATTCAGTCTTGTTAAATTTTTAAATTTAACTTTGCTTATAAATAACATTTTGTGAAGTCAGCATTATAAAAATGCTGAGTATGCTATTATATATAATATTAAACTACTGTTAATATATACAGTACTTTACTGCTAATTTAACATTGGAATGATAGGGTCTAATTTTATCTCTTGGGTTATGGTCATGTTCTTATGAATTGATGTTTTGTTTTTTCTAGAGTAGAGTGGTTTTTCCCCAACTCTAATCAATATACCTAGGGATTAGGAAGTAATATGTTGTATATGTTTGTTTAATCCTGTTGACCTATAAAAGACTGGTTCTATTTTTTTAAAAGATAAATATTTGGTTCGTGCAGAATTGCATGACATCTGGTTTGTTTTTTGCCTTGAAAAAGGGTATATAAAACCTATACAAAAAGGGTAAGATAAAAATGAACAACTGGTGAAACTTATGGGCATACCAGCTTTTAAAGAGATGATTCTATATTTTTTGTTGAAAATATGATTGGTTAACCTCCCTGCCAGGGTAATTATTAAAGGTGGTGACTTGGAATGTTTCTTTCAATAGTAATCTCTCCAAGTTAAATCATTAATCAATTACTGAAAAGGTTTAATTTATCTCAAGCTGATGTAGAGCTTTTTTTTCCATTTCAGGTGAAAGTATGGAATACCAGCAGTGGCTTCTGCTTTGTTACCTTTACTGAGCATACCAGCATCATATCTGCTGTAACATTTACCAATTCAGGATATGTTGTTTTGAGTGCTTCTCTTGATGGAACTGTGCGGGCATTTGATCTTCACAGGTAAGCTTATTATTTTACTTGCTTACTTTTAGTTTTGTCCACCTTGGAATAGACATTGGAAGTTTAGTGTATTCTTTATTAATGTCTCAAGATGCAATTTTCCATTAAACCAGTTAGATTGTGTTCTCTTTAACAGTTGTGTCAATCTAATTGTATTAGTTAATCTAATTTGGAAGCCTCCCCTATAAAAATCATGTTCCATGATTGAAGAAGACATCCCCAGGTTATGAGTGTTCCCTTAGCGAATGTTCGAAGTTACACAATAAGTACCCCGTAATGTTTATGAACAAGTCCCAAAACTATGCATCTTGCACCACCAGGGCAGTTGTTTGCCCTTACAATCATTGCAACATTCATTCTGCACTTTGCTGGCCAAAATGGAGCTTAGGATGAGCAGATCTGCCCTTCCAAAGCTCTATTTTGGCCAGCAGAGTGCAGGAGAGGCTTGCACACACCAAAACGGAGTTGCAGAGGGACATGCGTAGCTGAGAGGCTGGAGAAGAGACTGCTTGTTAGATCTTCGCACAGTAAGTGACCTGGTGTGGCAGGTTTGGGAGGAGAAGCAATTTTGGGGAGCATGAGGTATTTCAGTGGGTTGGGGAGGCCTTGGGTGGTCTTAGGCAGGTGGCCTGTTCCATTACTAGCCTGCCCCCCGGTCTTCCCCACCCTGAAATACATGTGCACTTAACAAGCCTTGCATTTAATTAGTGAATGCGTGGATAAAAGAAGGGAGTGATCCCGTTCAAGGTATGAGATTCACTCCCATGAATCCTTGGGTTATAAATGGAATGGGCAGGCTCCAATACATTCGTAACTTGAGAACTACCTATACTAGGTTGTTGTGTAGAAGCATAATTAAAATCCTAGTCAAACATTTTATGTAATTAATTGCTCTTTTCTAGCATTTAGGGGTTTTTAACTTAAGTCTAAAAAATAGTTTTATATATTACTCTTGCCTTTTGCGATAGGTACCGCAATTTTCGCACTTTCACTTCCCCGCGACCAACACAGTTTTCCTGCTTAGCTGTAGACTCCAGTGGAGAAATCGTTTCAGCTGGTTCCCAGGATTCTTTTGAAGTATTTGTGTGGTCTGTGCAGAGTGGACGACTTTTAGATGTAAGACATAGACACTTTTTATGGTGCTTGCAGTAATCCATTTTGACACAAATGTTACTCTTATCAGTGTTGCCCTTAAAGATGAGGTCTTATTAGTACAAGTGATTATTAAAATCAAACATTGAATTCCTATGAATTTTTAAGCAGATTATTTATGTGAAAAAAATAAAACCAGATACAGTTATAGAACTCCTGATTTTGCTACCATTCCTCACAGTTATTAAGCAAATCATCATGGTTGTTAAGTGAATCACACAGTTAAACAAATAGAGCTTTTCCCCCCATTGACTGCTTGTCAGAAGCCTGCTGGGAAAGTTATAAATCATGATCACCTGACTGCAGGACATTGTAACTGTCAGGTGCCAAGCACCCAAAGGTGGTGCAATTTTGTAAGGATTGGATTGGACTCTTCAGTAGCCCATAGATAAAATAAATGATGATTTCCTTTTTTAATTATAAGTGTTTTACTTATTTCAAAGTTAAAATACAAAATCCAAGAAAAGAAAGAAAAGAAAAAAGAACAAAACAAAGACAAAAAAAGTGCATAAAATGAAATGCAAACATACACATAAAATCTCCCCCTTGGTTGAATACTGATAAATATATTTCAAGAATTTTTATTATAATTCTCCATTGTTACATAAATACTTTTTTCATTAGGTATTAGATGGTCATGAAGGCCCCATCAGTAGTCTGTGTTTTAACCCAGTGAAGTGTGTTCTGGCAAGTGCCTCTTGGGATAAAACAGTCAGATTGTGGGACATGCTAGATAGCTGGAGGACCAAAGAAACGCTAACACTAAGTTCTGATGGTAAGTCTGTTGAAATGTATGACTATTTTTATCTTGTTTGAGTGATGTTTGCAATAATTATGGAGTAGAGTGGAGTGAAGCCAAATTGCATGGAGACCTCAGAGCACTGGTGTTGGAACAAAAACTTCCCTGTGACACAATTTTTATTAATGAGTCTGAAGTTTTACTTTTTTTATTTATTTAATACAATTTAGAGGTTGTGTAACTCCAATAACTCTTGAGTGGCTTATATTTAAAAATGTAAAAGCAGTGGTGGTATTCAATTTTTTTTACTACTGGTTCTGTGGGTGTGGCTTGGTGGGCATGGCTTGGTGGGTGTGGCAGGGGAAGGATACTGTATAATCTCCATTTCCACCCCCACTCCAGGGCAAGGCTATACTGCAAAATCTCCATTCCTTCCCATCCCACTAACTTGCTTTCCAGCTCCGTTCTCCTGTGCAGGGCAACAAAAGACGACCCAGCCGATCAGCTGGGACTCGGGAGGCAGCGAATAGATGGGGGTGGGGCCAACCAGAGGTGATATTTACCGGTTCTCCGAACTACTGAAAATTTCCGCTACCAGTTCTCCAGAGCTGTCTGAATACCACCTCTGATGTAAAGCAAGGAACAGTGTAAAAGCATCCAGAAAGCAAAGTCTGAATAATGATAAACTATCATATATATGTCCCAAGACCTGTGAGAACAGCTATGCTTTCACTGCCTTTCTGAATATCATGTGGGTGATAGCTACACAAACCACCAACTAATCAGGTGGGAAATTATATTGACTATGTTAAAACTTTCCGTGTTGCACATGTGTTTTAGTATAAGAAACAGGACCATCTTTATAAACTGTGGAATCTATGTTTGTGGAAATTTAAAATATAACAATTGGTCTCTGATAATTGTTTGAGGGAGGTAATGCAATCAAAATGCATGTAATGGAACGAAACTTAAATAAAGCTTGCCTTGGATTTCACTCATGATCTTTGCAGTGCTTGCTGTTGCTTTTCGTCCGGATGGCAATGAGCTTGCCGTAGCTTCCTTGGACGGACAGATCACTTTCTGGGATCATGAAAATGCAATGCAAACAGGATCAATTATGGGGCGACATGACCTTCAAATGGGGAGGAAAGAACTGGACAAAATAACTGCCAAACAAGCTGCTAAGGGCAAGTGGGTATTCATGACCTTTTTATCTTTTTTTCCTGTACTGGTATTTATTATAATTGGTGAAATCTTTTATCTGAATGTTCGAATTTTATTACTATAGGCTTATTTTAGTATTGGAGTGCAGAGATTTGCTTTGCATGCTTTCTATGGTTTTCTTTTGAATATTTAATCCTAAAATTATAGGTATTTATTTAAATCAATTTCCAGCCAGAGAGAAAATATGAAAATATAAAATTTTGGGTGGAACCCTTAGAAGAAACTTATAGAATCATGGACGGTAAAGGTTGGAAGGAATCTTGAAGATTTAGTTCAACCGAAGCTTTATTTGAAACATAACCTTGAATGAATTTCTGAATCTCCCAGCCACCTTTTTATATCTCTTTAACCGACAAAGGTTATAAAGAAATAAAGTGAACAAGTCAGGAATGTGTTCAATTTGTTTGAATTTTACATGGGGATATTTTTTTTTGCAAATATCTCTTTAGATTTTCAAATCTCATAAGTTTTGAGTAAGATTTAATTAAAATATATCTGCACATATGGATTATCACACAAAATTATGCTTGAAAAATTCCCAACCCTATCAGATAGGATGCAGACTGCAATTATTCCAGAGTAACTGCTCAGGGATGAGAACTATAAACTCTGTGGGTACCGAGCTTGGGATACATGTAAATATACTGATTTGAACTTCTTTTTTCAGATCTTTTACAAGTCTATGCTATTCTGCTGATGGCCAGTGTATTTTGGCAGGAGGTCTGTCAAAGTATGTTTGTATTTATCACGTCAAGGAACAGATTCTCATTAAAAAGTTTGAAATATCTTGCAATCTTTCCTTAGATGCAATGGAGGTTAGTATGTGTGTGTATGTATGGGATAAATCTTGTAAGTTTATGAAATAAAAAGATGGTCACTTTTGCTTATTTTGCCTTGCCACACATTATTTTTAAATTATGCTAATAGTAAAAGTATTACTTGACTATGTTGTTGTATGTTTTATTTTACAGGAATATTTGGATCGCAGGAAGATGACTGAGTTTGGGAGCATGGCATTAATAGAAGAAGGAAATGGGGACGATGATGATGTTATCATTCCTCTTCCAGGAGTTAAGAGAGGTATTAGTTAATTTTAAATAAAGGTCTCCAAATCATGTGTATTAGATTTATTTAAATTTTCCTGATGAAAAGGGCAGTTTTAAACAAGTCCTTTTGTTTCCTCTCATTTTGACAAAATGATTGAATCTTAGTTTGGAGATCAGCCAGTTAATTTACTGAGGAATGAGAAGCATTCCCCCAGGTTATGGCCATTGGAAAATATTTCAATGTATTGAGTGTTTTATGACATTTTTTTCTTCATTATCTGATTATTTTAGCTAATTCAAAGGTTTAGTAACTTTTGCACTTAATAACATTAGTGTTTTCACTACTGCCCTTACTATGTATATGTATCACTACTCCCACCCTCCCTATGTTGCCTGAATTTAATTAATTTGGAATAATTCATAACAAGACAAAATTGGCTTGATCAATAAATACTATGATCCCAATATGCTTGCTAAATGTTTGTAAAGTTGGCAACTGACAAATGTAAATGTTCCAAATGATTTCTGTGATGGTAACAATTGTACGCATCACATAAACATTTGTACTGGTTAATATGTTGAACAAGGGCAGTCATTTACTTCCCAGGGTGGTAATGGTTTAGGTGCGGGAACATTGATGGAGGAAATGCCCTGTCCAATAATATGTTTTTTAAAGAAAAGAAATGTAAATGTATCTGTGTGGTTCTTTCTCTTGCCATACTTCTTTTGTAGAAAGAATCAATTTACGGTGTCAGCACTGGTTTGTACAAGGAAATTATTGTAGGAAATTATGTTGCTTTTTGCTTTCTTTTCAGGTGATATGAGTTCTCGGCATTTTAAACCAGAAATAAGAGTAACATGCCTCCGCTTCTCACCCACTGGTAGGTTTTTAGAGGTTCTTTTCGTTACTTGAAAAATATTTTTCATATCTCTGTCTGTCCACCTATCCTCCCACACAGGGGTGGGATTCAAATTTTGTAACAACCAGTTCTGTGGGCGTGGCTAGGTGGACATTGCCATGTGACTGGGTGGGCATGGATTCTTTTTTTCTTTTTTTGCAGCAAACCCTCCCCCCCATTTCGGGGGCCTCAGGGAAGCCCAGGCGTTTTTGCTCCCAGAAGGCTTCCCTGGGGCTCAGGAAGGAAAAAAACAGAGCATGAGGGGGCACACAGCACCCCCCTGCGCTCCATTTTGGGGCCTTCTAGGCATTAGGGAAGCCTCCTGGGAGAGGTGTCTTTGCCCCCAGGAAGCTTTCCTAGGGCCCAGGAAGGCAAAAAATGGAGGGGGGGCGGGGGTATGCTGAGCGAGTGACTGGGAGTGACTGGGCATGGAGTGACTGGGCATGGAATAATGCAGTCAGCGATGTCGGGCATGCACACGATGTTGCGCATGCGCGATAAGGACTGACTGGGCGGCGAGGAGAGGGGCCAGCCAAGGGCACGATTTGCCGGTTCTCCGAACTGCGCAGAATCATAACAACCGGTTCTATAGAATCCCACCCCTGCTCCCACATCTCCATAGTTTTAGTTAATATCACAGTACTTCTCTTTCAGGAAGAAATTGGGCAGGAACCACTACAGAAGGTCTTCTTATCTACTCTTTGGACTCTAGTCTCACCTTTGATCCATTTGACTTAGAAATTGACATTACTCCTAGAAATATTCATAAAGTATTGTACCAAAAGGAGTACACTAAGGCTATTGTCATGGCTTTTCGACTAAATGAGAAGAAAATGATTCAAGAGGTTCTAGAAACTGTGCCCTATGATGAAAGTAAGCTGGACTACTATTACTAGTGTGATGTTATGGTTGCAGAAAACAAAATTTCCTAAATTTCTAAGTTGTTAGCAAAACTTGATGTGTGCGTATGTGCTAAAGAGAAGGAAAAATACAATATCTTGAATAATTTGAGTGTTTTAAGTGAATAGAAGAATTATTAAATATCACACGACAAAAAGTCGGCCCAGCCAGTGGATATGTCATCTGCAAAGACCCCCCACAAAAGCATAAAACTAGCAACACAAAAGGTAGACAAACACAGAGGTGTTTGTGAGGCAGTTTGTATCCAAGACTATTCGTGAATCCAAGACTATTCCTTGGTTAAAGGAATTGTGTCATGCAATATAGCATTTCCTTGCCTTCAGTTTCCCTTGCTAAAAATGCAGACATTTTCCTTCTGTATGTCATGACAAGTGAACTGTTTTGACATATTTATTCATTTGTTGTCAACTAATACATCCTCTTGTTTGTTGTAAAAAATAGTTGATATAGTCTGCTCATCGCTTCCAGACTTGTACATAGAAAAAGTCCTAGAATTTTTAGCATCTTGTTTTGAGAAATCTCGTCACTTGGAATTCTATCTCGTGTGGACTCAGAAATTGCTCATGCTTCATGGATGCAAGTTAAAAACAAGGTTAGTGAACTTAGCTTAATATGATTGAAAAAGAGAGAATACATATTAGTTGATAATTTTAAAAGTAGAATTATATCTACCATCAAAAGGCCAGTAGTTAAAATGTCAGTGAAATTCCATTCTTTTTTCATTGGCTTTGGTGATTTGATTGAAGACTGGAATACAAGGGAAGCAGCAGATAAGCTTCAAACTGCCATATCCAAGAAAAGTTGCAACATGTATGCTGTATGTCTGTTGTAACTACTAGCTATTTTATTGGTAATACATTAAAGATACTTTTTCAAGCTCATTAATACTTTGAAAATTAAATATAAATTAGCATTTGGGCTTTTATATTCAGCATTTCTAGGACTTATTTTCAGGGTTGTGAAAAAAATGTGCATTGGCACCAAGAAGCAACTGCATTCTTCACCATTTTTATGGTTTTGACATTTTTTGCTGTGTTTGTATGTGCATACTTTCACTACTCTGAAATGTACATCCAGGTAAAAAAAAATCTTAAGATGAATCAAAATGTATCGCCTGCTTGTTGGAAATGCACCCAGGAATATGGATCATACTATCATATATAGTGGTCGTGTAGGAAAGCCCAGGAATAAGATTCAGAGATAGTTAGAAGAGATTGGTGAATTTAAGGTTGAGTACAAACTGGAATTTGTCCTGCTGGGAATCACTACAGAGAAATATAATAAGGAATTGATGTATCTAATAGTACATGTGATTATGGCAGCAAGGTTAGCTTATGCTCAAAAATGGAAATTCCTGATGAAAGTGAAATAATTAAAAAGATATGGATATGCGCTGAAATGGACAAATTAACTATTAAAAATAAGGATGAGACGAATATTACAAAATATGAGATAAATTTTATCAATAGTGGGGAAAAAGGAAGGACTGAGAATTAAAATAAGATAAGGTTGTTAGGATAGTAGACTAGAAATATGGGAAATTTTTGATGTATAAATGTATATGCTATGTAAATATGTATTATATGTTATGTACAATAGATATGAATGACAAGCAGAATAGTCAGGATGATTATACCACATTCATTGTTTTTAATGCTTTATTAAATAAAAAAAAATAAAAAAAATCTTGCAAAGGATGTTTGTTTTAATGTTTTAAAGTTTTTATACTAATGTTTCTTTTTCAAGAGCTTTGCACAGCCCTCATTTATAAAATGACTATTTTGTCCATTTGCAGATCAGAAAAACTGCTGCCTATTGTTCAGTTTCTTCAGAAGAGCATTCAGAAGCATTTTGAAGACCTTTCTAAACTGTAAGTATTTTGTTTGATTCCATTCTACTTAATTGAGGAGAATAAAAAAGCTGCACTATAAGATCATTTTATTTTTAAAGCATGTTTTCCCCTTTTTCCCATTACATATGGCAGGTTGTAATCTGGGCAAGTGCCAGCTTTGTCTGATTTCTCTTTGGGCCTTTACTTATTCTCTGTAGCCCAAAGTTACTGTTTTGAACAACAGTCCATACATGTGATATCAAAAACTACATTTTCTAATGGCAGCAGAAAAAGTACAGGCTTGCCTGATTTACTGCAGTATTGGATATTATGGAATACCTTTCAACTAGAAGTAACTAAGCGGAAAGGAAAGTTGTTCATTTGATTAGAAACTATGTATAAATAACACATTGTAGCACATTGTATCATATGACTTCAGATTGCTCCGGAATATTGAATGATGTGTTGAATAATTGAGCGATGTATATATTTTACTGCCTCTGATTATTTGCTGTACTGTATATGCAGGCATGTTTAGCATTGCTTTTGACTTATTTTTATGATGGTTTTTCTTTCTGCAGTTGTGATTGGAATTGTTATAACATGAAATACATTCTTTCTATTTCACAACAACGGGGTATGAAACGCAGAGCAGAAGATTCTGAACACAATGATTTGAAAAATTTGGAAGATTCCAGTAGTGAGGATTTTATGGAAGAATCAGCTGTACATTTATAGAAATATGACACTTTTTTCCATGTGTAAATTTAAACAGCAGTATTCACTGAGAACTTCATAGCCCTTTGAAGTGGCCTATTTTTTAATAGATGATTTGAATGTGAAATAATGCATCTAGGAAAAAGTAGTTTATCTTTTGTACACTTTTTTCAGTAATTGAATAGCTGGACAGCTATGGCCATTAAATCCTAACCATGACTTTTTTCTTGCAGTTAGACATGTATTGTAATTTTGTTGTAGACTGCATGAATCATAAGTGTTCCTACCCATGTCTGATGCTCACAGTGTTGGTGATTTACAAATTACCTAAATGATCTTTTATATAAAATCACTTCTATTAAATAAAATATATTGGGGAATAATGGAGACACAAGGACTAAAAAAATGAACTGAATAGATTCAGACTTATATTTTTTGCAAAAAAAACCCAACCAAAAATCATTTATTGTCCTAAAATAACCACAGATTTTCTAGAAATCCTTTGTAGAAACTTACTTGTCTCTTCTCTCAAAATTCTTGGTGTTTTTGTGAATCTACTCTCTATAATTCCTGTGTGGAAACTTCAGCAAAACACTTGGGTAAATTCAGTGTAAAAAAATTACCCAGATCTCTTTTCTAGTTTATTATTTATATATTGATTTCAATGATTAAACCATCGGCCAGTTTCATTTGCAAATCTGTTATTTCCATCTCTTTCTTGTAAGTTATTGGTTTTTTTAGTCCACCTACAAATCAGTTTCAGTTTTATTCAACAGAACTTGTCCCTCTTCATTAACACCTTCTGATTCTTTTGTAAAGGTAAAAATAACCGGAATTCTTCCTGCACCCATTTATTAAAAATCTCTTATTAATGGAACTATCTGATGCCCTCTAGTGTTTTCAAACATAAACACTAGAAACACTAGAAAAGAAAGATCCTTTCAGTTAACTTCAAAGTCCATCTAAACCCTTAATTGGTTTAAGCAATTCTAAAGCTAACATTAAGAATCTTTTTGCTCTAAATGCTACAATGTTTTCTTCTTACAAAACTTTAAACTTTGAACTTTTTTTAAAAAGGATTGTAGAAAAACTCACCCAATGATTTCAATAAAACTTGCCAGTCTGAATGTTCTTAATCTTTAAACAACAACAAAAATAAATGTGATTAAGAGATGAGCCTGGGTCAAACTTAAGAGTTTGCATAGATTATATTAGCATGATGGAATCCTGCGACACTCAGCCAATTATAAGCTGACTGCAAAAAGGCAATTCTTGCCATCTGCTCAAAAAAAAAAAAAAAAAACCAGCTATCCATAGTACATATGGTGATCTTGTGATCTCTTCTTACTCCAGAGAGATTTGGGTAGCCCAAATCTTCCATTTGAACATTACTCAGTTTCAGTGTGTCCTGTTCTATTCACCATGGTAGCTCACCAAAAGCTCTTATTTGAAATAATTGAAAATCTGATCAAAGTTTAACAGGAAGTGTTTGGACTCCATATATTATAAAAATCATTGTTGTTAGTATGTGACAGTGTATCTGTTACGCTTCAGAATTTTTGTTTGATATTATAGCCTGAATAGAAATTATGAAGAAATTCTACTGGTTTAATAACAAAAATGCTTTAGGCTAGAATAAATGAAGTTCTTTGTATATGTTGCTCTGGAATTGTGGGCTAGCTTATTTCCCCCTCCCCCTTGAGTCCTGTTTTATTTAAAAAGTAGTTATAAAAAAAATAAGACAAAATACCATTCAATATAGAATATATTTTTGAATATTTGAAAATGATAAATTGGGAGATATGACCAATCAGACCTCATCAAAAAGTTATTCCACTTGCTTCATGAGGTAGAATAACAAACAGCATTTCCCATCTCGCAATACTATGTTATTTTGCTGGATAAGAAAATATGTGTATCCCTGGGAATAAAAATATAATCACTAAAAACAACTATTTGATTTCTTTTTGAGACATTTTTTTTGTTTTAGATGGATGGCCATGTCATTCTGATTCATCAGAGTAATTATTCCATCTCACTTCCTTACCTTGTTTTTTAGTACTATATTAAGTGAAATTAGTGCAATATGGTGGAAAGATACAGATGTCACTATAATCTGAATTCTCAGCTAAATAGAAAAAGAATCAAGTTATTTTAATGAATAGTTTTCGCTGCATCAGAGGTGAAGGCTCTTTGATTCTGTAAAAAATTAGATTGTTCATAAAAGAAATTAGTTCTAAAATCCCTGGAGGCCCTATAAAAATAGTGTTTCTGTTCCTTAACCAAGTGGGACAATGTGGCTTACTTTGCTGGAAAGAGATGACAAATGAATATCAAAAGTTGGTGTAGTTGTTAAGATAATAGGGTTGGAGACCTGGAGATTGTGAGTTCTAGTGCCATTTAGGCATGAAAGCTGGCTGCATGACTTTGGTCACTCTCACTCAGCCTAACCCACCTCCCAGGGGTATTGTGGGGAAAAGACAAGGAAGAAGTATTAACTCTGTCCACTGCCTTAATTATAAAATAAAGGCAGCATAAAAATTAAAATTAAAACAGCAATTAGAGAATGTTGGAAGAAAAATCTGTCCCAGTTCCAAGTCTGGAGAAAGAAGCTGGAAATGGCAGCTGATTGGAAAAAAGGACGGTTTATTGATGAGCAAAACCTATCAACAGCATGTAGTTCTGGCACAGCTGTCAAATCGGTTTGATGAATACATGGATTTTTATAGTGCTGCAAGGGGTTGTGCAAAGCTGCAGCGATTGGCCACCTGGTTGGTTCGCTATACAAACTTATCAGAATGGTTTGTATAGAATGGGCATCTGAACGTGTCGCTTCCCTTCCCCGCCTCCCAAACGGCATTACCGAAGAATTGGTGTGGAGCTGGTCTGACAGCGCTCCGTTGCACTTTGAGGAGCTCGCACAACGCCAAACATCAAGCTGCTCCTCCAGGCAACGAGCTAAGCTGTTACAAGGCAGTGACATGGGATAAATCCTCCGACCTCTAGGTGGCGCTGCGGCGTCCTCGTCTGAAACTCAGCCTTTGGAGAAGTCACTGACGAGGCTTCGGTGGCAGCGGCTCGGTTTTCTTGGAGTCAAGATGTGGGCTGCTAAATTCGTGAACGCCCGTTCGCCTCTCCTGTCCTCGGTGCTGTTGCTCTCGAAGGGAGCCCCAGCTTCCAGCTCGCCCTTTCACTCCTCGGCGCGCTGCCATGGGGCTAAAGTAGCTGTGGTGAGTTCGCCTCCGCGGCAAAGGCGGCAGCCTCATGGCTGCCAGGAGGAGGAGGAGAGGAGGAGGAGGAGGAGGAAGCGCAGCCTTTTTAGAACGCCCCGAGGCGCGGGACTCAGCCTGCGCTCCCTCGGCAGACGCTTTTCTCGGGCGCCGCCGAAAGACGCTTCCGTCCGGCGGCAAAGCCAAACACTGCAGCGTTGGGTCATTTTTCCAAGGCTGGGAGTCTGCCGCAATTGGAGAGTCGAATGGGTGCGTGTGTGGGACGGGTGCGTGCGTGTGTGTGAGTGTGAGAGAGGGGGGCACCAAAGACTGGTAACAAGTGAAACCACACAGCTATGTAACGTGACTGTATCTGGCCGACCTTAGCTTGGCTCGGCCGTTGGGGAGTCACAGGAATGAAGGAATCCTAGGATTAGTCCAGAAATCGCACGACTTTTCACAAGGTAATGTCAAGCTACTCACTATCTTTTAATATACCAAATGGACACTTAATATAAGTGTTTTAAGACTAACGAATTTAAATATCATCTGACACATAAATTACACCAGAAGTAAGTCGTTGAGTTACCACTGAGTCAACTCATATGTATGTGTATTCCTGCAATCATCCGAAGCTGAGTTGACCCCAGTCGTAACTCTACTAGTTACTTTTGAGAGTAATTTGTCTTTAAACTCATTTGCCTTTTAAAGCATTTATATGAAGTGTCTATTTGCTATGTTAGTGACTTGCTCATAATCACCTACTGAAGTTAATGACTGAAACCTGGGCATCCAATTGTAGACCAGCTTTGTAATGGCAGAGTGCACAATTTTTTAAAGATTATCTCTCAACTTTATGCAGCGTCTCGGGCTACAGAAAGAGGACAAAAAAACATGAGTGGAGGGACAAAACAGAATTTGTCTGGATTAAAATTAAGTGCAACAGAATTCAGTGTGTTTAATCAAATGGCCTATTACTTTAAAAAGTATAGTTGATTTACAGCATCTGGAGAGCTCTTGTGGGCTAGGGAGGCAGAGTTAGGCATTTCTGCTCCAATTTCTCTGCCTGCACAGTCTGGTATCTTCAAGGTTTATGTTTAATGGGGTTAATTTTAATCTTCAAAATATTGTGCTATGTTATGTATTAGTCTTTTAAGCTATCTCTTGTTTGTATTGCTACAGATTACTTGTACTGGGATGGCCAAGGCGTCACAGACTTGAAAAGCATTTAATTGTTCTCTGTTGACACACTTTATGTATATAGACAATATACAGTAGTATTACATAAAGGAGCATGTGCCAGTATAACACTATATAAATCAGTTTAGAAGTAAGCTATTATCCTTGATTGAACTTCTTATTAAATTGTAACTGTATCTTCAATTCTTTATAAGAGAACAGGTCTAAGCATTCTGGGACCATCCACATACATGTTAGAACAGCCTGCAGCTTACATTGTGCTATCAAGCCTCCAGTATTGTAGAAAATGTGGCAGAATTTCTGCCTTACCATTTTTGAGGCAGAAAACAAGCAAAAATTGTAGGTAAGACTTACAATAGGTTTACCAATGTTTAATCCCACCTAATATTTCCCCCCAAAATAAGTCCTGTTTTTGAATGCTGGTTCATTTAATTGTTCTGTTTCCATAAGTTTAGGGGCTCCTACTTTATCAAAAGACATACGAGACCAGAATGTAGATGTCAGAAATATTTAAGATATAATAATATAGTTGTCTTATAACAAATTAATAAAGGAAAGGAAATCAAATCTTTCCTGCTGCTTCATTCATTGCTTCTCTGTGGTTTATAAACTGCTTCTGGATATCTAAAAAAAAATTTTCTTAGGAAAATTACCATTCTTGAAATGGAGAAATTATTAAAATCATCAGAACTTTCCATACAAAACTGCAAAGTGCAAAATGCCACCATCGCATATTTCATATATACTTTGTATAATAAAATAATTTACATTACTTGTATAAGAAAATAATCTGTAAGACTGGGTGTATTATTTTATCTCCAGATATATTTGCTCCCTCTTTTAGGTTCATAACCTTTTGTGGTCAAGCTGTATCAGGCTACTATTTCTATCATCTCTGAAGTTCATTAAATTTAGCAAGGTTAGGAGGTATCTAGAAAAGGCTATTTTATTTTATCTTTATTTCTTATTACAGGTTCTTTCTGGTTGTGGTGTTTATGATGGCACTGAAATCCATGAAGCCGCTGCGTAAGTGTATTTTTAAACATTGTAGGACAACCTCCATTGCCATAAATAAAGCTGATTGATAGATAATCCAGTTATCTAGAAAGCATTACAGCATTAAGTGACTTTCCATTAGAATATTTTGAAATGTCATTCTCCCTTCTATCAGTATTTAGTAGCCTCTGGATGAGAGGGGCAGAACATTAATAAATAAAATAACATTTCATTTTAAATTTTGCATTTAATGGAGTACTTATTTAGGCTCATTCTGGCTTTATTATACTTTGATAATAAATACTGAAAAAGTCTGGATAGTGGACATGGCAATACCTGGAGACAGCAGAATAGAAGAGAAAGAACTAGAGAATAGAAAGACTGTGGCAAAAGAGAGCAAAGATACTACCAATATTAACAGGCACCTTGGAAGGGCAGGCTGAGTTGGAAGGTAGGATTAAACATGTCAGTTAGAGCACCATTTGAACCCCCTCTGCATTGACAAAATCAGTAAATTGCAAAAAGTAGTTTTACTTGGAACAGCTTGCATCATGTGATGATATCTTTAACACCGTCAAACATCAATATCTGCCTATCCCAGGCCAATGGGAAGGACTTGATAAAAATCCCAAAACCAATCTAAACTCCTGGCTAACCATGTGATGAATTATAGTAATAGTAACAAATCCAGTCTAAACATCTGGCTGAATATGTGACAAATCATAATTTATTAAATTTATATGTAGGATAATGGTTCATTTGAGCCGAGGAGGAGCCAATGTTGACATGTATGCCCCAAATATTTCTCAGATGCATGTTGTTGATCACAGCAGAGGGCAGCCAGCTGACAGGGAATCGAGGTAAGAATTACTAAAATATATGCTTGATTAATGATGTGCCATCAAGTTGTTGATGACTTTTAGTGACCACATAGTTAGATTTTTCTCCATGATGATCTATCCCTAACCTAGTTCTTCAGCTCCTCTAATGGTGCCCCCTTCATCAGTGTAACAATCTATCAAGTTTCTGGTGGTTGTCCTCATCTCTTCTACCTTTCCACGCACCGGAGACTTCTCCAGAGAGCTGGGTCTTCTCTTGTGTCTGAAGTAGGTTAATTTGAAATTATCATTTGTGCCTTGAGTGAGAACTCTGGTTGATTTGTTCAATAATCTTATTTGTTGTTTTCTTGGCTGTCCATAGTGTTCTTAAGTCTTTTTCAACACCAGAGTTCAAAAGCTTAAAATATTGCATGAGGTAACTGTAAACTGGAAGCATTTTCTCTTGAGGCAGTGGTTTTTTCCCATATTCTGATCACAGTTCTGGAATCAAGTCATAGCTTATGAAATAGGTTTGGTAACTCTGCAATTACTAACAAGTTGCCCCAAAGGTGCTTTTTCGAAAGACAACTGGACTTTGTTTTTTCCTTGAAGACGTTTCGCTTTTTATTCAAGAAGCTTGTTCAGTACTATCAAGTAGTATAAGAAAAAGGGGTTGAGACTTAATGTGGTGATTCTGTTAAAATTCCATTCAATTCCACCTTTAACATAATTTAAGTTTTTTGTTACGTGAAGGAAATAGGCACTCTGTTCTTTTTTTAAACTCTGCTGATAACCAGTACTCTAAAATTGGATGCCCCAAAAACATTTATATTTATATTCTTTTAAGAAACGTCTTAACAGAATCAGCAAGGATCGCTCGTGGGAAAATTATTGACTTGGCTAGACTTACTGCAAGAGACTATGATGCGGTAGTATTTCCTGGAGGCTTTGGAGCTGCTAAAAATCTGTGAGTATTTAATTCTATAAGTTGCCACAATATGTTACCACTACTTTCTAATTAGATGTGACTAAATGACATAGCAGGCAGTGTAAATTCTGACTGCAACCCTGAATTGAAATGAGTAAAACATACTTTTAGATATCCTTTCTCAAATCATGAACAATAGAATTAAAAGTTGCTGTCCTGTTGTGGCCTGCCCCTCCAGTAGCTGAATCAGAGGAGGCAGATTGGGATTCAGGCCAATCTTAAGACAATCTTCTGTGGGGAAGAGGGAATGGAGCTGTCAGAGACAGAGACAGAGGTGGAGCCTGAGCCATCCATCAGTCCTGAGGGGCAACAGCCCCCAGGTCCGGAGGTGGCTGATGAGGAAGAGGAGGAACAGCTGGGCCCTGTGTCTGATGCGCAGAGGAGAGGAGAGCAGTGGGATGCTATGGAATGTGTATGTATGTCTCTGATGCTGGAAACAAGCAAGCGCACCTACCAGGACTTCCTTTACAAGTGTGGGGAGAGAGAGACTCCTGATAGGTTGGGGTCATTTCAGGGGGAAAGGGAGAGAGCTTTGCTTTCCAAAGGCATTAAGAGACTGCTGTTAGTCTGCTGTGTGTGTGTGAGAGAGAGAGAGGCTCAGGGCTGGGGCTGCTGACGCTCTTAATAAAGGCAACGTTTACTTACAAACAGCATGCTTGTCATATTTGAGAACCGGATTACAACATCTCCTTTCTATATGTCTTTGTGTTGGGAGTGAGAATATACTGTGGTTGCTTCAGGAAAGATTGCAATATTAGCTGCAATAATTAATGCAATATAATTTCTTATAATTAATGTATCAAACATGTTGAAAATCTATATTTCAATTTTGTTGTCAGCCTTCAACCTCTTAAAATGTGCCACAATTATATTGTATGAGAGGAAAATGTTTATTTTTCAGGATAGCTTCCACACTGAGACTAAAGTTAGTTTCTCATATAAGAAAGAATTGTTTAATTTGTGTTTTGTGCTTATTTCTTATTTATTCAATTGTTAAGTATTTCAGAATTTATTTTTTCCTTTGCATGGAGGTATTACAATCCATACTGAAATCTTGAGTAGTGGTCTGGGTGTGGCATATGAAAAATGTTTTATAGGACAACGGGAAATATTAGTGTAGATTAGTTCTTGGCATGCATTTAAAATTACTTAGAGGAGCAGTCTGAAGTATCTGGAAGCATGGCCACGACAGAGTAGCTGTGCCTTTTTTGGGGGGGTGGGGGTGGGGTGCTTCTGTGCAAGCCTGAAAAAAGCTTAACCAATGCAATTCATTAAAACAGCTTTATGACTGTTATTATGCTTGCCTTTGAAGCACCCATAACTGTTGTTAAGTTTAGGTTAGCTGTAAAATGAATAATCTCCTACTCTTGATTTTATTTAGCTCCATTCATTCACATCACCATTTATTTAGTTGCTTTCTCTTTTCTCTCCTGAGTTTCTCTTCTAACATCCATCTGCCAACATATACATCAATAAGATATTGACAGTTGTGTCATTTTTGACTTGGAGCATTTCAGGGAAACACTTTCTTCCCAATTGATTACAAATCCTGTTCCTGGCAAAGTAATTCAGAAAGAAAAAAATTCTGTTGGTTTTTGTGGAAGCTTATTTAAAGTCTCAGAGATAGCAGAACAAAGGAAAGAATCTCAAAGTTCCACTTTTCAATGTTCCCTTTCCTGAATTTTTGGAAACATGAGAATCCTGGAATTATAGGATAAAAAGGAGAAATATAAATATAGAACATATTGATAAACCCTTGTCTCTCAGCTTCTATTTCTTTTTCAGAGAAGTGGAAAGACTGACTTTGCTATTCCTGACATTTTTGCTGGAAAAAGCATTTCCACATTTAAAGGAACAGTATTTGCATTTATGAATGACAAAAAAATATGGTTATTTCAAGCATTCATACCTTCTAGGTTACTGTGTGTGCATGTGTATCTTAGAACTATAATGCATTGTATGGGTTTCTTTTGTTGTGGCAGGTCTACCTTTTCTGTGGATGGGAAAGATTGTAAAGTTAACAAGGATGTTGAGCGTGTGCTGAAAGACTTCCACAAATCAGGGAAGCCCATTGGGTATGTCACCTATTTAAATACTCTTTTCTAAAGAATCCTTCCTAGCTCTCCCTTCAGTCAGAGACTAACTCCTGGTGATTCTCTTAGGTAAAATGAATTTACAGGCCTAGAACTGCAAAATCAGATTGGTTAGGCACTTGGCAAGTCAAGTCAGCTAGTAAGTTGGGGGAGGGGATAGTCATCTGATTAAGTTAAAACTAATAGCTAAGACTAGTTTAAGCTATTCATTAAAATTAATTCATTAAACTTGTTTGCTGCCAATTTTCAAGGATTCTGAATAATACTTTAGATTAGAAGGGCAGCAGATACAGTATGTCAGAACCAAAGGAATTCAGAAAAAAGCACCTGTCTATTGCTCTTTAAAATAGCTGTGCCTTTTCCTGCCTTTTCTTATATGGCTGCTCTCTCCAGTGCAAACATAATCCTGATTAGGTATAATACAGCAAACCCTTCTATAAAGAATTTATGAGGTTTTTTTTTAGCCTGAGATGCAATTCTTTTTCTTTTGAAACCTTTATATTTATGATATAGAAAAGAGGACGAGGAAGCAAAGAAAATAAAAGCAAAAAGCAAAATATACATGCAATCTCCTCTTGCTGTTGTCTACATTTTTAAAAACCACAAAAAACTAAGGTTTTATAAATATAAATTAAGCATTTAAATGCCATCTTGAACCAGTAGAACAAATTTTTCTAGAAAGAATGTTACGGAATATGGTCAGATAAAAAAATAAAATTTATAATACAACGGTCTAGCCAATGACTTAATGGTTGAGATATTAAAAAATAGTCAAATCAAAAACGTGGATAGTTGAAAAAAAATATCAGGGGTTAAACCCCCAAATCATCATGTGTCCACCAAATTCAATTCCACTAGGTAAACTTGGACCACATTCCAGCTATATAATTGAAATGTATTTAAAATACTACCGTCCAAAGTATCCAAAATTATCCAGAGTAAGCCAATTGAGAAAATTTTAAATGGAATATATTCTTGAAAACAACTTTTATTGATAACAAAATATGAAAACATGAAACCCTTCAGAATGCATTGAAAAAAATGAAAATACTGTGTGTGCTTATCCACAACTATAGCTGGAATTTTAAAAATTGTATGTATTCATGGATAACCCATCTGCAGATAAGCCAAACCAAATGTTTGGGTTGTGTTTTGGATCCTATAATTCTTGGTTTATCAGCAAGTGTAAAAGGTATGCAAAATGCTGTATGCTTAACTGGAGCACAATAGTGAAAGCTATCTCTAAATGTCTAATCACTAAAATGTTTTATATCAAATATTTCTTTTTTCCATTATTAATCTTGACTGTACACAATCCTTTTATGTTGAACTCTGCTTGCAAATTATGTATTGGCTCTCTTTTAGGTTGTGCTGTATTTCCCCTGTCTTGGCTGCAAAGGTTCTACCTGGCACTGAAGTCACTGTAGGCCAAGAACAAGAACAAGGTGGGAAGTGGCCTCATGCTAGGACTGCTGGAGCTATTAAAGCCATGGGAGGAAAACACTGTGCTAAAGATGTAACAATATCCTTTTCATGTTCAGTTTGACTACCTTGAGGCAGAATTATAGAATCAAAATTATAGGCCTGAAGGGATCTTGGAGGTCTTCTCGTCCAACTCCCTGCCCAAGATAGGAATCCTTATACCATCCTGGACGAATGATTGCCTTTTCTTGAAAACCTCCACAAATATAATACTCACAACTCTGGGAGGCAAGCTATTCCATTGATTAATTATTCTCACTGTCAAGAAATTTCTTCTTAGTTCCAGGTTGGACTTCCCTCTGATGAGTTTCCAGCCATTGCTTCTTTCACTGCCCTCAGGTGCCATGGAATTGCCCCCACTTTCCCTGTGACTGCCCTTCAAATATTGGAAGATTTTTGTCATTTCGCCCCCTAAGACTTGTCTTCTTCAGGCTAAACATATCTAGGGTCCCTTAGCTTTTCATCGTATGGTTTAGTCTCCAAATCCTTTATCATCTTTATTGCTCCTCTCTGTACTCTTTTTAGGACCTTAGCATTTATTTATTTTTTGGTATCATGGTGATGATAATTGGATGCAGTATTCCAAGTGCAGCCTCACTGGTGCTGTGTAGAACAGTATGATCCCTTCCCATAATCTTGATGCTATCTCTGTTGATGCAGCTTACGACTGCATTGGCTTTTTGGACAGCTGCAGCACACTGCTGACACATACTTAAGCAGTCACCAGAATATCTAGATCCCTTACTAGCACTATTGTGAAGCCATGTACTGCCTATTATGTGTGCATTTGATTCTTCCTGCCTAAGTGTAGGACCTTACTTTTCTCACCACTGAACTACACCTTGTTGGATAGGGCCCCATGCTCAAGTCTGTCCTTCTGAATCTTGAATCTATCTTCTAAAGTGTTAGCAATTCCCCACAGCTTAGTATTATCTGCAAATTTGATAAGCACTCTTCAGTCCTCATCTTGATCATTTATTAAGGTGTTGAAAAGCAACAAGACAGAACCATGAAGTACCACACAGTATGCTTCCCTCCATGTAGATGTAGTTCCTTTGAGGATCACTCCTGATTATCTGTTCCAGGATTTCCCTAGATCCTGAAGTCAAGCTGATTGGTCTGTAGCTTCCTGGATCCACTTTTTTCCCTCCTTTTTGCGGATTGGAACCACATTGGCTGTTTCTAGGTGCTCTGCCTGTTCCCATGTTCCAGATTTCATTCAGAGGTTCTGAGATCACATCACAGTGGCTAATATCTGTAGTACAGGTGTAGGGTGAGGGGGAAGGTTCGTTCTCTGAGCTTGTCAGTTTCTAAACATTTTGTTACAGGTTTTTTCCCCTAAATTCTGCTGAAGATGTTACCTAGCCTGGTAATGAAAGGTTCGAAAACCAACCCACAAGCTCGGAGAATGAACCTTCACCCTCATTGGTGCATGTCTTAGTTCATCCTGAGCCTTAGCTTTACTGATACTATCCTTGCAAATTTTGAGCTATTTGCTGGTATTCTGTTCTAGTTATATGCCCCTTTTTCCATTTTTTATTCTTGTCCTATTTGATCCTCAACTTGACAGAGAGCTTTTTGTGAAACCATGATGGTTTCATTGGGAGTCTCTTGTTTTTCTTTCTCTGTGATATTGGTTTTGTTTGGCCTTTATTATCTTGTTTCTCAGTTTCCCAAGCATACTGAACTGTTTTTCCCTCTAAGATTTCTTTCTATTCATGGAATTCTTCATATTCTATTAGCTTTGTTGAAGTCAATTCTCTCAAAATCTAAAACTCTAATCTGACTTTTTTCAGTTATCCTTGCCTACATTATGATGAATTCCAGTATGACATAGTCACTCAACTTTCATTCTCTCAATCATTTCATCCCTATTAGTAAGAATTAAGTCCACTATAGTTGACTTTCTAGTTCCCTAATCTATTTTTGGATGACAAAGTTGTCAACTAGGCAGGTCTGGAACTTGTTTGAGCTCCCACTCACCACAGAGCTTGCTTCCAATTGATGTTGGAGTAGTTAAAGTCCCTCAGTTCCACAGTGGTGTGTTTCCTGTTCATCTCATCTAACTGGTTAGCATTTAATTGAGGAATCTCTTAATTCTGCTACAATTCCAATCTCACATACATGTTTAGAAGAAAATCCATAGAAATCATCAATTCACTGAAATGTTTTCTAACTGTAATTACAGAAGTGAAGAACTTTATTGGATTGACCAATAAATTCCCAACAATGGTATGAGTTACATTGCTAAAACATTTCCTGACTTTCTAAATTTCCAGAACCAGGAAGCCATCATTCAGCATCAGAAGTTCTGCCATTATCAGTACTTAGCTAGCAATATGGTGGAAAGGGCATTTCTCCTTCCTCTACTGGCTGCCTTTTTAAAGGGGAAAGCTTAAATCACACTTAAAGAGGAGTCATCTATATTTTCCCATTGTTCATCGAACAATGCCTGACTTTAGATTTTTTGCATCCAATGTCTCTCTTTTGCTTAAGGCCATACTACATATCTTTTTCTCCTTTTCTGTTCTCCTGATATTGGAGCTTCAATATTTGCAAAACAAGGAACCTGGACATTTTTACATAGGCAAGGGAGAGAAACAATGTTCGGTTTTTCCTTTTGAGACTAGAGTTCCCTCTCTAAACTTGAAGGAAAAATACTATTAATCTTGTGTCCCCATCCCCATACTGCAAGGAGAATAAGATTTAATTAAATTAGAGATGTAATATATAATTGAGAAAAACCGTTTGGGGAAACTAATTTTTCCCAAGGATTAATATTAGGAATGAAGAATTTGTTTTTAAATGGATTTATCTTCTATTTATTATCTTTTTAAGATATTAAAACAGATTGTAAATTTCTTTTTCTTCCTCTTCCCATTTGCTCCTGTCACAGTGCTGTCCCTGTGTGAAGAATGCAGATAATATAATAGTAAAGACAGAGTAATTAGCTTTATTTGGACAGTGTCATTTAGCTCTATTTTTTGTAGTCTCCCTTTTTCTTCAATATTATTTCCCCAAAAGAGACTGAAGACTTTTGATTTCATTCTAGAGTAACATTCAATTGTGGTTATATCATATATTCCCCATTTCCCTTTTTTTTTCTTTAGCCTAGCCACATGGAGCATGAAAGTAGAAGTGTGCAACTTAGATTTGGCTTATTTCAGTAAACCTTTACTATTGTAAAGGTTACTGACCACTGTCTGTGTTCAGACATGACATTAACCTGCAGTTATCTGAAAATGAAAAGCAGTTTTCCTATTAGACAGAATCTACAACCACTCGCTTTAATACTCCAACGTTTTGTTTCTGAAATGTATTGGTTTTGGAAGAGTTCTCTAGTTGTTTCTCTTTCCCCCTTGGTTATTTTGAAAGTGTGGCAAAATGTACTTTCAAATAATAATATAGTCTGCTGAGTCCAAGTTATGCCCTGAATTTGGGTGGGAAAATGCTAAATTCTAAAATATTCTTTTTAAAAGTTATAGTTAACATAGATTTCAACCAACACATCCTTAACTGAATACTCATTTCAGATGTAAAGTAATCCAGAAAGTGTTGAGAATATTTCATTTTCTTATTAGTATTCTTGCAGAGGTTAGTGGCATTAATTTAACCCTAGATCAGGGGTGTCAAACTTAATGGCCCACAGGGTGCTTAAATCTGGCCCATGGTGCCTCTGCTGGCCAAAAACAGGCCAGGTCCCAGGTGGCCTCCATGCAGCCTGTTTTCGGCCTCTGCAGCCTCCAGCAGCACTCTGTCAGTCGGTGGTGCAGGAGGCCAAAAATGCATGCGGGGGGACATACACGCCTCCTCTCCGTGTGCCGTTTTGGCTGGCAAAGTGCTGCAGGAGGCCATCCAGGCTGAAAATGGGGCATGGGGGGGATGCACACAGCTGCCACGTACCCCATTTTGGCCAGCAGGGTGCTGCAGGAGCATCCGTCCCGTCTTCCCTCCTGCCGGCCCGCAGAGAACTACAATGCTGATCTGGCCCTTGAAGAAATCCAGCTTGACACCCCTGTCCTAGATAATGTCAGGTGATGTGCTGGAGCCTATCTCTAATTTGTGGCCTAGCTTCCTGGCTCATAACTGGATACTGGAGCAAAAAAGAGTTGAGACCTTTGTTGTTAGTTGCGACGTTGTGTCCGACCCATCACAACCCCATGGACAATGTTTCTCCAAGCCTTCCTGTCCTCTACCATCTTCTGGAGTCCATTTAAACTCAATTGAGACCTTGTTGTACTTTAAATGGTTGTGAAATGCATGACTGGTTTTTAAATAAATGTTTAAAACATTTATTAAATATTATTTATATTTAACATGGAGCTGAATACAGGTACTATATTTAGGCTGCAAAAACCACATTACTACTAAACCACTTGGCTGCTGTTTACTAATTGTCTAGGTTTTTGCAACCCAAATGTGAAAACCTGTTCCTAAAATTGAGCTTGATGTTTGACGACTATATGCAGTTCTTATGGAGATACTGTGAGAATGGTTTACCACTACTTTCTTTCAGAATATTTATTGTCTTCTCAATCCAGATTACATCTCTAGTATTTCCATTCAAATGGTAACCACCTTCAACCCTGCCCAGTTTCTGAACCAAGATTAATTTGGCCAACAGTTGTCATCTATAGGAAGTTCTTTTTTGTCAATAGAAGGAAATTAATTTACAATGTTATTCACTCTTGTTAATTCCCTTAACTGCCTTTCACGAAGCGCATGTGGACAATACCAACAAGATAGTTACTACACCAGCATTTATGTGTGAAACTGAATTTCATCACATTTTTGACGGTATCGGAGCCATGATAAAAAATGTTTTAAGGCTGACAGGCAAATGAAATGGATTGTTGAATAACAAAAAGCAATAGATTTTAGGAATATTGCAGCTGTGATGACAAAAGTTGGCACAGAATGTACTTTTAGATGTATTTTAGAGGATTGACTTAAATTTTTGAATTGGAGCATCCTTCACTTATTGAATCAGGATCCTTTTATGTCAAACTCTTTTCCATATAGTCCATCATCACTGGCAATATCACCTATTGTTAAACAAATTGGAAATAATGACTCAAGTATTTAAAGTATTTACCAGCTGATACCAGAATGTTTCCAATATTATATCATGACTTTGCAAATATGATTTAGCATGTTAAAGTTGTACAATTGGATTTGAATCACTAATATGACAAACTCTTGAGAACCTAATTTGGGAACTGAGAACAGCAGAATAGAATTCCACTCATTTTTCTAATTTAAATTTAATTATTAGTACTGTGAATATCTGATTGCTTAATATTGCATAAGCACTGACATGTTACAAAATTCCCGAAGAATTAGACACTTAGGTAGTCACTTAAAGAAATTAGGGTTTGGCTCCAAACACAATCCTGACCATAGGGAATGTTTTAGAAATAAATTGTAATCCCTCTTGCAGAATCCATTAAGTATTCTGATTTACCAAGAGAATTGGGGAGGCAAGCTACTGTGCAACAGTTCAGATCAATGAAGAAAAATTAACTTTCTCAATTAGATATACCAGATGTTAAATAAAATGAAGTTAAAATCATGTTTCCATTTTTATTAATATGTAGAATATTTCTTTGGTCTATTGTTGTCTGCCTCATATAAGAGAATTTGTGTAATGGTTTTAGATGAACTGGTGTGTGTGTGTGTGTGCACATTTTGAAATCGGTTTTGACTCCTCGTGACTGGGTAAATCCAGGCAAGTTTTTTGGCAACATTTTGAATAGTAGTTTGCCATTGCCTTTTTCCTAGGGCTGAAAGAGGGACTGGCCCAAAGTCACCCACCTGTCTTTGTATCTAGGCAGGATTAGAACTCAGTCTTCCAGTTTTCTAGCCTGTTGCCTTTAAAATCAAGTCTCGTACAAAATTGGCTCTAGCAAGCCATTAAGAACCGTGGTGGCACAGTGGTTAGAATGCAGAATACAATCCTAAATTGCATTAACAGAGGGATTCAATCAAGATTACATGAGATACTACCACCCCTCTACAAGACTACACCTAGATTACTGAATTCAGTTTTGTTCACCACACTACAAAAAAGGTGACTGTAAAGAATACAGAGAAGAGCAACCAAGATGATTAGGGGACTGGAGGCTAAAACATATGATGAACAGTTGCAGGAACTGAGCATAGCTAGTCTAGTGAAGGACCAAGGGAGACATAATAGCAGTGTTCCAATACTTGAGGGCCTGTCACAGAGAGGAAGGGGTCAAGCGGTTTTCCAAAGCACCTGAAGGCTGGACAAGGAATAATGGATGGAAACTGATCAAGGAGATATTTGACCTAGAAATAAGAAATTTTCTGACAGAACCACCAATGGAACAGCTTGCCTTCAGAAGTTATGGGAGCTTCAGTGGGGACTTGGACTAGATGACCTATTGTGGTTCACCTGCAGACAGCAGCGGAATCAGATGAGGGTCCTGTGTCTGATGCAGAGTGGGGTCATGACCATCTGGGAATTGTGTGCGCACTCCAGAGCCTCCAGAGTCTGGCAGCAGAGAGGCAGAGGAACAAGGGGAGCCTGTTCCCAGTGCACGTGTGCACAGAGCTGCTAGAAGGTAAGAGCAGCTCAGACAAAAGGGGCAACTCTGTGGAGTAAGGCTTGGAGGTGATTGCCCTTCCCCTAAGGTACAAAGAAAGTACAAAGGTAGAGAAACCCTTGCAGAAAGCAAACAGTCTTCGCTCTGTTCGGACTAAACCTTGAAGCTCTGTGTGAACTTTGTACTTCAGTTATTTTTGTTTAAACAGTTTCGCAGTTTAGTTCTTGGCAGCAATTCAAATGAGATAAAGATGGGTGCTTATCTTGAGGGACTGTTTGGGACTCATTATGGGCTGGGAATGAAAATAATTCCCAGCGTTGAAATGAGAGTTGTTTGGACTAAGCATGTGCTTAATTACGGTCTCAGGAAGCCCAGAATACCTATGAAGTCCCTTTCAACTCTGTTATTTCATAGTGGGCAACACCTCTATCCAATTGATTACTATGCCCTGTGGAGGAATGCCTGCCTCTTCAGTCCCTGGTCATTGGTTCTCCATTGCCAATTTTTAAACAAGTTTCAGTTGAATGTGAAAGGTTTGGTGGAAGATTAGTTATAGTAACACTTGCATTCCCTACTTCCAAAGCTGCATGGATTTTGCACAACTTTTTGTTAAACACTTTCATTTATTTTCACACAATATTATACAACCCTTCTCAAGAGATTTATTTTATGTTGTGGTTTACATTTTGCAACAATAATGATTTCTCTTTTTTCTCTGAATTCCCCTTTCTTCCCCCTTAGTTTCTTTCTCATGATCACATTGTGATTATTTCATTGTGGGTAGGAAAGCATACCACTTCTGTAGTGGTATGAGATTCTCTGATAGTCATGAGTCTTGCAAATTATTCTTGGGAAAGATGTTTGCACCAATTCCAAGTCAAAGGGGACTCCAAGTCAAAGAGACCAATAATATTTTTGCCTAATTAAAACGAGTTTCAAATAATACAGACAAAACCTTGTCCCGATTAAAAAAACATTTACATTTTTAAAAAATTGATAATTTCATTTGCAAACAAATTGATTACATTTGGAAATTTTAATATTTTAAGTTACTGTTCATTATTCTAAGTAACATGGATTTGGGCCAACATTTGGGTATTTTTTCTCACAATTGCTATCTTATAAAAATTATAGCAACCACAGGTATAAGAATCATAAGATTATAGCAACCATACAGTCTCAAAATCTTATTTTGAAATCCTTACAGCCTTGACATTAGATCTAATTTTCTTCCTCCTAGTGTAATTCCTAGTATAAAATGTTAAGTAACATTTTGGTAAAATCCTTGAAGTCAAGCCGAGCTCTTCAGGGGCCTGTTCATGCAATTTTGGAAACTGGAAGTGGTTTGCCACTGTTTTTTTTCAAGTCTTTTCTTGATTTACCTAGCCTACAGTTCTGTAATTCCCAGATGATCTCCCACCCAAGTGGTAACCAGGGTTCATAGGTTTTGAATTCAGAAAAAGTCAGCTGTGTGCCACATACTGACACGTTAATGATATATTGTCCTAAAGCCAGAGTCAGAATGTTTTCAGTTTTCATTCTAGTGAAGATGTTCTTTTTAATTCCCCAAATCTGCGAATTAAGAATGCTGAATAATTTGTAGTCATTCTTCATGACAGTGCTCAGCTGTATAGCACAGCTGTTTCAGGAGAGTCTTAAATTTGAGAAAGAAGCAAGGCATCATCTGCATACAAAATAACAGAAATGTATCTATTTCCCATGTCTATGGAGATTCTTGGTCATCCCGGTCATGGTTGTCCCAACCATGGTTGTTTTTCCAAGAAGCTTTTTCAGCACTGAGAAGCCAAATGTCTTTAAGGAAAAATGAAGTTCAGTTGCCTTTTAAAAAAGCACCTATCTAACTGGGATATCTATTTCCCAGTTTTGGCAAAGTAATATTTTATCAATTGAGGAAGAGTTCAATTTCTCCCATAGTTTGGATCTGAAGATGAGACCAAAATCACATCTAAGATCAATAAATGCTGCACGATGAACATGCTCTTGGAGTAGTATTTCTTAATTAGATGTTGGAAGGTTAAAGCGTGGTCAATTATTGAATGGCCTTCTCTGCCTACTCATCAGCCAAAAGATTGTGTTATAACTCAGTCCAAGAGTTGTTAACCACATTGAGAAGACTAATTGAATGGTATCTGGCAGCTAAATATCTGCCTCCTTTGTTGATCAGAATCACCAAATTAGGTCTCAATCATCAAAGATTCTAACAATATTAGTGTAAGTGAATAAGAATTTCAGGAGTTCTGGTTGACATCAAATGGTTGCAAAATAGTGGAGCTCTGCTGGGCTCCATGAAATGCAGCCGGCAACTGCTTGCTGGGAGACCCTATGGCAGAGGTTGCCAACCTTTTGGACCTCAGGGAGCACCAAACTCATAATTTTAAATTCCGCAGACCAGAGGCTTTGGGAAAATCCAATAAAAAGTCTGCAGGAAAAATTCCCACCCCATTTTCCTACCAATCAATCATTCTTTATTTGAGATCGCAGGATACCGTCTCCAGCTCTGTTCTCAGGGAGGGAGGGAGGGAGGAAGAGACTGTTGCCTTCATGCAATGAAAGCAGCAGAAGTCTTTCTCTCCCCCCAAACTCCGCCAGAAATGAGGCTTTGTGAGATTTGTCGCCCTGGCGCAGCCTCTTGGAGCAGGATGTCTTGCAGGGTCCCAAATACTCATTTCTGGTGGAGTTTTGGGGACAGAAAGACTTTTACTGCTTTCCTTACGTGCAGCCAAAAGCAGAAGAAGCAAGCAGCCTGGTGGCCAGGCCAGGTGCATGGAGCAGGTGGGGCAAGTTTCCCCCCCCCCGCCCTTCTCCCCTCCCCTCACTACTTCATGTTGTTCGCAGTGCAAGCAACGCAAGCCTTGTGTTCCTGCGGGCCATGTGGGCACGCAGCCTTGTGTTCCCACGCAGCTTGGATTAATTACTTTGGGGGTGACATTTTTCTGTGGACCACCCAAATTTTCTTGAAGACCACCAGTGGTCACTGGCCCACTGGTTGGCGACCACTGCCCTATGGGGTTAAGCCTCCCTGGAGGGGAGGTGAAGAAAGGAGAGGCTTTTAGTTGATCGTGAGGAAACCGTAATTTCCTTGCAGATCTGAAGAAAACTTTCCTGATCGGCAGCAGGGATGACAGCCACTTTCTTAGTCTGTCACAAGCTGGGACAATCGGGACACTAAGATTTTGTGCTGGAGCAGTATGTGGACAGAGCAGTGAAACTGGGTGAGATAATTTCCGACTGTTACCTTAGAAGGCTAATTTAAGTAAAAAGTTCCAGAAAATAATCTCCAATCCTTAAGAAAGTGGTGACTGGATTTATGGAGAAAGTTTAAAGATTAAAGACATAGAAGTAAAAGAAAAACCTAAAGGATGATTTAAACAAAGAAAGCCTGAAAAAGTTGAATAACATTGTAAAAAATGACTATTGGGAGAAATAGCTTTTCTGAAACTTAATCTCTAACACCCCGCCCCGCTGGATGCAAATCAGCTGTTTTCAATTTTCTATATTCTGTTAAACATTGGATTTGGGAGCAGGGGAGCCATTTATTGGAGGAGGAAGATTACTGGAACATGTAAAATCCAAAGGAATGTGAAGAGAGAGAAAGTGAACCACCTCTGGAAAGCTACTTGACCTTGAATTTATCTTAGTAGACAATTTGGATGCTGGGAAATATCTACTGAGCTTTTTGAAGATTTATAAGGCAAATCAAATTAAACATTAAAACTTTATTGGAACTCTACACTGAAAAGCGGAAAAAAGGAAAAAAATAATACCTTAAAATCTGGACAATTGGGAAGGGGTAAATTGGAAATTATAAAGACTGAAAAGTACAAATTTATAGTATTTAAAGATCAGAAATATAGGGGACTTGGAGAAATAATTTTAGAATTGACTAATTTTTATGAAAATTTTTGGGGGGATATTGGGATAGTGGAATATTAGAGTGCTCCTAGCCCCCTCGTGCTTGTAGCATGTGCCGGTACAGCCCCCTCGCACTTGTGGCATACACCAGCATTTGAGAGCCTGCCTCACGCTCACAGCATACACCGGCACTCTCATCCCAGAGAGGCTGTCAACCCAGAAAAGTTGAGGAACACTGATACAGAACAGCTTTATGTAGTGGAAGTGCCTCGTTGAGAGAGCATTTGGGTTACTTTGTCCTTCATCTGACTTGCCCATTGTGTTTGTATTTGTTCTGGGAAATCTTCCGATGGAATAAGGTGTATCCAAAATGGGGACCCCAAAAACAGTATGTTGGGACAGTGATCACTCTTTGGATGATCCAACATGGAACTGGAGAATTGAGAAGCATATAGTTCTTGATATGGCAATGTAGTCAATCAGATATGGCCAACTTAATGAGAGAACTCTGCCAGATAATCGGTAACAGTGCTTTTCATAATTTACATTAGAACTTGTAAAATGTTTGTAGCACATGTAAACTCCTGAAATCTCCAATATGGTCTTTAGATTCTCTAATTAGGAGGGGCATCCAATGAGCATAAGAAAGTAATCAAAGTTTGGACCTTATGCTGCGAAGGCTGAAATTGCCCACTGTTGAGTCAGAACAGTAAATGCTTACAAATACAGGGATTCAAAACCCTTACATGTCAAAAATCGCATTCGGGAGGTTGTCTGTATCTCCAACCCATTTCAGATGCAGCTGAAAGTTGTCTTCAGCTGATTTTCAGCCAAATTTCATTAGAACTTTGTTATTTGCAGGGAACGTTCAGTTTTTAGTTTCATAGTTTCATAAAGCACACTATGTCCAATATGTGAGGGAATTCATCAACGTTGTACTGCAGTGTCATCTGATTTCTTTCCAGGGAGTCTATGGCCGTTGGAAACTTACCACTTCCACAGGAGCTTCAAAAGTAAAACAAAACACATACATGTACACAGTATATAGGAAAAAAGATAACTGCTTAATTCTGATATTCACTTAGTGGAGCATGTAACCTTTCTAGTCCAAAAAATGACACAATAGCATCAACATACTTAAACTGTCTTTTATCCATTCCATGATCTTAGTATAAAGTCTTCTGTAGAAAGAGGTTAAAGCAATTCCTCCCCCCCCCCACCCCCCCACAACTGCTGCAAAGGGAAGATTGTAATGTTTGTTTTGTTTATTCAATTTCTATAACCAGTCAAGTGACTCTCTGTGTGGCTTACAATTCTAAACTGTTCCTAAAGATCAACACAGAATATTGGATGCTCTGATTATGGAGTAAAATGCCTTCCCAATCATTGGTCTTTTCATAAAGACAACTTTTCCAAAAACCACCAGCAGTTGCAACAACTGGAGACTAACAGAATTGGGGATATAGTGAGCCATACTGAAGCTCCTGAAAAGCTTCATGCTGCCCATTTGTGCTTTTTATGGATCAAAATATACTTCCACTTTTAAAGACTCTAGCTTGCTTTTCTATAGCTATCATGCTGGCAATAGTTGTCAGGACCCACCCTAAAGATGGGGCTCAGAGTTTAACTAGCTTTTGTCTGGTGCTTCTTTTGCCCATGATGATATGATGTGGGTAGTATTAAATACAATGAGAATATTAGAAGAGGATATTGAAATGAACTGTGGTTAATAAATGCAAGGAAACAGATATAACCAGAATTCAGGATCAGAATAGAGCTGGAAGGGACCTTGGAGGTCTTCTAGTCCTGCTCAAGCAGGAGATCCTATACCATTTCAGACAATGACTATCCAGTCTCATCTTAAAAACCTCCAATGATGAAATACCCACAGCATCTGAAGGCAAGCTGTTCCACTGGTTAATTGTCCTCACTGTTAGGAAGTTTCTCCTTAATTCCAGGTTGCCTTTCTCCATGATTAGTTTCCATCCAGCCATTCCATTAGTTTCTTGTCCAACCCACTGGTGCTTTGGAAAATAAATTGACCCCATCTTTGTGGCAGCCTCTCAAATATTGGAATATTGCTATCATGACCTCCCCAGTTCTTTTCTCTAGAAAGATCGGTAGTTTGATAATGGAAGCAGTAGAATTAAAGAAAGAAAGAAGGGAGGAAGAACTACAAATATGAAAAACACTTCAGAAGGAGAAGAAAACAATTTGGCAGTTATTCCAATGTCAGTTATGCTTAGTCATATTATGGAGCTCATTAAGAAAACAGGCAGGTTGTGGAAAAGTAGCAACACATGCATGTACCTTTGGAGCCATAGCAGCTCCAAAGCAGCGCTGCCATTTCAGAATGGGCAGGAAAAAAAGTTGAAGCACAGGGTCAAGGAGAGAAAGTGATCAATTTGAGCCAGCCTGGGGGTGCAGATGAAAGTTGCACTTTGGAATATGGAAATGATCTAAGTGAAGTTGTGAGTCCATCCGCTGAGAATGGGGGCAATGAAGCCATCAGTTCCTGTAGTAGAGGAAGTGGTTGGAATATGCTGAGTGGTGATGTTACTCAAAAGTAAAAGAAAATGTGGAAGAGCTGGTGGGTGGATATAACCCGCAAGGGAGAAGCAAGGAATGGTAGGTGGACCTCCCACGAGCAAACAGAAGAGAAGCAGGGGAAGTAACCACAGTTCCAGGGTAAATCCAGGGCAAAAAGATTCAGGGAACACTGGGAAAATGAATACTGTAGGTGGGAATGATTTGTTTCTTGTTGTCTTCATTGCTATAGAGGGAAATAGAACAGCCAGCAAATTGATGTAGATTCCTACCAAACAAGCCCTCCTTACAGGTTGGATTGCTGGCAGCCACAGCCTCAGACTGTTGCTGGCTAAAGGGAAGCTAATATAAACAAAAAGTCCTCTATACATGACACAGACGCAGTGAGATATCAGGGCTGGGAAGATACAGATAGTTGTGCTATTGCTGATGTTTGCATATAAATGTTTTAATGGGTCAAAACTATACAGAGAAGATAGAGTTGCTGGTGGTATATATTAGTCCCCTCAGGACAACATAATAGTGGATTTCACTTTCCATGCTGGGTATGGAGTCCAGTGTGGTTTAGATTTTAGGGTCTCCCTGGCCTGTTCCGGATTATTTCAACCTCGCCTGTGTTGACAGTCATATGTTAAACCCAGTACTTTCCTCAAGGGAAATGGTATATGGTTTTAAAGTGGAAAAAGTTATTATGAATTCTTTGCTGTGGTCAGATCACTTCCTGGTCAGTAGGTATTCATTCTACAATTACTCTTGTATCCTTCCTACCAACCACGTAGGAAATACACTTTGACTATAGTTCAGTTAAATCTAGCATTTTACTATTTCTTTCCTGTTGCAACAATTTTTTAAAAGTTGTATCCAATCTGCACAGTAATTTAAGATGAAAGCAGACTGGGATGGAAGTAAACTATTGAGGAGTTAGATTCTGAAATTGCTCCTTATGTTGAATATTTAAGATCTGAAGTAAAGCAGACATTAGGTATAATCATTTTAGCTCTCTGATCAGTGGCATTCACAGACCTTGCTTTCAGTATTCTGAATAAAGAAGTATTGTGATGGCATGTTGCAAACTTTGCCCCTTCAACAAACTCTGTGTGATGTCAAAACACATGCTGAAAACGATCAGGGCCTATAACTCAATGCCATGTCATCTTGATCCCAACCCCCTTGCCTCCTCCCTTCCTATGGAGGTAATGTCTCTGACTTAATCTTTTCCTAAACTTCAGACTGCTATCTGCATGGACAGCTAAACAAGTAACTGTGTTCACTTTTGCAAACCCTCTCATACAAATTAACTGGCAAAACAAATGGAAAGCTGCATGATCGGCTAAACATGATTTTATAAAAAAGTATGTACTGCTGCTTACTTACCGGTATATCTTGTTTGAAGAGAATGTTTATATATTTTCCAACTTATGCATGCAATAAAAATTATGAGAATAGTAATAGGAATGCTGAAGGTTGCAGCTCTTTCATGATATTTGTTATAAATTATAGGGCTGTTTGTTGAATTATTTAAATCAACTGAATAAGAACAATAATAAGATAGGGAGAAAAGAAAAAAAAGCATTGAACATTATTGGTTTACAGTTATCACACACTAAATAGCTTTTAAAAGTAGCAACGTTAAATTAAGAATCATTCAAGAGTTTTCTATCCATATCTAAATTAGTATCCAGCAGAATTCTTGCTTTCCCAACATGGGATCAGATCAGAAATTATTTTGGAAAATTCCAAACAGCAAATTTTAAAATAATTCACCAAATAACAGGGCTAATAAATCCCGAGTACCCAACATGGCAAACAATATTTCCTTTGATGCTGGCTGGGCATATCATTATGATTAAAATAATGAACTTTAAAAACATCTTTAAAGGGGGCATTACCCCATTGCAAAGGAAAAAACCAGCCCTCTAAGTCTCACATAACCCCAGGGGCATTTTTTGAACATAAAAGTGATGGTAGCTGTAGTCTGGTATGTCTATCTGCTTATCATCTTTAGCATTCAGAGGGAAAGACAAGGAGTAACCTCACCAATTTACCTTCTAGTTACCTTTTTGTGTGTGACTGGCCATGCAGTTCAAGGCAGTTATTTTCTGAAAGTACTCATGACATGTTCTTAAACCCCAAATTTATTAGTTCAGTAAATTTGGGAATCCCACCCTACATTGTGTATAGCACCTCTTCAAAGCCAGTATATAAATACCTGAATCATATGATGCAAGTACACTGTTGTTAGGAAGATATCAATTATTAAGAGCCTCACCTGCCTACTTATTCTACAGTATTTTGTTTATAGCCGATGATGGCACTTAATAACTGACTATCCATTTCCCACATCATCTGTTATCTCTCCAATCCTAACCTTCTACTGAAATTGCTATGTCGGGACATTGGAAAATAGATAGGGTGTTGGGCAGAATATATCCAGAAAGTAACTTTGCCCAAGTAAAAGAGAAATTGAAGTGCTAGAAGTGCTGAAAAAAATTGGATGGCAGTAGGAAAAGTGATAATGATGAGAAAAGAAGGGATAAAAGAGTCTGGATGCCTCCAGATGGAGCATTCTACCACTCTACCATTCAGAAGAAATTGAGAAAACATAATATAGAGGATAGTATCCTTGGGAGACTTATGTTGGGGAGAGAAATGGAAGTGCAGAATTGCCTGTTTATAGCCATGACTTAGATAACGTAACTTAGATAATGCAAGAAGGGGAACTGTTATCCCAGCACAACTGTCAAAGCACTCTGGCATTCTGAATAGGAAACAAAAGCCATGAGGCTGCAGTTTGGCAACAGGCAAGTTTCATCTTTTGAATTAACTAAATCATCCAATTACAAAATATTAATTATCTTTTTATTCTTTTCAACCCAACTGAATGTTGAGAAGAATTTATGTCGGAGGACTTGGGATTCTTGTCTTTCAGCAGGATAATTTTACACAAACTGAACAGAATAGAATAAAATTTGGTGTCAGCAGGAAAAGCTGGTAAAAGAACAATTATGTTAAAGGAAGATCAGGTCAGACTATGGAGAATGTTCCAGAAAAATGCATCTCTAAGAGACAACTGGACAATAATTTGGAATGTAGCCTTTCCTCTACTCTGAGCTCTCTTCCAAGTCTGATAATTTGGATCAGAGCCTTTATTAAGTGGTTGGAAAGACTTTCAGAAGCCAGATTTGGCATGTTTTCCTATTTCATTTTATATATAATGAAGTATATTGCCACATCAATTCTTCCTTAAAGATATCAATGGACGGACAAGAAGTAAGAAATAAACCATAAGGAAAAACTTACTTGTGGTAGTAATATTTTGATGCAGTTGCTTATGTTCAATTGTACACCTTAACTTCATATCAGAAGCTACTTTCATCTTCAATGTACTGAATACACTGAAAGTCCCATCAAGCTCTTTGGTGAATTGCACAGTTATGTTCATAGTGCTGTTGTTTATTTCACTTCTCCAATAAAGCCTTTGTTCTGGATAGCCATGGCTTGAATTGCACATAAACATCACTTCTTCTCCGAGCTGAACAGGACCCGTTATCACTGGTTTGCTGTAATTTGCTGGAAAAAAGAGAGAAAGAAGAGCAGTAAAATTTTATAGCCATGTTTCCCTACAATTTTATCTGCCACTTTTTAAGAAGGTATAAGATTGGAGATAAATCTTTTTAGAACTAGATAATACACTGCTCAAAAAAATAAAGGGAACACTTAAACAATACAGTGTAACTCCAAGTCAATCACACTTCTGTGAAATCAAACTATCCACTTAAGTAGCAACACTGACTGACAATCAATTTCACATGCTGTTGTGCAAATGGAATAGACAACAGGTGGAAAGCATAGGCAGTTAGCAAGACATCCCCAATGTGTAGTTCTGCAGGTGGTGACCAGAGACCACTTCTCAGTTCCTATGCTTTCTGGCTGATGGTTTGGTCACTTTTGAATGCTGGTGGTGCTTTCACTCTAGTGGTAGCATGAGATGGAGTCTACAACCCACACAAGTGGCTCAGGTAGTGCAGCTCATCCAGGATGGCACATCAATGCGAGCTGTGGCAAGAAGGTTTGCTGTGTCTGTCAGCATAGTGTCCAGAGCATGGAGGCGCTACCAGGAGACAGGCCAGTACATCAGGAGATGTGGAGGAGGCCGTAGGAGGGCAACAACACAGCATCAGGACCGCTACCTCCACCTTTGTGCAAGGAGGAACAGGAGGAGCACTGCCAGAGTCCTGCAAAATGACCTCCAGCAGGCCACAAATGTGCATGTGGTTGCTCAAATGGTCAGAAACAGACTCCATGAGGGTGGTATGAGAGCCCGACATCCACAGGTGGGCTTGTGCTTACAACCCAACACCGTGCAGCATGTTTGGCATTTGCCAGAGAACACCAAGATTGGCAAATTCGCCACTGGCGCCCTGTGCTCTTCACAGATGAAAGCAGGTTCACACTGAGCACATGTGACAGACGTGACAGGGTCTGGAGACGCCGTGGAAAATGTTCTGCTGCCTGCAACATCCTCCAGTATGACCAGTTTGGCAGTGGGTCAGTAATGGTGTGGGGTGGCATTTCTTTAGGGGGCCGCACAGCCCTCCATGTGCTCGCCAGAGGTAGCCTGACTGCCGTTAGGTACCGAGATGAGATCCTCAGACCCCTTGTGAGACCATATGCTGGTGCAGTTGGCCCTGGGTTCCTCCTAATGCACGACAATGCTAGACCTCACGTGGCTGGAGTGTGTCAGCAGTTCCTGCAAGACGAAGGCATTGATGCTATGGACTGGCCCGCCAGTTCCCCAGACCTGAATCCAATTGAGCACATCTGGGACATCATGTCTCGTTCCATCCACCAATGCCACATTGCACCACAGACTGTCCAGGAGTTGGGGGATGCTTTAGTCCAGGTGTGGGAGGAGATTGCCTCAGGAGACCATCCGCCACCTCATCAGGAGCATGCCCAGGTGTTGTAGGGAGGTCATACAGGCACGTGGAGGCCACACACACTACTGAGCCTCATTTTGACTTGTTTTAAGGACATTACATCAAAGTTGGGATCATCCTGTAGTGTTTTTTTCCACTTTAATTTTGAGTGTAACTCCAAATCTAGACGTCCATGGGTTGCTAAATTTGATTTCCATTGATAATTTTTGTGTGATTTTGTTGTCAGCACATTCAACTATGTAATGAACGAAGTATTTAATAAGAATATTTCATTCATTCAGATCTAGGATATCTTATTTTTGTGTTCCCTTTATTTTTTTGAGCAGCGTATAACAATTTATATACTCCTTTATCAGCAGCCAGAATCTTGGTAGGAATGAAATGTTCTCTGGAACGTTACAGGAAAGTCTGTCAGATTAACCCCTTTAATTCTTTGTGGTCAAATCAAACAGCACAGAGTTGGGTTTGATATATCACATTCGTTTCCAAGGCATAATCCATAATGGCACATCTAGCATAAGCATATAACATACAGTACAAAATTAAAAGATGTATCCCCGTACTTTCAGTGCCTACCTTCTCCTCCTCTATGAGTTTGGAGGAAAAGGAATTAAGTATGTGATGCCCAAGAGTTTAAATTGTAGTAAAAGGCAGTAGGCATTATACAGCTAATTTAACCGGACATTTGAGATTGCCTGCATCATTGTTGTCCACATTATCCTCATACCATCCAATTGCAGACATTAAATTATTCAGCAAAGGATACACTGACAAAAAAAACTTTTGCTAAGGGTGAATAATCTGCTATACGCAGCCACAGGTGCAGGATACCTTCCAAACACAGGCATCTCTCCATAAGCACAACTGTTTCCAATTCATGCAGTTACCAGGAGGGAGGAAATGATGTGGTGAGGAAGTGAATTGTCTTCATGTCTACCTACTGCCATCCAGTCTAAATTAGCATTTAAGACTTTTGGACGTTTTTCCTTAATTGATAAATACTAATGCTTTGCAAAATAGTTCTGGAAACTGAAAAGAAGACAGGCGCTTAACCCGCACACCATGGGACTCTTTTTCATAGTAAAGTTTTTTTTTAATGTTATAGTACCATTAAAATAAATTTGTGCTTATTCCTACTATACAGTAGCCTTTGCTATTATGTATTTACATGTTCATCAGTTGTTTCAGTATGTACTTTATCTTCCTGCTTTAATACAGGAATTAACTTAATTGTCTTTGTGTTATTAATTTATTCATAAAAATTAGTTTAAATTTAATTTATTACTTTATTTAGGAAGTATTGTACTTTTATTTTCTGCTTGCACAGTCTTTTCAACACCAGAGTCAATGAAGGAAATACATAAAAATAATTCTTCAATGAGCTTTTAGGAAAACTAGCACCCTATTCACTCTTCTTGATACTAAAATCTGATTCCTCCTTTTCAACTCTACATATATCATTTCACCAATCAGTCTGTTTTGTAGATCTCCCTTTTGGATTTTTCTGGGTTTTCCATCTCACATTCCTTCTTCTTTTAAAAATTGTCTCTCCAGCTTTGTACCTGCTTTCTTCCAGCAGCTTCAGTCTATGCTGCTTGATTTATCTGGCACCAAGATAAAAACAACCAATAATATTTTCTGCTTAACAGATCTGCCCCTTTTAAATCTTCCCTAATTTATAGATCTAAACCTCAAAATGTGCATGAGAAATTTCATACCATCTATCCAATTCTTTTTATGGACTGGCAAGCTGAGGAAAAATGATCTCTGAGGCTAATTTCAACCCTATCATAATAAAGTATCTGGCCATCAAAACAATAATTCATAAGTACCGTATTTGCTCAGAACAAATCCTTACCTGCCACTTTGAGTGATATGGATTCATTATGAATGAGTTTAAACTGTCCATTTATATTTTTCTGTATTATGCACTGATAGATAAATTCATCTGCTATCCTGATGTTTGATAACTGCAAAGAAGCACTGCCTTGTTTTGGCTCATTTAATAGAGTTCGTTGTTTGAATTCTTGACACTGGTACTTTTCCATATTTTCATTAGGAAAATAGCCAGCTACAAAGCATGAAAACCTGTCTTTTATTTGCCATAATATTCGATTCCTACTGTAGTTTAAGGATTCTGCTTCCGGATAAGAGCACTGCAATTCAATACTGCTTCCTATTATGCCAATCACTTCTGTTTCAGCTATAAAGAGAAAAAAGACACAAAAAATGCATTGCATCATATAATCTACTTTCCATTTTCACAAAGTTAAAACTGAAGTCACTGTTCCAGATTCAGCTTTGTGTTCCATTCTCTTCACTCCTGAAATTCTTATTTATTCTTCAGAAGTACATGGGGCTTCAACTATATTCAACAGATGAGCTGCATTGGCTGCTGGTGTTCTTCATGCTTGGGACTGGGTTACCTAGGGCAGAGGACCCAACCCCTAGGCCATGGCCCACCACCAGGCAGTGGCCTATTTGGACGGGGCCGTGCAAGAGACAGGCCAGCATGCGTGCATGCATGCAGATCAAATTGCGTGAGTGGCAGGCTGGTGTGCACACACATGGCGTGCATGCATTTGTGCGCCAGCCCAGCGCTTACATGAGTTCAGCTGCATGCGTGTGCTAACACACCGCTTGGCCCAGTTCTTTCTCCCCCACAGCCAGGTCACAAAGGTTGGGGAACGCTGACCTAAGGAACCTTCTCTCATCCAATTCAGTCTGGCAGGTTGGTCATGTTATGGGTCCAATGAGCCAATAGCTGGTGGGGATAAAAGAAGTGCCTTCTCCTGCTCCTGCGCTTCAGAGATTAGACTGATGCCAGCCCTGTTGGCCTTTCATAAGGCTGTGATGATCCAGCATGCCTGGGGTCCTGTGTGGGGCCTCAAGTGTGTTAAGTGCAACAGTTTTACTTGATGATCATACATATTTATTCTGTATTGTTTTATGTTTTTATGAGGTCCATCACCCAGAGACATTTGTTGAGATGGACTGCTATAGAAATTAACTAAATAATAAAATAAAATAAAGGTCACTGGACTCTGCTGTATTTAAATTTGTACTGAAACTTTATTTGTACTGCATATTTATGTACAATCTGTTATACAACTGACTGTAAGGAATGGATGTGACAATGCATTTCTGTGCATTATCTTTAGTCAGTATTTACAGTTCATACTGAAAAACCTACTATTTAATTGATTTGCTTATATGGCCATCTGTCTTGCAGCAGTGAATTTGGGCAGCTAATAGTTTAAAATATCAACAGAAAACATATACAACTGAGGAAAACATAACGGCAAATTTAAAGGAAGAATGGACTTGATTGAATTCTTAATAAGAACCTTCCCTGTTGGTCTCTGTTGCTCTTTATCATAACTGTTCTATCAACAATCTTTCAACTGATGTAATTTCAATTGACTCTAATGGAAATACAATTCCATCCAATACCTGGTCTTTGTTCTGTCATTACCACAGCAACTAAGCTTAATATGTATATTAAAACTATTTAAGGAAAAAATTCTTGAGAATATCAGTATTTTATTGAAAAATATTTAACAGTAAAGGAAAAGTTAATTTAATAGTTCAACTATATTTAGAATAATACAGGCAACCAAATTAAAAGTTCCTTGCCTTTGTATAATTTGCCCTGAAGTCAAAATAGCTGTGATCTTTTCTATTAACACATACAGTACTTAAAAACTTGCTTTATAGTTGAATAAATCTAACATAATAACTTACCAGATCTCCAAACCCAAAGAAACAAGACCAAGAGTCCAAAGCTAAAATAAAATAAAATATAAAACTGTACATTTCAAATTAAAAATTAGAATGTGTAATTTTAAAAATTCCACAAACTATTGGGGAAAATGTATAATAAGATTTAGCGTAAGCCATGTAATAAATTACTAGTAGGACTAGGATGTGAACCAATTGAATTCATTATTTTCACTATTTTATCTTTTATGTATTTATTAATCATAATTTTATGCTGCAATAATAAAATATAATCTTGGCAGCTTATATTACAATATACATACATATCTAAACAGCCCATCCCAAAATAAAAACAGAACACTATAAGAAGAACAGTAATATCAAATCAGGGAAAGGCTGATAAAGTATTTTTGCTTCGTGCATTACAACAAATTGCTTTTGTAAGTCTGAGAAAAGGAAAACACAAGTTAATATACACATTATTGGGTATGATATCCAGGAGTGGGATTCTACCGGTTCTGTCCACCTCTGTAGAACTGGTAGTTCTGAAGAACAGCAGACAGAGAGCATACATAGAACCGGTTCTATGTCTGCTGCTGTTTTGGCCCACTCGCCCGCCCTCTTACCTGACCTTTTTTTCCTGCTTTTTCAACCGCAGCTGCTTTGTGCAACACAGCTGTGGTTGAAAAAGCAGGAAAAAAAGGGCTTTTCCAACCGCTGTGCACTTGCACACAGCGCTGCTTAGCTGTCCAGGCAGCTCAGCAGGTCCTAAATTGCACTCACGCAACTTGCGCGACTTGCGCGCGTGACGCAGAGCAACAGAACCGATAGTTACACCGGTTGGATCCCATCCCTGATGATATCCTTCTGAGACCACTTTCCTATTTTTATTTTAATACTTGGTCATTCCCTATAGAGGCAGACTTAGAGGAACTCTGTTATCTGTACAATAACTGTTTCCTGAGATTTGGACTGAATGTTGTATTGAATGCTCAAAATTATCCAAAGAGGTTCCTTATGCATAATTAAACCAGGTTATTCAAGCCACAGGAAATAATTATCAATTTTTCTACTTTGGTGAGATGCAATTTAAGAACTTTACCACATGATAAAGAACTTAGTGCTGGTCAGAGTTTTTTTTCAGTAAATAAGTGTTTATATAAATATGTTTAATAAGTAAATTAGTCCTGGTCATTACATTTTAAAAAAGATTCAGAGAAACTGAAATACAATTCCAAGCCAGAAACCAAAATGATCAAAGAAATAAGATCTGAATCAGTGGTGGGATTCAAATTTTTTTACTACTGATTCTGTGGGCGTGGCTTGCTTGGTGGGTGTGGCTTGGTCGTGTGACTGGGTGGGCATGGCCAAAGCAATGTCACTCACATCAAGGGGTGCCTCGCCTGGCCCCTCCCCTCCCAGCCATTCCTTGACACACCAGCCTCAACCTATCTATAGTTCTGTAAAAATGTTGTTCACCCTTTTTTGACTTTATTATCTACATACTATAGATGTACTTTCATGGCCCACTGAAAGGAGGAAATGGCTCACGTGCTTTGCCCAAGAGTGTGACAGGCAACAGGCTTTTAAGGGGCTGCATTTTCCAAAGCACCAGAAGGCAAACAAGAAGCAATGGATGGAAACTGAACAAGGAGAGAAGCAAAAGTAATTTGAAAAGTAATCATAATATCAGGAAGAAGCAGAAGGGAGGATCACAGAAGGGAGAATCAGATAGGAAAGGGAATAAAAAGGGGAGGGAGAAGAAGAGAGGCAAGAGGGAAAGGAAAAGAAGCTACAAAAGACAGAAACAAAATATAGAGGTACAGGAAAAACATACAAGAATTAAAGGTATAAACCTATTTAAAAGACACAGAGACATTGGTTAAAATTTCTTTCTTTCTTTCTTTCTTTCTTTCTTTCTTTCTTTCTTTCTTTCTTTCTTCTCTCTCTCTCTCTCTCTCTCTCTCTCTCTCTCTCTCTCTCTCTCT